ATTTTCCTGTAGTCTGGTTCCCTGACTCCATATAAGAAGAAACAGAGCAGTTTACATACATTGGGGAATTGTAAGGTCAGGGAACCAGTCTAGCTGGCTCGTACCCGTTCATAGGTTTGTAATCGATTGCAAACAAGTGCAATGGTCAATTGGGGCCAGTATTTGAAAAAAAGCCAGTTGTTTCCAACGCTGATCGGCCGATCAGCGTTGGAAATTGATACAAAAATACCACTTTTCTTGAAAATGACAGTATACCAGGTGCCATAATTTTACAGGATGCTTCAGGCTGTCATTTACCAACATCCTATTAAGGTATTTCGCAAAAACTTGGTAGTTTTTTTTTCGATGTTTGCAAATGTTGTATATTCCCTTTAACTAATATTTGTATTATTCTTCATTTCTGCCATTAAGAGCGGCAAATAAATGTGTTTTATTTGTTTTGTGACTTTTGTGACTTTTGTGACTTTGTGATTACAATTCAAGAAATCGGAGCGTGCATGAACGATTGCGCAAGAGCAGTTACAGATCCATGAAGGACTTATATTGACTAATCGATAAGGAAATATTTTATATCCTTTTTTATATATTATTTTATCGGAATTTTTTTTTAAATCATGCACAGGACTTCGTTCACATTTACAACCATTGAGAAATGGTAGTGCAAAGCGGTGCCATGCGCGCCCTATAGGCATTTCATACAGTTTTCTTTCTTGAAGGAATTGTGAGATGATGATTGATCAGGAATGCCTTGGATGCGATGTCCATATTTTGCAATTTGTTTTTAAATATTTCTTGCGCCGAGTTCCGGGAAAATAATAGGCCATAAAAAAGCAAGACAATCGAAATCTGGAATTTGAAAAACAACACAGTTAAAATCTAAAGAACAAACCAAAATAAGTGAATGCTTTAGTCTATTTGACACAAGGGAGGGGTACGTATAACGCACGAGCAGCTATTCAACTTTCCAAGAAAATAATTGTTTGTTCTTGAAGATATCCATGAGGGGAATCCCCCAACAAGTACCCGCTAGACGAACATAGCCTAGCAGCCACACGTGGGTTGTTACTCAACGGTACCCATACGTGCATTTTAGGGTTGAGCTGATCATGGAGCTGATGGCTTCCAAGCTATAACTAATTGGTTCAGTTTCAAGCGCCGTTGCACCTTTCGTGGAAGCCGTGGCAGGGTCTTTTAACGCAGGGCAGAGGTTTTTTTTATTAGTAGTGAAAGTTTGTACCCCTTTGTGCCACGTCTCCAGGCATGCGCGGAATGTTCAGCAAACCGAAACTTCTTTTTATATTTGTTCTGGAAATCTAAAGTACTTTCAGTTCGGTTCTCTCGGACCTGTTACGTGCAAAGCGTTAATAAACTAAAAACCTTCAAATTGGTCGTAAAGGCCTATCCAATTCCGGAGTTGACAATAGAGGAAAGCGTAATTACCACACACAATCGCTTTCAAAATTCAAGTAGTACAGTAGGCTAATTCCCTCCCCCGCTCTTCTTATTCATTTTCACAAACGAAACCATGTTTACAAACGAAAATATTTTTATTGAGAAATATTACCCCTTTTGTCAGCCCCCCCCCCATTAAAAAAACACAGGCTGAGAAATGCCATTTAAAAGAAGGATCAACTCATGAGAAGTAATATTGAGGTTCTGAAAAGAACCAAAGGTATGAGGCCTAAGGAGTATGCCCTAAAGTTCCGAACCAAAGGTATAGGCCTATGCGGTGTGAGGTATAAACTAATGAGAAGCAAGTTCGGTTTGTTTTCTTTTCAAAAGAACAAACGGTATATGCCTATGGATTCTGGAGAACTAGACGAAGAAGCAATATGGGTAGCTGAAGTTCTGAGAACAAAACGTTTTATGTGATCTGTAGAGAATATAATTATATCACTGGGTCTGATAACAAGGACAAGATAGTATTTCATGAGAAGTAATGGTGTATGTTAAAGTATATGGGGCATAGGAGCAGTTCAGAGGTTGAACCTCATGCGAAGTAGTTAGGTTCTGAGAAGAACCAAAGCCTATCATTGGGTTTGAGAACGAGAACATGATAAGGTACGTAGTAACTCATGAGAAGTAATATAGGTTCTAAGAACCAACACGCATGGGTTATGAGAACCAGAGGTCGGGCCTACAAACTCACGAGGAGTAATTGGAGTTCTCAACCAACCGTTTTTATGTGTTATAAGGAGAACCATAGCTATATGACGTAATTATGGCTCTGAGAAGAACTAACAGAATAGGCCTGTTATTACGTCGGAGAACTCGAACAAGAACTCATCAGAAGTAATAAGTTTCTGTGACACCGGAACCAAAGGGATATGAGGTATCAGGAGAACCCCACGAGAAGTTCGAAGATGTTATTGGTCTGAGAACAATGAGATCTAGCTAAGGAATTTTTAACTCATGAGATTTTGTAAAACATGTATAGGTTTAATATGAGAACCAAATATAAACGTATGAGATAAACCACGAGGGGTAATTACTGAGAACGTCAGAAATTGTTCATGCGATCTGTCGAGAAGTAATTATAGTTCTGAGAACGACATACTACTGTCTGAGAACTAAAGAACAAGCATTACTCTTGAGAAGTAAGCTTTATGAGAGAAGTAAGCTATGTGATGGGGTTAACTCACGAGGAGTAAGCTATCAACTCACGGTCACTTTGAAGAAATTGACCGTACGCTGCATGGACCGTCACAGTTGGTCCATCATCACACGCGCCATAACATGCCCTACAAATTGTAGGCGATCGGATGATAAGTGTAGGTCAGTGTATATTCGGATCTGCACGAAATAGTGCAGTTCAGGCAGAATGTTGGAGGTCAGAAGATTGCAATGGTTTGCAATATCTGGTTCATGAACCATAAAGCCTTTTAGTTTTATGGATTGATCGAAATGTTCCACGAATATCATGGGACGGTTTGCATTACTGATTTGATTTTGTGCATGCAACGCAATTTGTCCCCACAATGCAACGCAATATTATACCTTCACATATTTTTGGTCTGGCGGCTATCCGTATTAATGGAGCATTGTTTAAGATTCTGCAGGTTCATTACATAAAAGGTCAATGAATTCTTTATACAGATCGCCCTTCCTTGCATGTCAACCCTTTGTTGTCTTTGAGATCTACTCCATCCGACAACTTAGAAACTAGAGAGGGCTAAAAATTCATTTGTACCCTTGCTATTTTCAAGTTTCATCCTAAAAATAAATAGATTCCATTTCTAAATTGTTCTTTTTCTAGCAATTCACTTTTAAATGAGACATCGGCCGAAAAAAAAAATTGCCCAATGTTTAGTTATCATGAACTATTACTTTACAATTTCTATTGGCTGCCACATAATTCCCGTTTAGGCTCGCGGGATAGGCTGGTTCCCGACCCACAATCAGAATCGACAATGTAGTTTAAACATTATAGAAAAAAAAATATAGAATTTTGCAGTAAATTCACCCCTTTACACATTTAGGCCACGCCTACAAATTAGGCGGAAAATATGACTTTTAAAATGCATAGTTTGCACTTGTAGATTAAAGGTTTAATTCATCAGACTCGTCTTGTGTGCACAGCATTCCTGTGCGGCTGAAATCTATTATATTTTGGAAAATTATGGTTAACTGGTTTAAAGTAATTACCTTTCCTCCCACTCGTAAAAAATGAACAAGAAAACTGAAAACGAAAGGTAGTTCTCAACAAGTTTTGAAAATTCTCGATGGGTTAGTTTAGCGCATTTTTTCCCTTTCGATTTAGCGCCCCCTATTTGAAACAAAATTGTGTGTTTGAGCGTGGGTGTTCGGAGTTGGGTTTGTGTTGTAATTAACAGGGTTCCGACAGCAAGTCAAATTTTCATGGGGAATTAAAACTGAAAGCACCTGAGTATTATTAAGGTTTTGTACAAGTACCAATTTTGGATCGTCTAAAAGATCCAGTTTCACCTTTAGTGGATTAAACTAGGGAGCATTTTGATCCATAAAAGCGTTGGAGGGGGTTTTCATTGACCCATTTATGAGCTGTGAAGGCAAAACATTTAAAGTTTCAGTTCAGTTGAGGGGGTGCATTTTCCCTCACTTGAAAACAATTATCAGGATGGCATATAGTGCACAAAACGAAACAATATAAAATCTCAATTGATAGTGTACAATGCAACAATAATTGAAGGTTGGTTGTGTGCGTGGTTTTTTTTTTTTTTTTGGTTTTTGCTTGTCAGTACTGATATTTTTTTCTGGACGACGTCATGTGCATGGCCATTTAACTCCTCTTTAATGTATATACGAGATCACAGATTATTGGTCCTTTAGTTTATTAATGAAGAACTCAACCATATAACAATCAGAATGATACGTGAATATGGTCAAGGAACGTGATGTAAGGGTGTGTTACTATTAAGGGAACTTATTTGATTAAACCATGAACACTTTTTTCCCCACGAGTCTCAGGATAAAAACGGCATTTCATACTTATTTTGAAATCAGCTTTTATTTCCCTCCCCATTGTTTTTAAAACACGTGCGGGTACATTTTGATCATAATATTGCTGAATTAAGATAATCATGATAATGGGGAATTAACTGATTGATTTTGACAGCCAACTGTGGCATACGTGTGGAACTGTACACCACATAATTGCGATAAGTGGCCGACCGCACACGTAATGGCACCATGTACTGTGCACGTACATGTACTGCACATGTACTTACGTGTACAGTACACGACTGTCCATTACATTGTATACTACACGTGTATCCCGTGTTGTACGTGACCTATGAGCAAACCCGCATAGCTCGAGAATAAACCAATCAAAACACTCAGAAGTGAAGTCATCTCGGCCGTTCTGCCAGTCACCAATCAGAACGAGTGGTTGTGAATAATTCATAGTGTAGGCGGGGCTTCACGGGCCGTGCCTTCACACATGGGCCGGCTGGGTGCTGTTTGTTTGATACGCACGGTGTAAACAGCTGATGGTAGGTCCAGAGTATAAAAGCTAAATCGGAAACAATACACCTCAGAAATCAATTGCTGCAGTGAGTGAGAAGCGACTTGTGAATGCCAAACACTTCAGTAACACGTGCAACAACTACACAGTTGTAGTTAGCGCCTCAGCAATATTGCAACTAAATGTAAGTTTCGAAAAAGAAAATATTGTCGTCAAAGTTTTATTCTTTGCTTCATTAATTTTCTGACAACTCTTTACTGCAGTTTTTTTTTTTTGCAGGGGTAGCCTACATTCTTTCCATCTAATATAAATGTAAAAACATTACTTGTCTAACAATACTGCATTACCTCTAAACTTTTCACTTTTCTTGTTTAATAACCATCATGTACATGTATATAGTAATGGTGATGGTTTGGTATTTTTTTTATGACAATGTATTTGTTAACAAATAAACTGTTTAACAATCCACGTTCGTAGTGGAAGTGATGATGCATTTCTCCCGAATGATGCTGGTATATATAGATATTGTTTTGGGGGAAAAAATGTATGCCAGTAATATTCTGCATTCGTAAGCGGGCTTGCCACGAACTGAATCGTGCCACCGTGCTGCTTTTTGCAAGTTGGTTCAAGTTGTAACCGCATGTAAACCGCATCCAATATCGAAACCAGTTGTACTGCCTTGCAGCGATTTTTAATTGTTTCCGAGTACAATAGAAAGACAATCAAAAAGTGCTGTTTCACTTTCGGGGGCATTCAAGGGTTTTTTTGTACTACTTGTAAGCTTGCGTAAAGCGAAATAGAGGCGGACCAGACTTTATTGTTTAGAGCACAGACCGCATGGATACGTTTGGGGGATTTGGGGAAGTAATCGGCAAATATTCAAATTTAAAAGGAACTACTTGTGAATTATACAGCCACGTGGAAAATAAGTCAAAATACTTGAATTTTCCCCCGATCGGCAGCTTTTTTGAAAATAGGGTTTATAGCAATAAAGTGAAAAATAAAAATTACCAAATGTACAATATTATGCGCAACTAAATACAGTCATTGTCTGGTACCATACAGATTGTTCATCTTACAAAAAAGTTTGTCTGACATATAAATTCTCAACATAAGTGGAACACAATTGATGAGAAAGTGTATGTCAGGAAAGTAGTTGTGTGGTTGTTGGAGATGTGGGTTTTCCTTGATCTTGGTGAAAATAATAATTGGATGATTTTTTTGGTCTGTAGATATTGAGACTCCAGCAAGTACCGACGTCAACATCGCCAGCAGAATGTATAGAGCAGGAGAAACGTGCACACTCAACCCACTACAGTTCGGCGGATTCGGCCAGGTAAGACCAAAATCTTCACGGTTAATTTTTGTTAACACCACAGCTGGAATTTAAGTGGAGAAATATTACTCGGCAATCGACTAAACTATTGGCATTTTCAACATTTTGCAAATCTCACAAACGAGGCGCTACTAAGCGGGGTCTTTTTTCTTTTTAATCTTACTCCTTTTCCAGGATAAAATTCAGTTCTTTCTGACTTATCGTCTATTTTAAAAAAATCACTCGAACGAGGATCATTATTCAAACTTGACAAGGCAGCCACGTGTTTCACCATCACGGAATCTTACACTAAAGAAGTTTCGCAATCGTCCTATCTTTGAAAAAAAAAGGGACTGCGGATATTTCCCCAATCTGACAGCAAGTCTTTTGATCAGCTATTCTTTTGTTGTCCATTTACACTGACTCTAAATGGAAATTTGAGGAAGTGTACCATATCTTTCTTTTGTGTGAATTTATGAATGAAAAAAAAATGGTGTATAGACGATTTTATGAATGGAAATGGTGAGTACTGTAATGGTGGATACGATTGCAATGATGTTATTACATATTTCGAAATTCTGAACTATAAAACAAACCAACCGTGTATTACCTAATATAGATATTATACATGTAGTTATTTTATGCACAAAGAAACATTATTATGCATATTAAACAAATCTCTAATTTAACCAAATGCAGACTCCACTGACGAAATAATTAATTAAAAAACACTGAATTCGATCTAGAAAGTGCTCGTTACCTAGTAATACCGGCGTCTGGAAGCTCAGTCATTCATTTTGATTTATTAATGGACCTTGAAACACGGCTCATCACTTTCAAAAATTAATGGAGTCATAGTCAATGGTGAAGTCTATAACAGACTGATTCTGAATTAACCAAGTAAAAGATAGGGCATGCTTTACTTGGGAAACGGAAGTACACGACGGTAATTAAAAAAAGTCTGGAAGCGATTAAATCTCTCCATTGTTGGGTTGACTGGCTAAGGAGACGGGTTGTATTAAAAGCCCCACCGGGTAGAAAGCCGTCCCTTCCCCGTGGCCTGGCCCAGTCAAGTCACGGGGCATTAATAGGGGGCTTCCGGGGCGTCACGATTCAGCAATATGCCGCTCGCCACCAAAACAAAAAACCCCGGGCTCCAAGTCACGAGAATAATTTGCTTGAGTGTTTAAAGTCATTATTGTACTAAAGCATTTTTGTTTCCAGATTTAGGCTGAGGGTGAAGGTTGCCTTGGGAATGGGAGGTTATCCTCCCAATTCTATCTTCTTTTTCTGAGAAATATTGCAAATCAATGAATTTCTTTTTGTACACGAACAACTTAACTGATTTGAATGTCGTGTTAACATTGAACCACTTTAAGAATGGTTTAATGTGCCAAATATCTGACAACACCTCGGCTCTCAGAAAGAAAATACCAAACGTATAATATGCTGACTTTAAAAACTGGAATAACCAGGGGTGTGAGTGACCACTGATAAAAATAGCTGAAAACAGCTAAAAAGGGTGTAAAAAAAAGCTGAACTTTGGAAATCTCCTATACTTTTGCACACAGCAAGTGAGGAAAAAAAAATACTGAAATCCAAAACAAAAAAAGCTGAAATCAGCTTTAAAGCTGAGATTTCACACCCCTGATAACAGAAACAGCACTCAGAGAAAATTGAATACAAATTTCTATGAAATTAAAAAAGGAAAATCATTATGGAAGCTAAAACTTAATGATATACCAAACAATACGTTTGTATTGTAAGGCCAATTGAAAATGAAAGAAAGGTATGAAAATAAAATCGGTCACAGAATTAAAAGCCCTGTACACAATGCCATTTTACTCTGTGCAAAAAGGTCTGGTTTTTCAAGGTCAGCGCTTATTGTGTGGGGAATTCGGTCATCGTTTTCAATGGCGCGGCACAACCAGTGGCTTCGTGGAAACCCGGTAGAGTCGGGACGAGGGGTTTTCCCTTCGCTTCCCCGGGCCCACACAGCTGGTGATGTGATATCGCAGGGCAGATAAGCACTCAGGGTCAATGACAACTTCAACCGCATGGCGCGCGCGCTGTGATTGGCGCCCACTGCATCAATGGCAAACCCCCGGGACCGCAATTGGTGGAGCCAGTCAATGGCGTGACGTATATAGTCGGTGCCAGGATTGGTGTTGCCAAGTGTGGTGGCATGGTATGCGATTGCGATTGATGCTCTGAGAAGTCTTGACGTCATTTGAAGATTGACTACAATACCCGGGTTTACCCAAAAAAATGATTCACTGATATTTGGTTAATCTGTTTCCATTCAGACAACCTTACGAACCGCACAACGTACCAAAACCACAGACCACAAGTTTACAAAACTTGATATGACGTGATGTTTATAAATAAATGAACTACGTCATTCACGTCTCTAACACCTAATAAACCATCGGGAAAGTTGTGAATACAAGATAAACAGTACAACCAAACCGATACTTTCTTAACACTCCCCCCCCCCCCAGTCTGCACAGATTTATTATGGGATTTTTTTTCATTCTGCAAACATTAAATACGCGCCAAATCAAATTCCATTCTATTTTGATTCTGTAAGACATGTGATTGTTCTCTAAGACAATGAACCTAAACCGTGAGGCATGGAAAACGACAATACCTCAACCAAATCAACATTTTTGATACACACTTCTTCAGGACAGTTTCTGATCCGACAACAAAACACGGTAAGGCAGTGATATGCCATTGACCTGTATAACCACTGCATGCTATCACCGATAACGAGTTCTATGTAAGACGTTCGTCGTCATGAGTTCTAAGAAACCGTTCAAGGCAGTGCGGTCCCCGAGCAAGTTTACGGCCGCACGCATGCATTACACACTCTCAAGGTCAACCAGTGACACCGTATCGAGATTATTCCACGAGTACAACACCCTAACGAAACCGGACGTGAAGACTGGTTAATGCCAGTTCGAAGATGATCAATCCAGATTTTCACCGTGAAACGAAAAAAAAAAGTTCATTGTCCTTGCAAATTTACCTGGCTTCCGTCCAACATTCGTGATAACATTTTTTTTTATGAGTTGGTACGCGCAAGCCTGCACGCGCTCCCTGTCTGCAAACAAGAACAAAGGGCAAAGTGTAAAATGGAAGCGTTTGCTTGCAATTTCGAGAAGCATGCTGAGCATGCTAACAACAAACGGCTACTGCACTGCTAAAAAAAAAAGGATTTTGTACTTTTCTTGATAATTATAAGAAAATATACCTTGATTCCAAAACTGTTTTCTTTCTTGTCATACTCCCTTGAAATTTGCTAGGGAGTACGACAAGAAAATATATCTTGAAACGACATTATTTTCTTATGTAAGAACATTATTTCTAGCAGTGTGGTAAAAAAACAAGCAGTCACGCAGCTTTATTTATGAAACGACGTCACTTAAATTGATATTAATCACAAGAAGTGGTGCTTGAAACTCAACAACCATGTCAGCAAATATTTGTTAGTATGTTTCAGGGAAATTCAATGCTTACTTTAGCTTCTCTTGACGTAGCTGTTCAGCTCTTTGGCCCAATATTTACAAAAATGACTTATAATACAATACTTCCGTTTCAACGAGGAAAGTAAATGATAAAAAAATATTAGATTTATCTAAAGGGTAAGAACTGCATGAGAGATGATGCACCGGCAAATTAAATAAACAATGAGTACACATTTTAAAGTGTTTCTTTTTTTTCTCAATTTGATGACTTTCCAGGAACTGAAACCCAGTCTGGACTTCAACATGTCCGGTGACTTCATCAATTTCGACTTGGCTTCCACCCAGTTCAACGACTTCTTCAGCTACAGCTCGGTCCCTGCAATGGCTGACGACTCCGAGATGGAGTGCGCCCTCAACGAAGAGACGATGCAAACCCACGAGCCGACCATTAAGGTGGAGGTGCCGGAGCCGTCATCATTGACTGAATTGATGGCGCCCCCACAGAGCCAGTATGATGAAGACATGGACCAGGTCCAACAGCTGATTGTGCGGGAAGTCATGGGAGACATTATGACAGCTTGCCAACTGATCGACATCCCCACAGGTGTGTATGACAGGAAGCCTGTGGGTGTTTGTCATGAGTTTTGTCACACTGAATACCAACAAATGTATCAAAGCCCACTCATGTAACTCTAAAACATATTCCAACATTCTTGTGCCAATGATAATCAAACTTAAAACATAAAAAATACTATCCTTCAATCTAAAAACAAAGCAACTAATGAGGAAAAATAAAGAAAGAAAGAAAAAGAAAAGAAAAGAGGTTTGCAACTGCTCAATTTTATTTGATCAAAATGTACAAAATATCCAATTGGAAAACGTTGCAAACAAGTAAAAGAGAAAAGTGTTGCCAGCTTGCTTAATACAAGTCATGTGCAACAATTCAGCTGTTTGAGATTTACCCAATAATGCTATCCAACATAAATAATTACAACACTGCAGGACAAATTTCCTGCATAACTTATCAGGAGCAAATGTTCAACTGATCGTGAGAGATATGACCTAAAGGTCAAAAGAAAATGAGGCCATAGACCTCCATTTCACTTGAAACAGGAAAGGAAGTGACAAAACAGACCACATTTCCTGCTGCTGAGGAAGTTGGGAACCAGAGAGTTCCAGATGGGAAGTGGTGAAAAGTCAAGGCATTCTCAGAGATTCAGATATGTGTCAATCTCGGAGCCAATCAATTATGTAAATGAGGCAAACAGGTGGATGCCATGCCCCCCCCCCCCCGACTCAGTTTAAAACTTTCATGAGATCTATTGGATTTTACCTGCACTAAATACTCAATCAACAACATCATAACAAATCTCAAAATGATGCCAGTTTGGCATCTGCCACTTGTACTTAAATAAACTTATGGAAAGTCAACAAGAAACTTCTCAACATCTGGTGACATGAAAGTATTCACAGAAACATTGCATTGATTGCATTGCACAAAATGCTCTCGATCATAATGAAAAAACCACTTAGGAAATTATGTCAATGAAATATGTACATTACCGACAGAAATCTAATGAACAATCCATTAAACAATCCTGATACAACTTCTAAAGAAATTCAGAATACCATTATTATGCGCATCTGCTGCATATATTGTGACTTGGCTCTTTTTGGTCAAAAGTTCTAGATTTTTAAAATCTTTAATACGATCCAAAAAACAATGAACCAGGATCCAATTTCATGAAGCTATTAAGAAAAACTGTGTTGCTAACTCACATTCTAAGCTGTAGCAGAAAAGTCATTAAAAGCAATTGATATTCTTTGAATCATTGGCTGGCAATTTGGTTTGGCTCAGTAAATCCTTTCTTGGCTTTGCATATCCATGAAAAGTATTTCAATTCCAGTTCAAACATATATTTTTAACTGGTTCATTACCTTTGGTTTCTCAATGTGTAGATCCATACACGTGGAACTCGGAGCAGGTTCAGAAGTGGGTGGAGTGGACGAGGCACCAGTACCGCCTGCCCGAGATCAACATTGGGTTCTTTGCCATGGACGGGATGAGGCTTTGCAACCTGACCGACGAACAATTCAGACAGATCCTGCCCAAGTCGGGAGACATCCTGTTTGCGCACCTGGACATCTGGAAGAATGGTGAGAAAAACAATTACAAATTTGAAATTGAATTTCAAAGTTCATTCAGTTATAGATGTTGATTGGTACTTGTTGCAAATCTTAACATTATTGGCTTGGATAAACTGAGTACATCTTTTTGACCAAGTTTCTATCAACAAAATATATCTTGATTACAAACCATTGTGGTGTTTTACATACTCATGAATATTTAAGTTTCCTAATGAGTATTTAAATTTCCTAATGAATATTTAAATGTCTTATTCTGTTGCAGCTACAAGAATGAAGTTTGCCGATGCGATCTTGTCCCCCTGCATCCCAGTCCCCCAGGTTCCGTTGGACGAAGTCTGCAGCTACCACATAGACCCCAGCTCACTTGGCGGATACGAGACATCAAGCACAATCTCAAACAGTGATGGTAAGGAGATAATTTATCAGAGAGTTACCCCCGATCTTCGTGCTTATAAATACTTCAGGAATGGTAAAGAGAGTTTAGTATTCATGGATGAATGGAGCCACTGCATAGGTGCTTCACTTTGGGTCATCTTATGATCCCTGGGTTTAGAATCTCACTCCAACTAAAGCAGATTTTTGCTCACTGCTCAAATGAGTGAAGCTATTAGAGTAAAGTGTCATGCTCAAGGACACAAGCTCCGAGAACGTAATTACCTCTCAGAGATTTACAAAAACTAATTACCTGCAAAATTGGCGTGTAATTTTATTTGCTTGTGACTGCTGCTGGGCTAACGTTTGCTGAGCACAACTTACCAAAAAGTATTTTCTAATAAAATGAAACCAGCCCTAATTATGATGTTACTCCATTGCTTGTTTCTGCGATCATCTTAACAAAATGAGTCTTAAGGATGCATGAGTTTCGGTATAAAACCAATTGATTATGAGGCTTCATAATTTTGTTCCTTTTTTTTTTTTAGATGAGGTTTCTATCCCATCTCCCAGCCCAACTGGACCCAACACCTTCATGACCCCTAACCACACCGGCGGCATCCACTTGTGGCAGTTCCTTAAGGAGCTGCTCCTGCAGCCAGATTCTTACGGCTACTGCATCCGGTGGTTGGACCGATCACAAGGTGGGTCTTGTAACTTGCTACATGAACTAGGGCTCAGAACGTACATGTTGTTTCATGTTTAGGTTCAGGAACATCAAATCCATTCTGCGGCCAAATGTAGAGTACTATACTATCTGATTTTGTAAACAGAGAAGCCACAGTGGAGACTGAAGCCCAGGTTTTGGAAAATGCTCAGGGCAATATTTTGGTGGGCTGACAGGATAATATTTCTTGGCTGTTTCATCTGTCCAGCAAATTCATACTTGATGTCATTCAAAGAAAGTTCTCACAATGAGACTTTTAGTTTCTGGCGTGCTTACAGACCTCAGGTCAAGTCCGGGTTGGAACAGAGTCTGTAGATCCGGCTTAGCGAAACTGGGTAATTGGGCAACACAAACAACAATTCTGTGATTTATTCGTACACGTTTTGAATAATGACATTTCTACAAAAGAAAATAAAATACTGAATGGTCAAATTCATAATGCTAGTGTGAAGCACCTAGATATTTCCAAAGATAGTGCATGCAGAATATGTTCACACAAAAATCATGATTTGATGAAAACTGACATCAAAGAAAACTACACGGTTTAGTGCATCACTAAAGAAGCAGGAAAGAAGCTAAAAATAGAAAATGATGTCAGCGTTGCCATGTCATGTTGTTTACAAGGTGCAAACAGGATATGAAATAGGATATCAAATACTGTTTGTTCTCACTTCAGTGGTGTTCCCAGAAAACATCAAAAGTATATTGATCACAAATTTGATTTACACCCTGGGAAAATTTGCCATATCTATGGTAAACCAACAGGATTTGCATTCTTACAATAAGTAAAAGAAACTAAGAAAGATTAACAGAATACAGTTTTCGGAAATTTCTTTTCAGACACCTGGTCTGTATTGTTAATACTTCTAGTCATAAATAAGCCCCTCTCCCCCCCCCCCCAAAAAAGGTAACTGAGGGTATTTTCCCTACGGATCATACTTTCAAGCATATAGTATTGGGTACCAATCTAGGTGAAAACAAGGAAGCAGAAATAATTAAATAAAACAATAATCTGTATAGTGAAAATTTGAAATTTAGTCTCATTTTTTTTCCTGCTCATTGTCTTTCTTGCATACAGGTATCTTTAAGATCGAAGACTCAGTTGAAGTGGCTCGGCTGTGGGGTCTGCGCAAGAACCGACCGGCCATGAATTACGACAAGCTTAGCCGCTCCATCAGACAGTACTACAGAAAGGGCATCATGAAGAAGACCGAGGTGGCACAGCGTCTTGTCTACCAGTTCGTGCACCCGTGTTAGAATCCTTGCCTGTTTGAGAATTGCAACCCATGTTAGAATCCTGGCCCATGTTAGAATGATGATATTGTTCCAATCACATGTTGAGGAACTCAATGTGCCTTAATGATACCATACAGAAATTGTACAAAGAGCTATTTATTTTCTAATAAATTTAACTTATTCTTTGTAAATAGTTTACAAGTTGAATGGTTTTAAAAGCAAGCTGCCATATGTCGCCTGTTTTATACTTCTTTAATTTAACAGAATTTGTTTGTATGACTTTGCTAGGTTTAACAGAAAGAAGTACTTTAGTAATATTAGAGCATAACTTTGGTATAAAATCTTCCAAATGGACCAATTTTTTTTAAGCCGAGGAAGAATATCTGCATATTATTTTTCATATAAAAATACATATTGTGTCTGAACTACTTAAATGCGGCTCAAATCCTTAAAGAAAACAAAAAGGAAAAACTCAAACCCACCTTGATTTTAAGATTCATGCTGATTATGAAAAGTAATTATAAGATGGTTTAAAGGCAAATTTCCACACAGGATGAAGTAAATTATTGACTTTCAGAGCAAGAGTTGTGAAAAATAAATCTAAACCAGTCAAACTTTTCAAACTAAAAGAGATTTTAACATCCAGAAACATAACAGTACTGTTTTGATACTATAATTCTAAATCCAGAGTTTTTATTAAGTTCTCCTAATTTGTTAGTTTTCTTTCTGGTTGTATATATACAGTATGACATTGGAGCAGCACATGCTTAACAGTTTATTAAGATATTTGTAAGAAACTTGAAACAAGTTGTTTCACAATTGTTGCAGCAGTATGTTGCGTTGAGGTATGTTCTATGAACAACTTCATATGTATACATTAAAACTCTCGAAGGGGCAGACCATGATATTGGTGGTGGTCGACATAGCAAAAGAAGACTGTGTATCGAAACAAATCACGAAACAACAAAGACAGTATATTTTGATACATACTGCAAAGTGCCTTCAAACAGAAAATTATAATGGCTTCCTTTTAATTATTAGGAGCACCACTTTTCTGACAATTTATTTCACTTTTGGACAGCCTATGATACACAGTCGATTGTGGTCCCTAAAACAAGCCCCTTCAAGATTTTTATATAAAGTATTTTTTAGCAGCATTTTTTTAGGTTGGCTAATTTGAATAAGTTTTATATTGTGTGATTTTAGAATGTTTTCCATGAGTTGTGCATTTTTATGAGTTGATCGTTTGTGACGTGATATTTTGTTTTATGAATTATTACTTTTTGTTTTGAATGATTGACCGCAACAGTTTTTAGAAATTAATTATATATTATTGATACATGAATATGAAACTTGTTTCAACTTCATGGCTAGAGCTTGTCCAGTGTGCAAAACGTTATCGTTGATGTTCATTTTATAATTCTTATTGCCATATGATGACTTGCTTTTTATGTTTTTATATTGAAGACCAATTAAATATTTTTGCTTATTTATGAAATGGAAAGAAACTTTGCTGAATTGCTGTTTTTCTTGTTAATCTGTCTGTCTTTTGGATCTGTTTATCCAATTAAATTCAATTAAATTCAATTCAACAGAACTTAAAATGTTCATACTTTAAAAATAACTCAAACTGCAACAAAGATAATGATTAATAGTGAAAAACACACAATGAAAGTCATAAAGCCAAGTTTGATCGAAATACAACCAGGTATAATTGACCTATCGCCGTTTGTGAGTTAGCCACGCCCTTTAGACAATTACCCTATGCAGGCATACAACTGGGAAGTCACAAAAAAAAGAGGAAATTCAAATTTTTCCCAGATTTTGTACAGTGTTTTTCTATATTTAATGGCACACATGGGAAGTAAAAAAAGAGGAAATCGGCTGATCCGAGGAAAAGTTAAATGCGTTGTTTTTCCCCAAGTTAGTCATAATAGTCTCTACGTTTTGCCAATTCATCCAAAATAGTACTCACTATTGCCCCGTCATTCCCTTTGAGTTTCAACTCAAGTACGCCATCATATTTGTCTAGTCATCCAATTGATAATAGAAAAATATAGTACCGGTAGTTACAAATTCGTTTTGGGTAAACAAAATAGTTATGATGATTCACTCCAAGATCTAGTGATACTTTATTTAACAATTTTACTATGGATTTTAACAAAAGTGTCGCAGTGCACCATTGAAGCCTTTTAACTGCTTTATGCTTGAACAGGCAGACAAAGAAACGGGTCCCAAAAAAAAAAGAAGCTAAAAGCACATGGATAAAAGCAACAAGGATAAAAGTGACAGCAACAATGTAAAGGGAATAATTTATTATAAGGAATTATATAGTTGCCATTCATAACAGCATGGAGAATTGTGCAGATTCATGCCATGAGAAAGAAAATTATGTCACTGATTTTTCTGAGCTGGGAGCATTGAGGCAATTTTTGGGACCGGAGTTCTGAAATCTTAAGAGACTAAGAATATGAGTATAAAAACAGAGCAGATTTTGCAGGTTGGAGAATGGTAAAGACATGTGAATGGCCGGGACAGGCTTCGGGGAACAGGAGAGGCAGGCCAACAACTTATGTTTTTTTTTTTGAAGTAGAGGTACAATCCAGCTCCATTCCTATCTCTAAGGCAAACCTAGGGTTGCAGATAAACTGTCATAGACCTGTGATAATTAGGCCTATGCCCACTTCCCAAAATAACAACTCATAGTCTCCAAGATATTTGAGACACACGTCAAATTAAAGCTTATTTCGTCATCTTGCATTTTCTGTTCAATTTTTTTTGGGGGGGGGTGTTAGACTTTTGGGAGAAAATTCCATCCAAAGATGATCACCCCTAAAAGTATATAGTCTTGAAGCCCATCGGCATTTTGAAAAAGGAATGCATGTGCTTGCAAAACAGAGCAATGAGTAGGGCCTAATGTCATCTGAATTTCAAAGAAATTACAAGCTGGCAGTCCTCTTCACGGCTTCCATCCATATTTTGTACAAACCCTCAAGTTCATGGCCCATTAAATGCTCTAATACCAGAGAATTTGAGGGCATGCAAATCCTGGTTTGCAATTAAATAGGGCCTATAGGCAATAAGGGCCTATTCAATGGACTGCACAACAAAGTTACCATCGACTGTCAAAATTGGGTGGGTTTTGTAAATCATACAAGAAAGATAATATTGTTATTCAGCAGTACATGGCATTATAATTGAGATTAAGAATGGTGGTTCGAACCACTGCTTAATATGGTTCTACTGGGCCCTTTATCTGAGGGGAGGGGCATGGGGGGGGGGGGTGGAGAGCATTTTATATAAGAAAGTAAAGTCTGTCATTAGCCAATGTGGCCCATTATAGGCCAACGTTAATTTCCGGTTTTGCATGGGACTGAGAATATTTCTACTCCCCCCAGATGCTAGTCCGACGCACTTACTCCCCAGTTCTCATTTATGCTCCTGGGCAGAGAGAGGCAAGTGGGGTGAAGCGCACAGCTTGCCCAAGGACACAACATATGCACCAGCAGCTGGATTTGAACCCCGACCCTCTGATCATGAGTCGATGAACCGTAATCACTATATAGGCCACATTCTCCACTCGTAGTAATGTCCTAATTGGGTTTTTAATTTTTTTTGATAGGTTTTCAAAAACAAGGTGTGCAGCTCAGCTGTAATATGATTAAATTATGTGCATGTGCCGTGCTCCTCCGTGTACGCAGGAAGCCAACAGATCATGCTATGTCTTTTCATTATACACGGCTTACACGCACAACAAAAATTCAGAGTGTTGTTACTGGGGATGCAACCTCGTGCCCCGTGGGTACGATCTTGCAGCGCCATGTTGTTTCCCATCATGCCTTGCGCGATCGTAACCCCTGGAATTGTGTAATTTAAATATACCAAAATACGGTACATTATAATTAGGGCTGCAGTTTATCCGTTTTACGTGCCGGCGCCATCTTTAAATTGTTAAAAGTTGTGATTTTGAAGAATCAATCCTTTCAAACACAACGTTTGGACGTTGTGTTAATTAGCAAAGATTTGTATTAAATGTACGTACCCCTTTCGTGCCTTTACAACCACAGATACAGGGGTTTTTTAGCGAAAAACGCGGCTGACATAATCCATATCGTAAAGGCTTCGCGACTTTTGAATCATAATTTTTTTTTTTGTACGTGACGTTACGTGCAAAGCTAAGCACGCGAGCGCGAGCGCATTATGGGCGCGCCCGGCGTGCAATCTTCGAAATGCCCGCGCAGTACGCTGTGAATATAGCCATTCAGTGTCATTTACGTCATCATCACAGCCAGGGGTTAGTGTAAGGAACGAGCAGGCGCCCCTGGAGTCGAGGCTACTGGGGATGCATATGTTGCAACAAATGATGGGGAAGTAATATTACGGCAAGTCATATGACCAGCTCATGACACATTCCTGTCTGCTTTGTGGGATGAGTAAAGTTCAGTAATTGTTGCAGTTACAACTTCCCAAAGGATGTACAATACAGACAAGGGATTTTCCCTTGCAAGGAAGAACATGGATTGCATTTACAAAAACGTGGAATCCAGAGATTTGAGAGCCAAGATCATGAACAGGATTTCCAGTTGGAATGGAGGTCTCATTTCGATAAACATTAAAGTGAAGGAGCCATCTCATCATAAAATATTAAAGATTTTACAAATGAACGAGATTTTTCTGTGACGGAAAAAATAATTGACAACTTTGTGTACCCTTTCAAAGAAAACTGTAGGATTGGGTTTATATTACAAAAACGTGGAATCGAGAGATTTGAAAATCAAGACCATGCATGGACATGATTTCCAGTTGCAGTGTTGGAGTCGAGTCCATAACAATTAAGTCCATGACAAGTATACCGGTAGTTTTATTAGTAAATCACTTGTCCCAGTTACAAGTACCAGGGGCTGAACAATGACAAAGGATTGCTTCAGTTAACATTCATGGTTTAAAGCATGTGACTAAGACTGGAAGATCTTGTGATGGACTTACATATGTGTATGAGTACTGTCCAATTGAGGTGTCAGCAACTTTAAAGGGAATATACAACATTTGCAAACATCGAAAAATAAAACTACCAAGTTTTTACGAAATACCTTAATAGGATTTTGGTAAATGACAGTCTAAAGCATCCTGTAAAATTATGGCACCTGGTGTGAAGTCATTTTCAAGAAAATGGTATTTTTGTAAAAATTTCCAGCGGTGGTCAGCCGACCACCGTTGGAAAAATCTAACTATTTTTCAACTACTGCTCCAACTTTACACTTTTTCAGTCCAAATTTTGTTTGCTATTGGTTACATGTTCATGTACGGGTGCAGGCCAGCTAGACTGGTTCCCTTACCTTACAATTTGCTGGCATCTATAAATTGATTCATTTTATCTTAAGTGGAGTCAAGGAACCAGACTACTTGAACATTTTTGTTTTTCTTGGTTTTTCCAGCATTTTCGATCACAAAACTTCAAACTTGTCAGTGTAACAATATTTGATCTATTATACTAACCCCTCAAATAGTTCATTTCTGAAAATGACAGCAAAAGCCAATGATGTACATTCCCTTTAACGGCTAACTTTAACGGTTAAAATAACGTTAACAGTCTGTGCATTCTTCTTTTGAATGTCAAAAGCTATTTGAATATTTGGTTGATGATCAAATATTTGAATATTCGGTTCATTCGCGACAGCTCTAAAAGTCCGTAATGGTCGAAAGTCAATAATTCGATCAATCACTGTTTATCAACCCACAAAATGCAATTGGATCTCTCGACAAACAATATACTGCCTGACAAATAGGAAGTTGTTATCATAGACACTAAAACAAAAACAAACAGAATCAGGTCACGCTGACTCTCTCAAAAGGAAACACGATGAAGGGAAAGCACCAGAAGGTGAACGAAAGGGGCTGAGGAAGGAATTAAATCATCATTGCACATGTTGCAACTCTGCCCCCGCAAAAGTACTTTCGATGATCGATTATTTAGAATCAATACAAAAGAGTTTTCTTCATAGGATTCCAACCTTACAAAGCTGAAGGAAGGGTTAAATGAACAGTGCTATTTATTTAAATAGACCTATGCATTAAAAACAGGTAGACATTATAGTGACAGTGATTCTCCTGTGACTGTGATGCTCTTTTGTTTACATCAAAGTTTGCTGCAAGATGCTTAAATGGTTCCTTTGTCTCTTATTTTAAAGAAAACGTAGCGAAAAGGCTGAAAAATATGTTTTGCTTAAATCTACTTCAAGGTAATTAATGCACAACATTTTCAAACATCAAAAAACTAAACTATCAAATTATTATGAAATGGCACTTTGCCGTACTTTCTTTTTTTAGAAAAGTGCATTTTTGGTTTCAATTTCCAATGATGGTCGGCTGACCATCACTATTCGTTGAAAAAAAATACCCTTTTTTCAAATACTGCCCCCAATTTACTTACTCTGCATTTTGTTTGTAATCTGCTACGCATCCGTGAATGGGTGCAATCCAGCAACTTCGGGCGATTCACAAAAGTGCGCCTCCAAGAGTTTGCAACGCGTTGGCCAATCACAATGCACAAAATCTGTCGACCCAATGCGCGTTTGGAAAAGGTCGACTGATTTCGCGCATTGTGATTGGCCAACGCGTTGCAAACTCTTGGAGGCGCAGTATTGTGAATCGCCCGTATTAATGAATGGTAACCCTGACCTGACAAGTCCCAATGTCTACGTGCTCCGTAAATTTGTCTGAAGTATAGGGTCAGGGAATCAGCTACTATAAGAACAGCCTTTTCCCTTGATTTTTTCCAGCTTTCACAAATTTATTATAAATAAATAGAAACCTTCAACCTCAGTGTAACCATATTTGCTATAAAATACGAATCCCCATGCCATCCATTTCTGCAAATTACAGCAAAATCAAAAGTTGTACATTACTTTTAAAGCAGCAAGAGGCACTGTATACAGCGGTGTGAGTGACCACTGATAAAAAAGCTGAAAACGGCTAGAAAAGGTGTAAAAAAGCTGAACTTTGGAAATCTCCTATACTTTTGTACACAGCAAGTGAGGGAAAAAAGCTGAAATCCAAAACAAAAAAGCTGAAATCAGCTTTAAAGCTAAGATTTCACACCCCTGTGCATAGTTAATTACGAAGTTGTTTAATATGAACAAACTCATGGCTCCCTTTACTCCAAGGCCTTTCACTGATTAATTACCGTAGTTCGTTTTGCGGTTTTCTAGAACAGGAGGGAAATGGGAAGTGGTTTGAAAACCTAAACACAATTTCGGTTTGGACAGGAAATTTGAAATGGAACTCGAACGTTTCCAAATTTATGGGGCAATGTAATGGAAAGAATTACATCATTGATTTTTGGATGGGCCATTTGCCGAGTGGACAAAAAGAGGCCCATATTTGGCTAAAATAATTAGCCCATTATCAAGGCCATATATGAGTAGGATGGTGAATTTCTGATGACACAATGGATTGCTTTGTTTTGCAACTATATCATCATCAGAAATGAACAATCTCAACACAATTACCCCGCCATATATCTCAATGACAAAATACAGAAAAACAATACAATACAAGAATTTCAGGGTTCAATCTGTCAAGAGTTCTGCAGGTAAATCAGTTTAAATGTTTACCTGTTGATTTGTGAGTTGAACATAACTAGAAGAACATTGAATGCAGTGACTTTCGGACATTGGCCATTTCTTGAGTTTGCTGCAAATACAATGGAAAACATTCACAAAAGTGAAACAAAATTTAACTGCATAAAAAATGTCTGACCATGTATATAATTCTAAAAGAGCTATTAAATAACAACTCTCAAAACTACATATTTAATAAAACAAAACACAATAATCAACAAATCATTTTGACAGTGTTAAATATCATCTTCTTCAACCAATCCTATTTCTTCTAGGCTGTGGCCAAAACACTGGCCATTGTCATCAAACTTTTAAAGCATTCTCATAAACTTTCTCTAAATATTCCAGTGCTCTGATTGGAAAAATCCAGGACTAGCTGACCACATTTCTGCATTCTATCCTAACAACCGGCTGCCACACATCATTTCGCTGAACCTAATGCAAGCTTAAAGCAACCCAATAGTTGAATACATTGCTTAACAATTATTTGATTGCCCAGTGATCAATTTTTGTTCAAGCATACTTTATTATAAAGTATGGTTTCATATTGGGTAATTATTGTTTAGAGTGTTTTTGCGCATGGGAGCGCGCATGCTCTCCAGTGGTATATGCAATGAAGGGCATCAGAACAAGTGGGGATGTAGATTTAGATGTCAGATTTAGAAATGGTTGTGGACTTAGAAAACAGGTCACAGCTTACTTAATCAGTTCAATTGTGTATCTGCATGTAGTAATTTTTATCTACTTGTTTTAGACCACAAGAGGGCAGTATTTAAATTGCACATGCCAAGCAAAAAATGTGGTCATTGTTCACATGAGAGAGGGCGCTGTTTCACTTTTACATGACCACAATTCTACTTCCTAGTTGAAGAGTGCTCCATCAGCACCTCTACCTGCATGATATGTATAAACGGATCATAGTGGCAGACATTGGAATCAAGAAGTAGTTTGAAATCAGAGGGTAGGTTTTCTTTGGTCCAACTATAGTGTTAGCAAGCAAGCATGATCGAAACACGTAGCTCTAGCATATGGAATAAATTGGAGTATAGCTGCATGTAGTTCGAGTATTAAAGGGAATATACAACATTTGCAAACATCGAAAAATAAAACTACCAAGTTTTTGCGAAATACCTTAATAGGACGTTGGTAAATGACAGTCTAAAGCATCCTGTAAAATTATGGCACCTGGTATACTGTCATTTTCAAGAAAAGTGGTATTTTTGTATCAATTTCCAACGCTGATCGGCCGATCAGCGTTGGAAACAACTGGCTTTTTTTCAAATACTGGCCCCAATTGACTATTGCACTTGTTTGCAATCGATTACAAACCTATGAACGGGTACGAGCCAGCTAGACTGGTTCCCTGACCTTACAATTCCCCAATGTATGTAAACTGCTCTGTTTCTTCTTATATGGAGTCAGGGAACCAGACTACAGGTAAATGATCGTTTTTCTTGGTTTTTATAGCATTTTCGAACCCAAAACCTCCAAAAAGTCAGTGTAAGTATATTTGCTTTATATTTCCAATCCCCCAATTCCATCCATTTCTGAAAATTACAGCAAAAGCAAATGATGTATATTCCCTTTAAACTTGGACCCAACTTATCGCCTATTTTAACATTTGGACACATGGTCTGGCGATAGTAAGGTCCAAGTAATAGTGCGAGCTGGACAACATCATCCTGTCACTGTCCCAAAAACCAACATTTTCTAACAAAAACCATCCAATTTCACCTTCAAAACGGCCTCTAAATTACTAGATATGCCACCTGAGTAGTCCGAGTAACTTGGACCCAACTTATCGCCTTTTTAACATTCGGACATGGTCTGGCGATAGTAGGGTCCAAGCTAATAGTGCGAGCTGGACAACTCAATTCTGTCACTGTCCCCAAAACCAACGTTTTCCAACAAAAAACATCAGATTTCACCTTCAAAACGGCCTCCAAATTACTAGATACGCCAACTGAGGTACAAGTAGACATCGATAATTAAGATGGTTGTACTGAAGTTTACTTACGATCCGGATGGAAAGTGAAATTTCCCGTTCATTTCCGAGAGCTCCCCTCGCGATCGTGAACACGTTAAATTTCTGATTTGTGTTAATGTTTGAACGACGCAATGTGGTCTTCATTCCCAGCGTACATTCGATGGTTCCATTACGAACGGTAAAAGGGAATCGGGAACCAGCTTGAACTGGTATCCGTCCATAAAAGCTGCCCTAGTTCCCGACCCCCTATTATCGTTCGAAATGCACTTGTGTTTACGAACGTGATCCAGTCTACTCATTATCATAATCGATGCATCGCACGCGATCGGTAACGGAATCGCACTCGTGCATGTCGTGATACGGGGACCATCGAATGTACGCTGGGCATGAAGAAGAAATCGCGCCGTTCAAACATTAACACGAGTCGGAAATTTAACGTGAAATACGCTTACCGTAAGCAGGGACTTTTCTGCTACAGTAAGCAGGGATTTTTCGCAAACGGTAAGCAGAGCCAAGATATTGAATACCGGTCTTAACTCTTAGATGTTCAGTTACCATAGTAACTCCTCCTGGTCTTACCGTATCCATGAGTATCTTCTTTTGCAGCATAGCCATCTCCTTGCGCAGTTCTCCTTGGACATTAATCTGCTGATCAGTGTGGGACTGTTCCAACTCACTCATCGTCTAAATATCAAAATCACAACACAAGAACTCACAACGACACTTTAAAATCAATCAACTGTTCTGGGAATTTTGCAGACTGTGATGATTACTCATTTGTGAAGTGTTCTGGCAAAATGAGACAGCACTGGGCAGAGGTCGAAATGAGGGTATGTGGATGGGTAATATGGAAAGAGAATGAAATTTTCGTTACAACACTGTATTTATTTCACTTCAATCGGACATTCCGTTAACAAGTTAAGGCTGTGGTGTGCGACAGTAATGACATTGTCATTACTTTTTTCAATAAAATATCATAGGCGCTTGCAGTGCAAATGTCTATTCCATAGACTACGATATTACTTCCAGCCATGGCCAAGTAATAAACCAGTTCGTTATTTCAACTGTGCATGTGCACAATGATATGGGTCACAGGTCATTTGGGATAATCGAAAGCACATCGTGTAACATCACGTCTAGTGTTCTCCAACTTTGAAAATTAAAGGTCGGTGCGCCGTCAAACAGCGGAGGGGGGGGGACGCTATATGTTAGGGGCGCTATTTGCCGTCATATATTTCTTTTTGCTAGGGGGCGCTATTTGCAGATGAACATGTAATTTATGTATGGCTAACAGCTTTCAGGCCATTTCTAACAGAGTAACAGTTAAGTACAATACTGGCTCAGGCAGCATCGTCTTTTTTAATACATCAGTGACCAGGGACTCTGAGGCAGTTTGGCTTTGAGACTTTTGACCTGATCGATTGCTACAATGGGCAGGCTTGTCAGTTTGACAAGTGTTGCATGTTACTGCTTCTGGCAGAGTTTCTGGCCAAAATATACCCTGGAGGGTAAGGGTAGTCCCACTTGTTTGTCTTTTTTATTATTTTTTTCATTTTTTTTTTTAAAGCATGGCGGCAACTTTTTAAGTTTGGCAGGTGCCTCAGAAAGCATGGCGGGGCACCAGGTTATGTTTACACGTTGGAGTGATTTTATCCCGAAATGACCTTTGGCCTGGCCTACATCATCGAGATTCTTAACTGGCTTTCAGATGCTGCAGTACCTGTATAATAACAAAGTTTTGAATACAGTAGGGGGCACAAACCAATTAAAATTAAAAGAACCATCAATTGGAAAATTAGTAGTGGTTACCTTTGAGTATTTATCAAAGAGTTGTCTGATAGTCTTCAGGCGCTGGGACATGGTGATACGGGATTGCTGAAATAACTTCTGCTGCTGACTGAACAGTCTCTGATGGAAGGACAGATGTAATTTGAATAAGTTCAGGATTTGAAAAGGGGGAAAACAATCTACACAAAATGTTTTTGTGGACTAAAAACTGAAACAAAAAGGCCAATGCAACTTTTGAAAGGGGACAGATGATATTTCCTGTTCGAATTTCTTTAACTAAAGTTGACCTACTGAGGCTAAATCAGGAATATCTCCCAAAACCTTGTTTCGGGTAATTCGCTCTTTTCACACTTCCGCCATTGGGCATGCAGAGCCTCGATCTGGCAACTTTACACAATAAAAATAGCCGGTTCAGTGATCTGAACCCCGACCCGGGAATCACTGAACTGGCTATATTTCTTGTGTAAAGTTGCCAGATCGAGGCTCTGCATGCCCATGGCGGAAGTGTGAAAAGAGCGAATCGGGGCCTGAAGTTGGATATACAATGTACATGAAAAATCATATATCTATTTGCAAATTCCTAAATTATCAATGCTTGACATAGGGCTGTCCATTTTTGAACAGTTTAGTATCTGATTACACAAAAGTGTGTTGGACCGAATATTCAGATATTCGAAAGTGCCAGCTGAAACTGTGCATAAAGTAAAAATACATGTATATTGTTACCTGTATTTTTTCCTCTTGATCTTTGACTTTGTTGACGTCAGTTTCCCACTGGTCCAAGACGCTACCCAGCTGCTTGTTGTATTCCTCTTGCAAACGGTTCCTGAAAATTAAAAGAGCAGTTTCTAAATTTCAAAATCTATATATTTTTACTCATCACATTGTGTAATGGGAGTTTGGTCAAATGGTTAGAGACTGTGACTCATAATTAGAGGGTGAGGGGTTCGATTCCAGTCGCATATGCTAGCCATGTTATGATGTGTCCTTGAGCAAGTCACTTTACACCCACTTGTCTCTCCCCACCCTAACATGCCTGGAGAGTGGCAATATTTATTGTGTAGTGGTTAGAGACTGGGACTCTTGTTTAGAGGGTCAGGGGTTCGATTCCCGATATGTCCCTGAGTAAAGCCCTGTCCGCACTGGACTTTTTTTGGTCAAACTAACCGAGACTATGGGTACTTTTCCCATTTTAAGTCCAGTGCGGACAGCCTAGGACGTTTTCCTCTCAGTTACTTTTCCTGAGTCCAGCGGTTACTTTTACTGGCCAACTGCTGCCCAGGAAAACTTCCCACGCGCCCAGGAAAACTGACCGAGTCGCTTTTCCCGAGACGATTAGTCCAGTGCGGACAGTGCGAGTCGGTAAAAGCGGCTCAGGAAAGCGTACATCCGGCCCGAGCGCCCTGTTATGCATACAGAGACCGCACGTACCTGCACGTGCAGTGGCCGAACATTATGTAGAAACACGCTGCGGTGTATTATCAAGTCCGAGCGGTAAAATCTCGTTAAAATATATATTTCAACGGACAAATACATACACAGAGAAGAGAGATCAAATTCTGAGAATTAATTTGCGGAAATTCTCTTTCTCCACCGATGTATGTTATTTTCTACGATCCAAATTCGTCCTGATACGCTACTGTAGTCATGCACGGAACATCATGGTCCGGTACCGTACGTAGGCCGTAGTCACTGGTTCCCGGCCCACATCATAGCTTCGATTCTGTAAGCATGCGATGGGAACCAACGAATCACTGATGGCACTGCTGCCGCACGGAACATCGTACAGCGGCATGGCTTCGACGACGTGCATCACAAATGCGTCAGAATTATAGGCCCTTTCGTCAAGATTTAGCGTGTCAAGATGAAATAATATCGTGTAAACGATTATGTTATGCATACAAATGGCGTGTGTAATATTACTGAGCGTATCGGTGGCTGAAAATGTGATCGGCAATTTGTTTTCTGCGTACGGTGAGTCATTATACTGACACTGTGACAGCTCGGTTAATTCTCCCACGCGGTCGGGGTAAAATTTCCCGTGTCGAAAGTCCAAGTGCGGACAGTGGTCACATTTGAACATTTTTCATTTTACCATCGTCTCGGTAAAACCTTCCCAAAAAAAAGTCCAGTGCGGACACGGCTTAAGCCACTTCACACCCACTTGTCTCTCCCCACCCTAACATGCCTGGAGAGTGGCAATATTTATTGCGTAGTGGTTAGAGACTGGGACTCTTGATTAGAGGGTCAGGGGTTCGATTCCCGATGTCCCTGAATAAGCCACTTTACACCCACTTGTGTTTCTCTACCGAGGAGAAAGGCAAAAATGGTTGAAACTTTGGCTCATGATTAGAGGGTCAAGGGTTCGATTCCAGCTACATATGCTAGACATATTATGTTGTTTCCTTGAGCAAGCCACTTTACACTCGCCTCTCTCCACACAGGAGAGGGGTAACAGTTATTGTGTATTGGTTAATGACTGTGACTCATGATTAGAGGGTGAGAGGTTCGATTCCAGTCACATATGCTAGCCATATTATTTTGTGTCCTCAGCAAGCCACTTTACACCACTACATGTCTCTCTCCACCGAGGAGAGAGGCAATAGTTATTGTGCAGTGGTAAGAGACTGTTGCTCATGATTAGAGGGTCAGGGGTTCAATTCCAGCTGCATATGCTAGTCATATTATGATGTGTCCTTCGGCAAGTCACTTCACACCCACTTGTCCCTCTCCACCCAGAAGAGAGGCAATAGTTACATGTATTGCAGGGGAAATAGTTACATACATCACAGACTAGCAATAGTTGCTTGGGACCAACCTGCAATAGGCCGCAATACTATCCAGGAGTGAAAAAAGTATTCGCATTTGTTCAATATGAAGGAATTAGAGACACCATTCACAAAACGGCCATTCTCTTAACATGATCAAACAACTTGCTAAATTTCATATGACTTGCTACGACTCAACTTGTTCTTCAACAAATTGGAAGTAAATTAAGGAAAAATCCAGAAACTTCTAACAGACTTTAAAAAAGTTGGAACGTACCCGTTCTGTATGGAATGTTCCTTTTAGGAGCACTGTGTGCTCTGGAACAGGCCATTTCTGAGTAAGTGTGCACGCGCATAGACCAACGTTCCCACACGGGATCACCTGGCCTTCCCGGGCAAATCCAACTGGGAACAACGCATGTTCCCAATTGAAACAGGCGATGTTCCCCGATGGAACATTCCAAGCTTTCAGACTTTTGAGACGTTCCCTAAAACGAGAATCTTGCCTCTCTGTTTGCTGCATCTTCCAGATTTTCTCAACCTTGGTGTTGGCCGACTTCAAGCTCTGCTGGGTGAAGTTTTCTAATCTCTTCTTCTTTGACACCAGGGATTTCTTGACGTCAGCTTGCGTGAAAGAGAAAACAAAAGAGGTTGGTTTTTATTTATACTAAACATTATTGGATTTTTTCTTCTTCAATATTGAACAGAGAAATTGACTGGAGCAGGGTTTGAACCTGAAACCTTTGAATTGCCATTATTTTGCTATCCAACTCTATACTGGCAGTGCACCAGTATGTGACGTATGTAACTATTGGGGATTCGCCAACATAGGGCTGGATAGCTCAGTTGGTAAAGTACGGGAGCAGCAACCTGGAGGTCGCAGGTCCAAACCTCGCTCCAGTCAATTTCTTTGTTCAACTTTTTAAAATATGCACATACTCATGTTCTTATTGTGGTTTACATGTATTTAGAACTTATTGCAGCTAGCATCATGACATTTTCTGGCAACCTTCAAGAATTTAACTTTTGGGTAGAGGTTCACAGTTGAATTAATTTTAAACATTGTAAACTAAAACTCAAATCTAAAAGTTAGTTTTTCTCAGGGGCTGAATTGTTCTGTTCTGAGTTCTTTGAAAATGTCTCCCTGTCTGTGTGTGCTATAAGACATACATTAGAAGTCGTATGAAATGTTCTTAATTCCTAAAAGCAATTTTTACCTTTTAGGTTTTGCAAGTTACTTTGATAGTTTGTTAGGTTGTAAAATGCCATATTACATAAGAGTTAGAGACAATCCATGGATAAACGTATCTTACCTCCAAAAGTTTCCAGCATTGATTGCATCTCTCCACTGTAAATGAAAGTAATATCAACCAGTAGGCGTATAAATATTAATAACAAATGTGATTCTTTTGACTATAGATCAAAGGGGCAAATTGTTATAATCAGTTTACTGGAGCACTGCCCTCATGCCCAGGAAAGTTTACAACATGGAGATAATTAGCTAATTTGAGTGCATGTCAGTTATTCCTGGGTGAAGATTATGGGTGTGCATTAACGGGTAGTTAAAGGAATCAGTACCCAATACAAACAACAGCACGGGTACCCATTTAGGTTACCCATAAAAGGTACCCATTAAGGGTACCCATTAAGGGTACCCATAAAAGGTACCCATTAAGGGTACCCATTAAGGGTACCCATAAAAGGTACCCATTAAGGGTACCCATTAAGGGTACCCATTAAGTTTACCCATAAAAGGTACCCATAAAAGGTACCCATTAAGGGTACCCATTAAGGTTACCCATAAAAGGTACACATGTACCCATTAAGGGTACCCATAAAAGGTACCCATTAAGGGTACCCATTAAGTTTACCCATAAAAGGTACCCATTAAGGTACCCATTAAGGTTACCCATAAAAGGTACCCATTAAGGGTACCCATTAAGGTTAGCCATAAAAGGTACCCATTAAGGGTACCCATTAAGGGTACCCATTAAAGGTACCCGTTAAAGAAACGCAGCCCCAAAATTTTAATTTTGGAAGTTGCTGTTCTCGTTCATAAAAGGTCCGCACGATAATACTACCACATCAGTGTGTCAATACAGCAAAATACATGTGTGTAGCCTACATCGAGTGAGCTCTTGAACTTAATGGTGTAAATTACATTTTTTCAAGTGTCATAAACATGAAACTCTTTTGTTTTCCCATGTAGCCTGCTTTTCGTTTGGAAAATTCCCCATAAACTACATTCAAACCTTTCTTTTTCATTGTCTAAGAAGTTTCTGAGTAATTATGTGGTTAATTACGGGTACTTGATTCCACAATCTGGAACCGGTTCCTGACATCAGCAGTCGGGTACTCGAGTACCCGGTTCCGATGCACAGCCATAGTGAAGATGATTGAGGAACAACGATCATGGCCCTATCATGACCATACATTTATTAGCACACAAATTTGCTACACTTGTCTGCTATACAGCAATTAGGTATTAGGTTTCATGTAATACATAAAGCTTAGGGGTGCACACCGGTAAATCGATCCGCCAAGCTCATGAATAAAAGTTATACCCTCAAAATATTCTATATTAGAGAGTTCTGAGCGCCGTAAAATTGGGGAATTGAAGAGATATGGTAGTGAACCTCTGGCCCGGACTTGGGGCTTCCAATTCTGAGCATTTTGGATGATATTGGGCTCGAAAGTGGCGCTATTTTGCCATGTTGTGGAGGGATCGTTTTTCAAGATGGCTACTTTTCCGCTTTGGGGAAAATAGGGGTCGTCTTCTTTGCGTGATAATATCTCGAAAAGTCAATGGTCAACCCACCATAAATTGAAAAGAAATTGAAAGATGACACATTGATCATCATTTTTCTGCGCAGCTTGAATACCTGTGAGAGTTTTGAGTATTTTTAAAAGAATTTTGAAGTATGGGCATTTAGCACTAGTGTCTATGGGAGTTTATTTGCAGGTATGCACCCTTAGGACAGTTCTTAGTTGATTTTGACTTCTGAATTATGAGCATGGGCTCCGGGCACCTACAAGACAGGGTGTTTTGCTTTTTTTACCACTTTTTTTACCACTTTCGAGAGCCTGTGGACGGTAGACACTGCGTGAATGTACTAGTTAAAAATAAATAAGCACAGAAGAAGGTGAACATACGCGGGCAAATGAACGGACTCAGCTCTATGAATCTCCAGCAAATAATCAACTGCGCACCGTTCAAACATTTGCTCCATTTTCTTTCAGTTATGGCTCGCTGGCTTGCTAAGTGGCATGGCTCTCAAAAAAAGATAGGAACAATAGGACTTGTTTCTCTTTGACAGTTTACTAAGCATTTCATGATGCCATGATCATGTGTAGCGGATAGCAAGTTGCCTATGATGTTACAAGACCACACTAAGTGATGGCCTATCTGGCAAGCTAACCCTATCGGTTCACTCTTGAAAACTCTCTATGAACAAGGTGAATGCTGAATCAAACGCAGTGTTGGGAATGTTGGCACTCAGATCCATGGAGTGCCATTGCCTCGTGGTTAAGGGCATTGAATTCGTGGTCTTGGGGTAATTCTGCGCGTTGTGGGTTCGAGTCCAGCCTGGGGTTATGGTGTGTGTACCCTTGGGCAAGGCACTTTGTCACTCATTGCTTCTCCCGACCCAGGAGTAAATGGGTACCTGTGAGGACAGAGATGGTTATTGTGATACTCCCCAGGGAGCTGAGATGGTATTTGGAATGTTTAATTGGCCCAATGATCGGTGGTAATAATAACACTGTAAGCGCTGTGATTTAGTTTACTAATAAGAGCGTTCTTAGGCCAACAAAAAAAAGTCTCCGGTTTCTGGTATGCGCGCGCGTCGCCGTAGCCATGCGCGTCGGCAAAATGAAAAAGTTTTTTTTTCAATGAAAGATTACATTGTATGTCTCAAAACCGCCAAACTCGCTGGTTTGACTGGAATCCAGCTGCTGCACAATTTTAACATGTTTTTAGATTGGGTTATGGTCGAGAATAAGCTTTATGTGGCCTCTCTGGACTCCCATATATTTGCACTAAGTTTAGTCGGGCACCTTTGCAGTCATCAGCCGACATTTGAAGCAAAAAAGTCAGGTAAAAAAAAAAAAGCCGCGTCGCCGCACCACTTTTGGGGCAAGCTCCATACCAGAAACCGGAGACTTTTTTTTTTTGGCCTTAAATGCCGATTATCATTATTATTATTATTATTATCCAAATTCACCATCGTGCACCCTCAATTCCTAGAAGCTGGATGGTTTGCTTACTCAAAGTTGGTGTTTGCTTGTGGAAGGCTACATGTTTCTTCATCGTCCTCCTCCACTTCTTGGTAAAATCGTTTCTTGCTGGCCTTCGCAGCTGACGGGGCTTCATCTAATACATGATTTCAATATATTTATGATGAAGAAATTTCTGTATTTATCTTCAAGCATGGCAATTGTTAAAGACTAATTTCACTGACTTAAGGTGGAAGGGGTGATCTCACGCAACTGCCCAAAGTGTGCACTCAAAAAGACTCTTCAAAATGCATTCAAATCTCAAAATCATGAAACTTTTAAGAATCTGATGAAGGATACATGTATTTGCCTAAATGCAGTATGAGTTCGGTATTTCAACTGCGCATGCGCGCAATGATATGGTCATGGGCCATTCGGGATAATCGAACGCTCATCGAAGGCACATAAAAACGCGCAAGGAGACAGCCATATGACAATCGGGCATTAATAACGAGCAGATTGGGCATTCACGTAACATGAATTTGCAATGCCTAGACAATGATTTCCTCAACCAGTACACAGTGCTCATCTTAAAGGGACACTAGGTCCTGGAACAGCCCAATTGGGCTACAAAACGCGCTTTGAATGAGATTATGTTAACTGGAAAGAACTTTTAAAACTAGGATAGAAACATCCACACAACTATCCTTTAAAAACTGGGCGTTTTTGTGTTACTCCTGTATTATGCGTGCAAGAACGAATTTCGGGGTCCACTTTTTCGGGGTCCCATAAATTCGAGCCGTTTGGATGCTAGTTGTGATTTCATTCGTACGCTTAAAGTGTTCGCCTTTTGCGGACGTTGAAGAAACCACAATTTTTTGGCATTGGTGATTGGTCGCCGCTGTACCCGAGACACACAACATGTATATCGTACACTGTATGAGAACGACACGAAAAACTTATTCATACTCCGTCATGTCTGATGTAAACAACCAGGTTTTTTTTTTCTTTTCTCGGGAACAGTAAGACATTAGGTTGGTTTCCTTTCAACCACATGTTTGAATTAAACTTGTAAACAGTCCAAAACATGACATTTTCGGGGATTTCAGGACCTAGTGCCCCTTTAATGCAAAGTATGGTGGTTGCGTATGGTTCTCAGGTCGTGTCCTAATTACACGGCTTCGGCTTGAAATTACACACGCGCCAATGAGAAGCGGCTACATTGACCCGTGTGTTATTAATCCAGCCGTAGCCAAGTATATGAAATTCGGAAGCGGCCTCAGCTGACTTTTGCTCAGCACATAAAAACTGCTAAAGCTGAGATAGGACAAAATAAATACTTATAAATCAATCAATCAATCAATCAATCAAAAAAGAAATTGATAAAGCGCATAAATCAAAAAAATTGCTCTAAAGCGCTGATGGGGCATCAAAAAGAAGAAAAATTAGTGATGGTACACCTCCTGAAACAGGTGAGCTTTTAGGAGTGTCTTGAATGTATGCAGTGAGGTGGTATCTCTAATGTATTCTGGAAGTTTGACACGCTTACCTCTATTACTGCCGGTAGCCTCATCCTGGTTTTCGTCATAGAAATCAAACTTGTCCAGGGCCTGTTTGGACTTGTCTTTCTGAGTCGAGGCTGTGGGAGTGGCTTTCTTAGCCACTGCGGATGCACGTGGCATTCTTGCGTTCTGGAGTTATGCCAGTTGTTGGCCTTTAAATTTGTTATTTCCTAACAAGAAATTCAAAATCTGAAGTAATGCATCTTGGAAATTGTATGTTTGCTATGTCAGTTTGAACCCCTAACTGCAATGTCTTTTGTTATTTTACTGAGTCTAAATCCTTTACAGCAACAGATCAGGAATTAAACAATCAAAAGCAGGAGTTGGATAAATTAACACACAAACAAATGGCGGTTGGGGGAGGGATTGTTGAAATTGCACCTAATTATACATGTACTTTCATGAGGAGGCTGCCACTAATTATCATTCACACAGGACCTGTTATTTTTCAGAAATAAAGAGCAACTGAAGCCCCTCAGAACGAGTGAAAAAAATCTCTTTCAAGTTTAATAAAGAAATTAATTTTCTACTTAGTTCTGTTGTAGGCCTATGTACCCTGACTCGTTTCCGTGCAAATTACAAGTCAGTACAAGACAATCATCAACACTCGTCTGCTCACCATCTACCCTTGAAGCTAACATATCTCGAAAGTCTTGTACCTTTGCACGTCCCGAAAAAAACAGTCAACTACTGTTCAGTGCCTTGCTGGTGTAATGGTCTCACTTATCCGGTGTGCTAACTTTTCTGATGGGGAAATTTCACAACTCGCACACGCGACATTGCGCAGTAGTGTACATTTTCACCAACACTAAGTTCTGTGCTGAGTTCTTTGGGGTTCTACGTTACAGGGTAACAGTAGAATCCTGAATTTTCGCAAGGCGCGCGCAGATCTGTACGATGGCGATGGCTCTCTCCTAGGCCCTCAATCTTTTGCTTTGACTGCTTATGCAGACATGGCAAAGAGAGTCGCCTCCTACAAAAAAAGGGCGATGGTATCATTTTCTTTCAAACCAAAAAAGGCCAAATTAAATGTATACCAATTTTTTTCTAATTTGAATTTGTATTTTTTTTTTATAAAAAAAGAAGAAGAAGGGACATTGACAGTCTCCATTCCGATCATAGGCCTATAAACAAATTTAATGACTAGAAGGGGATTTATTGAGGGAAAATATTTTTACTTGATGTTATTTTGTAAATAAAAAAAAAAAAACAATTGCCCAACTGTACCTACATGAGTTTCTCTGAAAAGTGGCCATTTAGACCCGAGTTCCTGGGTTCTTTGTTTTGATTTAGAACTAGGACAAGTTCTCAGAATTTGGGGCAGAAATCATCAGCCATCGATGTGCACAATGTTCGGAATTTGGTGGGGAATACACTGCTATTGTTTGAATATAAAAGGTCTTTCACAGTAATGCACCATCTTGTTCACGGGGGCAAAAAAGAACACGCGTTGCTAGACGCGGGCGCACTTTGGAATGAATGCATGATGACTTGAAAGCGCAATAGTGTTCCATTGATGATGTGTACACAGCAACGCGTGTAAAATTGCCCCGCGGGCAAGATGGCGCATATTACCGTGAATGACCTTATTCCTCTGTACAGCATTTATTTAGGAAAAGTAAGCAGGCGGATAAGGCCACAAAAAAAAAGTCTCCGGTTTCTGGTATGGAGCTTGCCCAAAAAGTGGTGCGGCGACGCGGCTTTTTTTTTTTTTTACCCGTTTTTTTTGCTTCAAATGTCGGCTGATGACTGCAAATGGTGCCCGACTAAACTTAGTGCAAATATTATGGCAGACCAGAGAGGCCACATAAAGCTTATTCTCGATCATAGCCCCATCTAAAAACACGTTAAAATTGTGCACCAGCAGGATTCCAGTCAAACCAGCGGTTTTGAGACATCATCTTTCATTGAAATTTTTTTTTCATTTTGCCAACGCGCATGGCTACGGCGACGCGCGCGCATACCAGAAACCGGAGACTTTTTTTTTTTGGCCTAAATGAGTATGTGACTGTAACAAGCTCAATTATCCACTGAATCCGCCTGGAAACATTAACACACCGAATAATTACACCGCCCCACCGGGCTTACACAAAACGGCATTGATAATGATTGGCATGCCATGCCCATGGCACTGACCGTAAAAATGCATAGGAAAATCATATTTTTTACCACAAGAAACTGTTCAAAATTATTAGGCCCCCTATTGTATTAGAATTAATTTAGGCCTAGGCCCCTAGGGGGATTAAGACTAAGTTTTACTTGTTACTTGTTAGGGCCTAGTTTGAAAAAGTCATTTGGGAATGATAAACAACATCCTCGACTTTCATTTGGGAAATACAATGTAATGGGGAAAAAATTCCATACTGGGCCACCACTCAGAGCTCCTGCACAAAGTCTATGGGCTACATGACAGAACATTTTAAAGTATTAGCCTATTAAAGAATTTTTGTACTCCTTAATTCCTTTAAACAGTGTTTCTTCATCAGATTTACAACTTTGGGTACTTTTCACTTAGCCGTTTTCAGGTCATATTAAGGAAAATGAGTGGTCACGTGGCCCAGTATGGAATTTTTTCTCTATCGTCAGTCCACCTACAATGACGAGGATATGTTTTGACGCACTCGCATTCAATTTGCGTTGGACAACACGCGCGCGTTGCGTTATCTGCGTCACTTATGGTGACTCAAGGATATTTGCAAACAAATTGGAAATGTTTCTCAGTCCCAGATTCATGTCTTAAGTCTCATCATTTTTGCAATGACTGACCTCCATCATGTCCATCGAGATGATAGGCCCTATGAAGGAAAAGGCAGCGTCAGGTTGCAACATTCTTTCCGTAATGTGATCAAAACTAAAGAAAAGAGGGCCCTACAATTACACTTAACAATCTCCCTCTGGCTTCCGTGAAAATAGCCACTGCCAACATTGACTGCACTGGCACTGCACTGCATTCTCCGTGTCGCGGAGTTGTGGTCGTCTGGTCTAGGAAAGCGGAGTTGTGGTCGTCTGGTCTAGGAAAACGACTGTATCCTCGACCCTCCATAATCTGCGCAGGTAATGCTTGCAACGCACGCGCGTGGTCACACACAAATGGAATGCGAGTGCGTAGAAATAGGACCGCGTAGCTTTAGGAGGTAATCCTTACTTTTAGGACCCAGTTCCTATATAGGAAGGGAAAGACTCACCAAGACAGTTGACTAATTTTTTCTAAATGACACTCAAAATTGACATTCTGATACTTCTTGGCACATCTGAACAATTGGCAATGACACCTTCTTGACTTCTAAAGACTGCTTTAGCCTGCAAAAGTCACTTTGGAACTGGACAGACATCTGCAAAAGTCAGTTTTGAACAGAACTCGTAAAAAATAGAGGTGTCCTAAAAGTAAGGATTACCCTTTAGGGGTCTGATGTTACAGTAAGTGTTCATGGTCTTTCATGTCTTTGCATTTGGTTGCCGAACATAAACATGATGATAAACCATGACCATGTTGTAAACTGGCAATTTGACTGAAACGTTTCTCTACGGTGCATTTTGAAATAAACACATGCTGCTAGAAGTAGAAGAACAACTTTACTTACCAGGTGTGGTAAATAATTTACCGTTTCGGAGGGCCGAGAAGACGAATCAGAACTGCTGAGAGGAGCGAGAATTTTCACGGGCGCACTCGTACTATCCTAGTACGTCCCACCACGCGTACGCACGTACAAGTACATGTACATGACGTACATGTACGTACGTAAACCACGCATTATAATACATGTATTATATTCTACGGGGAAAAAGCATTTGCCGGAAAGGTCACCAAGGGTCAACGTGTTTACACAACTTCAGTATTCATCCGCTACTAAATAAAAAAGCTTATTCGGTACAATAATCTTGATTGATTTCATAGATTTATTTAGAGTTTAACAACCATAATCAATTGTTATTCCAACCACATTGAGGAAAAACATAAATAAATTGGAATTTAAATATGCTCTTGCTTCAAACACGCCCTATTTTTTATCGGAATTGTTAAGTCGCAGGAACTCATAAGGGAAGTGGTAAGGCTATTACATGCTGTGGCGGGAAGTTCAAAGAGAATTTTCGTCTGCTAGGCCTTTTTTAGGGGGGGGGGGGGGTTGATGGAGGGCAAGGGGCATTTGAGAGGTGGAAGTTCATTTGACGAATTTTGCGCGAGCTAGTTTTATTATGTACACGAATTCAATTCAATTCAACGTGGACTTTGACTACACATGCACTATTAATATTATATACTTGCATTATGCATGTTGCATATTCTTCATCTCTTTGGGACGGTAGCTGGCTGTCGATTTCGCTACCCCCGCCCTCCTGTTTGCAGGGTGGGGGTACGAGCAACCTCGTCCCCAGGGCTTACTTTATTTCTAACCGCGTTTCCAATAGTAAACCCTGGATAGGAAACTTTCTTCCTGTATCCTGATTGGATACCGCAATTGGCTAGTAATGGGTTTTTATCGCGTACTTGGTGCTATTATTCAAAACGTGCAGTACGTGTTTTCGCGATCATTCGTCCACGCCTTCTCGAAAATTCTAATTTCCTTTCCAATTTGCTCATATTAATATGAAATATGATACTGCATGTTGTCTGGATAAGATCGTAGCAGTTTGATTTCAAAAATCATGTTTTCGTAACTCATGCCGTGCTCGCGCTGCTACAAATTGACTCTGTTTTTACCCCAGACACCGCATACAAAAACAAACGCTAATGTGTAACGCATATCCAGGCACCAGACTGTTCCTCATTTGCATACGTGTGCAAAAATCTTGCACATTCAAATGATCCAATACCAGGGTGAGAGAGCAGGTAGTGATGGGCGCGTACTGCTCGACACCCTGGGTACGGGGTTGGGGTACGAGCGAATCGATGTCCAAAATAGACAATAGAGGGCGGTGGATACAGCAGTTTGTTCAATTGAGGGCGGTACGGTAGATACAACTCATCAAAATGGCAGCCTCCACTGTTACTGGTTAAGTTTGTCAGTAAGTTCTCTTTGAGTGTTTAGTTCAAAATTCAGTGTTACTATGTCATGTTCAGTTGAATTTTTTATTATCATTTATAAATTCAGGCTGGAACATGAGGACACACTTTACTTTGTTAAATAATATAGTTTTATTTGATTTACATCGCAAAACAATTTGTTTACGTATACGTATCATATTGACGTCAGGCATTTGGACACTAAAGTATTCCTCGATTATTGTATGCATATTATGTAACATAAGACAATAAATTGTGCTAAATTTTGATAATATTGTGAACAAAATTGTATTGGTCTGTTGTTGGTACTTTTAATATATGTTGACAACTTATTTGATATTTTCATTAGTTTTGTACTATTACTTTACATTTATTTTACAGTACTTGAATCTTCACGGTTTGTTCATATCGCCACCTTATGACTACATGCATAGGCCCGGAGGCATTTTCTGACGACTTTAACCTTTTTATTATTGAGGAAAAGATGGTGGTGTACGCAGAGACTGCCTTTATTGCGACCGTCACTTAAAACATGGATTCGCCCTTGGTTGGCATGGTTGGCAACAATTAACCACGGCCTAAATGTATCCCCTCGTGGCAGGCCATGACGCTCATTGTTTACAAATAACTTAAAGAACGCTTTCTCATCAGCCGACGGGATAGATCAAACTCCTTGAGCGACTGCTCTGTGACGAAGAAGTGTTAGTCAACGTCCTCTACATTTTTGCTTTCGAAACACCACCCTTCATGTTGATATTTCTTCTTGTTTCTCTGTGCGTGCTTGCAGGGCGTAGCTGAGGTGGGTTTCACCAAGAAACAATGGATACTTTGCAATCCGAAGAGAAGTTGATTGGTCTGCCAGAGGAACTGAAGGCGTATATTTTTGGCCATCTGACAGCTACAGATCTCTGTCATGTGGCATTGTGCAATCGAATTTTGAGAGAATCGGCCAATCAAGATGCCTTGTGGCGTCTTCTGTGTCGAAAGAATGGATGGGAGCGTTATGGCACAAATCTTTGCAAAGAGCCTCCGTTTACACCTACCTTACATGATCAACTGACGGGCGGTGAAGGGGGTTCGCCTACGTTCCCGGTCGATGCTGTTGTGACCGGTTCAGACTGGCCTGGACTGGTGGATACATGTAAATGGAAGGAAGTCTACATGAAAGCGAGGCACCTGGAAGAAAACTGGAGGAACCAGCGCTTCTACGCCACGACATTCAAATTTGGCCAAACTAGCGATGAAACTGGCCTGTTTGCCGTTGAGACACTTGATCAACCAAAAATCTCAAATCTAGACTGCGAGGGAGGATGTCTTGCTGTAGGCGTTGACGACGGTACGCTGCAGATCTGGGATGTCTCAATTGGGAAACGTCGACATAACATCCGAGTAAATGTGAGTGAGGAGCCAGATGCTCTGAAGATGAAGGACGGCATAATAGCTGCAGGATGCATGGACGGTAAGATTCGCACCTACTCCGCCCAGACTGGAGAGCAGCTGCAAGTCATGTCGGGGCATTATCTAGCCGTCTCTCGTCTCTTCTTTGATGGAGACACTATCGTTAGTGTTGCCAGAAGACTTCTTGACAGATCTAAAAATTATGCAGATAGTGGCATACGGGTCTGTAAGGCTGAAGACGCCTCGACTCGTTTTGTCCTTCAGTATGGCTGCTCTAAAACAAGTCTTATTCACTTAGATTATCGCACGAAGGTGATAGCTGGTGCATACAGCGACAATACAATTCAAATTTGGGATGCAGAAAATGGTTCTGACATACAGCATATCATTTGTGACATGAAGAAACTAGTTTCTTGTTATCTAGGAGATGGCATCGTCATCGGCGCATCCAAAGATTTCGCCGTGAAGATCTGGAAACTGGAATCTTGGGAATGTCTCAGGACATTTCGGGTACCTCTCCATCCAGAGTCCAATAACTTCGAGCTGATTGGAGCCGCTCCTTACGCGTTCAATGGCGAGCTGCTCGTCGCGATTTCCCGCGCCCATTTGACATTCATGGACCTCGAGGGGAAACTGATTGGAAGTATCTTCAACACTCATGAAAATCACACAGGAACTTTCTTTACTCAAGACAACAGCAAGTTTACTACAGCACATTGTTTTCATGGCAACAAGCTGATCACAGGGAGTAGCAATACTTACAGCGGAAAATACGATCTGTGGATTGTTAACCCAGCGATGGGCGTGTACGGTTCGGGAGAAGTTGTGTCCAAGATGGACTTAGGAGGAGAGGCTTTCGCGGAATTCACTGGGGCCTTCTCACCTGCTTGGATGAATGACACCAAGGTGGTGTTCGAGGGAATCGACAAGGAGTCCGGGTTTGGACCCCAAAGGCCTACGATCGTCATTCGTCATTATTGGTGAAACATAAAGCAAAAACTCAGGGTGGTGATGGCGTAGGTGTCTATGAAGTTGGAGCTTGCGGTGAAGTTAAATGGGACGTTGATGGTATCATGACAAAGTCTGTCTAAGTGATAAGGGTTATGATAACATGTAGCACACACTACTATTATAGATTCCGAAATAATGAACACTTTATTTACAACCATTCGAAAATACCTTGTCAAAATATTATGCATTGATATCTCTTTGATTGCAAGCAAATAATACAATCAAGTATCCTGTGAAGTCATGGGCCTTTGAGGGGAATTACACTACTGAATTACATTAATAACCATAAATGATGACGACCAAACCATCGCGAGAAAAACATGGCCTTATCAACTATACTGATCTCATCAAGAGCGGCGCCCTCCAACCATGGCCGAATCAGTTTAGTGAAGAGCGGATACAAATCCAGTATTTACATCCGGCTCACTTAACCAAACCTCAACTTCTCAATCATTGGACATTTTAGGAATGTTTTATAATTTCTGAAAAAAATAGGAGGTGGGACAAGTATTTTTACAGGACAATTTGAACCGACAATAAAGCATTTCATTATTGAATCACCAAGTCAAGTTGTATTTATATCTTTGTCCTATCGTTGGTTTGTAATTCACTGGTACCCCCCCCCCCCCCCCCCTGCAAACATGACGCTGGGAAGGGCTGATGAATTTACGCTCCGATTGGATAGATCTTGCGTGAGTGACCTGTGCATCCTGGCCATGTGATCTGTAAGTCATCACGGCCACACCCTAAAAGGGTTTAAAACAGCCGTTAAGACTAAGTCATAACTCTTTTATTCCCATCCATAAATGGTTTTATTTTTTCGTTGAAAAGCGTAATAATGTGGGAAAATGTGGAAGAATCTGTTTTGTAAATGTCCAGTACCAGATGTGATTTCTTTTTCATTGCGGACCATGTGGACACATTTTGAGCGTCGCATAATAGCTATCCATCGTGAATTCGGAACGGAGCCTGAGCAACTGACTGGAGTTAAAAATTTACAAAACAGATAAGTTCAACAGATTTTCCTTACATGAATGTCTTACGCTATTCGACAAAACAGGGCATTTATAAACATGGGAACAAAAGCGTGCTGAATGACTCAGTCTTAACATGGACGAATAGGCCTTTCTTTTGTTTGTAAACATTGGCGTCATTTTGTATGGGCTGCCGTAAGCGCATAAATTGAAGCCGTGGTTGGCAACATATTTTTCCAAAAAAAGTCTTCATAACGCCATCAACACATAGTAGAAAGGCATATGTAAGAATTATTTTGTAGCTTGGTTGAAAACGTTGTATTTTCAAGTATCAAATAAATATTTTGGTGATCTATAATAACTAAAAAGGCGCCATTTTGAAATTATAGGTAGCAGACCAGTAAATAAACTTCCGTAGACCCCAATGGTAAATGCTCCCACTTCAGAAATTCGGGAAAAATACTCACAACTCTCCAAGGTGTTCGAGACACACATCAAATTAAAGCTTATTTCATCATCTTTCATTTTCTTTTCAATTTTCGGGCGGTCAACTGATGACTTTTAGGAGAAATTTCCATCTGAAGATGATCACCCCTGAAAATAGTCATGAAGCCCATCGCCATTTTGAAAAACGATGCCTACACTCCATTGCAAAATAGAGCGCTTTTACTTTTAGTTTTAGTGTCTAAATTACATCCAAATTACACAGAACTGCAAGCTCCCAGTCCTGTGCACGGCTCCCACCCATATTTTTTACAAACCCTCAAGTTCATGGCCCACAGCATGCTCAAATACTGAAGATTTTGAGGGCATGCAAATCGTGATTTGGCCGGCGTATGCAATTTCGGACCGATTTACTGGTCTGCACCCTTTAAGGAGCACATAAATTATTTAGTCACCTGACAGCTACAGATCTCTGTCACGTGACATTCTGTAATCCTGAGGGAGTCGACCGATCAAGATGCCCTGCGGCGCCTTCTTTGTCGTAAGAAAGGATGGGGGCGCTACGGTACAGTCTGCCATCTTTGCAAAGCGTCTCCGTTTAAACCTACTTCACAAAATAGGGAGACTGGCGAAGGGGGGCGCTCCTACATTCTCTGTTCAGTGATGCAGTCGTAACCTGTTGATGCAGTTGTAACTTGTTTGCGTTTAATGTGTCTGTTTACTTACCTACTAGTGCCAATTGAGGGCGCTCTTTTTAGGGACCGTTGTTGGTTGGATCAAGGCGTGAAAGTTGAGTAACCACCTTGGAAACTTCTGCGGCAAAGTACGATCCATGGTAGGATATCTTCAGATTTCTAAAGTATTTGAGAATACAAAATAAGCTGTGGGGCCTCTACACATTGCTCCGCGGACTTAACAGACACTTGGATTAATTGGGTAACAGGTCATCTCGTACCTTGGGCAACTCGTACCTTGGACAACTCGTACCTTCGGCAAGTCGTACCTTCAGTTAAGACGACTCGTACCATCACGCGTAAGACAAGTCGTACCGTCAATCTGGATAATGATCCGAGGCTGAATAAAGTGGACCGTAACTCATTGGAAGTAGACTGCTTATTAAAATAAAGGTGAATCTCTTTTTGGTATGGGCTCTCTTTCCCCCAAAAGAGGAATTTATTTAGCGCGAAGCCGGCCGCGGCAGCTTACACGCACTGTGTGCGCGGCATGCACAGGCCCACGCGGCATCCGTGCAAAGTGACACGGTTCTTGCGCCGCGCTGACCGGTCAATATGGACGTCTGTGCACGGTGACATTGATGCAGTCTGCCGTTACGTTTAGAGACTTAGGCTACGTGAAAATATTATGGAACTGATGTTTTTATCCAAGATAAAACCTTACCTTACCAACCTTACCATCATTTCTGCAATGAATGACCATCATTGAGATGATATATATATATATATGAAGAAAAAAGTGGCGTCAGGTTGCAACATTTTTCCTATTATTGATCCCTAAAATCGCCTGAACTACTTTTTTCTTTTTTTCCCGCAAAAATGATAAGACGTGAATCTTGGACTGACAAATATTTCCAATTTTGTTAGGAAATACTAATTTTCATCCTAAACTATGTGTTCCCCGCAATTTTTTTTTTTTTACAGATGAACCACTGCACTGCTCGAAAGACAATTGCTGCTAGTCCACCATTATTAATTGATTTCATTTTAACAAGTTATCTTAGCTACCGAATTAAACATTGATTATGCACGATTATGTACATGTAATTCCATTAAAAACAGAATGCAGCAGCTTGCCCGCCGGCCGCTTCCGAGTCACCGGCATCGGTACCGCGCACGACCGACCGCTGCTCGCGCCCTCGGAGGCCGGCCCGCCAGGCCCAATGCGTAAAATAATGTTGCCTGACAAAGCCATTAGATCTTGAATGTGGTTCTGTGAGAAGGAAATTAACTTTGACTTGAAAAGAATCGTATCGTTTCGGAGTCAAGGAACCACACACTAAGTCGCGCACGTACAGTACTCTACTTTTTATTCTGATGGTACGAGTCGTCTTAATTGAAGGTACGAGTTGTCCAAGGTACGAGTTATCCAAGGTACGAGATGTCCAAGGTACGAGTTGTCCAAGGTACGAGTTGTCCAAGGTACGAGTCGCCCAAGGTACGAGTTGACTCGAAAGCATTAATTGTGTAAGAGAAGCCATTGAGGTTTGTACGTCACTCGTTTGTAAGGTAATTGATCTACGCATGGAGGAATAATTATGGTGTTCTTATTCCTCCATGATCTACGCATAACGTTATAAAGTTGCATGGTTGTACACGTACGTACGTGGAGATATCTCCAAAGCGATTCATTATTTAGAGACACACTCTTGGGAAGAAATGGTCCGGTTAACTTATTCTTTATGATGTGACTTGCGGTTTTGCCTAAGTCAATTGAGCGTGATCGGCTGACTGATAAGTTTTACGCACAAAACCCTCGGCCATGTGAGGATTTGCATAGAAAGCTGACCGAACCACATTTTGCGACAGTAATGCCTGAGCCTGCCTATTGCCAAATTTTCCAGTGGCATCCCTACATTTTCTCGTGCAAATAGGACCCATTTTTTGGACCCTAATTTTTTCAAATCTGCTGTTAGATAATAGCCCAAAAGCTAGGGAGATGATCCTCTGCTATATTCGCAAGATTCCACCGATTTTTAAACTAGACGGTCTCGTTTTTTACAAGAAATTGTGGGTTCACTTTTTTGTAAACGACTCGCTTAGAAATTTTTGAAACCCTAATCACTCGCGAATTTATTGCACCCGCTGTCGGTCTTATTGTGTTATTCGGATATATCGTCTGTCTGCCCACCCCCACCCCCTACCACCACCACCACCATGCCGAAAAATAATAGTAATGAAATACTTCTTAAAAATGTGCTCGTTTATTCAGATATTCATGAAGCATAATATCCAAACTGATGGGATGTTTCCAAAGTGTCTTTCCATTTGCAAAAGTTCTTTTTAAAAGCCCATTCATTAGAGACACATTCTTGGAAAAAATGATCCGGTTAACTTATTCTTTATGATGTGACTTGCGGTTTTGCCTACGTCAATTGAGCGTGATCGGCTGACTGGTTTACGCACAAAACCCTCGGCCATGTGAGGAGTTGCATAGAAAGCTGCCCGAACCACATTTTGCGAGAGTGTGCTCGTAATGTTGGGCATTGTTCAAGGCGTTGTTATTGACTGTTCAATTGGAACGTTCATCATAGGCGTACCGATAACTGTGTGTGTACAATGTACTGTATAAGCATGCCTATCTGCAAAGTGTCTTTGTGACTGGTATGTGGTAGTCAGCTTTAAGTTATTAAGGAGACATTGAACCCTTGCAGTGTACAACTTCGGAGGCCCGTTAATATTATGACATTATGTAGGCTGAACTTGATCCGGTTTCGCCACCACTCTAGCTGGTGAATGAAGATTTATACAATAAAGGGATGAACCGGAAAATGCGTGTTTATTATAGCTAATTTCGGTTTGAGTTATACACAGGTAAAGGCCATCACAGGTTTTTTTTTTATAGGCCTACACATAGGATCATAAAAATGAAACTGCCGAAATATCATAAAATAGCCCACTCTTGATTGTAACTGTGTGTAAAGAATATTGCATCCTTTGGAATCGTTGAGCCTGGTATGCTGCCATACCTCCAAAAAATTAGAAATGTTGTATTAGCACTTATCACTTATGATGGTTAAAACCTATCCATTGCCGAGAACAAACACTTTTCTCAAATGTAAACGTAAACGACCGCGAGCCAATGTTCTTTTTAATTACTGATCCTGCTCTACGCTTATGTTAAATTCCCGCGACAGAGAGTGGGCACTCGTACTCCGGCACTCCCTGTACCATGTTTTCCTCTGAACTATCTATGGGCTGTAACTGAAATAAACAAATGACTCAATGATAAACTCTGGGTTCTATGCACGACTACGGAAGCTTGAATTGCCTTCCGAGATACCGCGTTACTGTGATAATTTATCACAGAAATCCAGAAATCAGAGATACGTATTCCTCGATACCGCGTTACTGTGATGATTTATCACAGAAATCCAGAAATCAAAGATAAATCATTAAACGATACCGCGTTACTGCGATAATTTATCACAGAAATCCAGAAATCAAAGATAAATCATTCAACGATACCGCGTTACTGTGATAATTTATCACAGAAATCCAGAAATCAGAGATACGTATTCCTCGATACCGCGTTACCGTGATAATTTATCACAGAAATCCAGAAATCAGAGATAATTCCTTCCGCGATACCGCGTTACTGTGATAATTTATCACAGAAATCCAGAAATCAAAGATAAATCATTCAACGATACCGCGTTACTGCGATAATTTATCACAGAAATCCAGAAATCAGAGATACGTATTCCTCGATACCGCGTTACCGTGATAATTTATCACAGAAATCCAGAAATCAAAGATACATATTCCGCGATACCGCGTTACCATGATAATTTATCACAGAAATCCTGAATTCAGAGATAATTCCTTCCGCGATACCGCGTTACTGCGATAATTTATCACAGAAATCCAGAAATCAGAGATACGTATTCCTCGATACCGCGTTACCGTGATAATTTATCACAGAAATCCAGAAATCAGAGATAATTCCTTCCGCGATACCGCGTTACTGTGATAATTTATCACAGAAATCCAGAAATCAAAGATAAATCATTCAACGATACCGCGTTACTGCGATAATTTATCACAGAAATCCAGAAATCAGAGATACGTATTCCTCGATACCGCGTTACCGTGATAATTTATCACAGAAATCCAGAAATCAAAGATACATATTCCGCGATACCGCGTTACCATGATAATTTATCACAGAAATCCTGAATTCAGAGATAATTCCTTCCGCGATACCGCGTTACTGCGATAATTTATCACGTGACACCGCGCGCTCATCGATTGTAGAGAGGAGAGACATTATGAATGTAAAGCGTGCATAAAGAAGAGCAACCAGACATAAACCAACTCGTGAGGCTGTCACGTGATAAATTATCGCAGTACCGCGGTATCGCGGAAGGAATTATCTCTGATTTCTGGATTTCTGTGATAAATTATCGCAGTAACGCGGTATCGCGGAAGGAATTATCTCTGAATTCAGGATTTCTGTGATAAATTATCATGGTAACGCGGTATCGCGGAATAGGTATCTTTGATTTCTGGATTTCTGTGATAAATTATCACAGTAACGCGGTATCGCGGAAGGAATTATCTCTGATTTCTGGATTTCTGTGATAAATTATCACGGTAACGCGGTATCGAGGAATACGTATCTCTGATTTCTGGATTTCTGTGATAAATTATCGCAGTAACGCGGTATCGTTGAATGATTTATCTTTGATTTCTGGATTTCTGTGATAAATTATCATAGTAACGCGGTATCGAGGAATACGTATCTTGGAATTCTGGATTTCTGTGATAAATTATCACAGTAACGCGGTATCGCGGAAGGAATTATCTCTGATTTCTGGATTTCTGTGATAAATTATCGCAGTAACGCGGTATCGTTGAATGATTTATCTTTGACTTCTGGATTTCTGTGATAAATTAACGCGGTATCGCGGAAGGATTTATCTTTGATTTCCGGATTTCTGCGATAAATTATCGCGGTAACGCGGTATCTCGGAAGGCAATTCAAGCTTCCGTACATGACATATTCCTCGAGCTGCACTTTGACGGCTGGAAATGAACAGCATTGTTTCGTGTTTTTGAGCTCTGACAGAAGCTTCTGAACATAATCACTAGGTGGTCGGTCGGTCGGATGGTCTGTCTGTCTGTCCTCGAAAATTGACCAAAAGTATGGTGTTCCATAATGTGCCATCAGTGTCGCATTTTCCTGCGTCGCATTTTAAGCTCTGACAGGGATCATTTTGGTCGATTCCATGCAAGACTTTCACGCAAGTCTTCTTGCAGCACGGCCAGAGCTTAAGCACTTGTTCCCATGGGCGTCGCCAGGATTTTTTCTAGAGGGGGCAAAACATATTTTTGCCAAAAACCAAAAATGCCTGTATTTATCAACACATTCTCGATTTATCAGTTTTAGAGGGGGGAAGGGACATTCCCCCCCCCCCACCAAGTGGCAAGTGCCTCCCCTCGCCCCCCCCCCCCCTCCCCTTGCGACGTCCATGCTTGTTCCAGTACTAATGTACACAAAACATTGAACAGCTCAGTGGAACGATGTTTGCTGTAAATTAATGTCCCTCAAATCGACCCATTTTATGAACTTACGACAACTTATAATTAATTATAATAAATTGTCTGATTTATTGTAATTATGCCACTGAGATACTCGGATGCAAATCATATGGAGAAGAAAAAAGAGAGAAACGTACAATGATCAAGAGAAACATATCCTCAATCTAATAATGGTTGCTTTACTTAGCGGTGCAGGTGAGCTATCATTGGCTCTCTTTATGGAAACGTGATGCATATGCATTTCGCCGTGCGCATCCTATCATGCCCGTCCGATATCACAGAATTAAACTGATGTTAAAAAAAGCTTCCTACTCTTTTGCTGGTCCAAGATGACAAAACAAGTGTTTCTTTGCTCCTATTCTACTGATCCACTGACTGTCTTTTGTAATACAAGTGGCTACCTTTTTCTCACTGATTGACAGGCTACTCAGATCTTGGAGTTTACGTTGATTTATCGAGAATTAATTTTTGACTTCACATTATATTAAATCGATATTGTTGTTACTTTTAACGAATAAAACGGTTCACCTTCGATCAATATCCTTGATTTTGCTGTTTACAGATCGTTGATGTGGATGAATTTGCGGTTAACGATGGATACTCTGCAGTCCAAAGAGTACTTGACGTATCTGCCACAGGAAATTAAGGAGCACATATTTCGCCATCTGACAGCTACAGATCTCTGTCACGTGGCATTATGTAATCGAATCTTGAGAGAGGCTGCCAATCGAGATACAATATGGCGCCCTCTTTGTCGAAAGAAAGGATGGGAACGCTACGGCACAATCTGCGATCTTTGCAAGGAGCCTCCTTTTGAACCTACCTCACAAGATGAAAAGACGGGCGTAGGGGGCGTTCCCACATTCCCTGGTGATGCAGTTGTAACCGGTTCAGACTGGCCAGGACTGGTTGATACATGTAAATGGAAGGAGGTTTACATGAAAGCATGCCACCTGGAAGAAAACTGGAGGAACCATCGCTTCTACACCACGTCATTGGCTTTGTGGTCAAGTGGTGGAGACAGTATGGCTTGTGAGGGAGAATGTCTAGCTGTCGGCTCAGATGACGGTACTTTGGAGATCTGGGATTTGGCCGGCGCGAAACGTCATCCCCGCATTGAACACGAAATTAGCCTGATTGACACTTCCGACACTTTGAAGATGAAGGACGGCATCATAGCTGCAGGATGCAGCGACGGTAAGATTCGTACCTACTCCGCCCAGACTGGAAAGCAGCTGCAAGTCATGTCGGGGCATCGTCTGGCCGTGTCTCGTCTCTTCCTTGACGGAGACTCAGTTGTTAGTGTTGCTCATCCACAGTTTCCAGTTTATGAAGTATACGAGGACAGTGACATACGGGTCTGGAGTGCTGCAAACGGTGCCTCTCTCTGTATCCTACAGAGTGGCCACGAAGCGACAAGATTGCTTCACCTGGACTACAAGGACAAGATCGTAGCTGGTGCGTACAGCGACAACAAAATTTGTATATGGGATGCACGCAATGGTTCTTGCATGCAACAAATTGTTTGTGACATGGAACACCTGGCTTCCTGCAATTTAGGAGATGGTATCGTCATCGGCACATTCAAAGATTTCCTTGTGAAGATATGGGAACTTCAATATGGGGAATGCATCAAGACATTTGATTTACATCCTTTTCAAGGGATCCAGCCGAGTGAAATCCCTTTCGACGGCCACGATGAAGAGGCACACTACAAGTTCATTGACGGTTTGCTTGTTGTAGTTACACTACTTCATGGATTTTACATTGTGAATTTGGACGGGCAGCGACTCTTGAGAGACTCTCGTCGCCATGTGAAACCTGTCTGTTTGAAGGGCAACAAGCTGCTTATATGGAGCCGTGAAACATGTAGATACGAGCTGTGGACGATTGACCCCGTGCGCATGGATGATAGGTACGAGGTACAAGGCAGTTCCAAGACTAAAGCATCATCACAACATCGTAAAGAAACGCAACGGCCACGTGCTTGGATGAGCGATACCAAACTCATCTTTCAGGGGCGGTTAATATCGAACAGCCCAGCTACCTACATTTCCGTCCATCACTACTGGTGAAAGAATCAGAACGTTCAATGTCAGATTGATGGTTGTCTGATGATGACATACGTGATGTTGATAGAGATGTACACCTTGGCGTTTGTGATGGCGGCTATGACATTTTATTTTATGTCTTCTTCTAAACCAACCGCTTGCATAACCACGTCCATTTTGGTCGTTTGGAAAAATGAGCATGGCAGACGTTTGTGTACAATATAACACACGAGTTGAGACTTGAATATACAGACAACAGTCCACCTGTTAGGATGCAAAGGAGACCTTTGCAGTATATGCAACGCACGTGCCTTTGTTTACTATCTTTATAACTAATGATATTAAGAGTGACGGTGGTATGTTGATGATGCTGCAGATGATGTTTTTATTGTATAATCTTATTCATGTATGCAGCATAATGACTATACATATAGATACATTGAAGAACTATTCATACAACTTCGGCCTGTTGGATCTAAAATCGAAAATATTGCATTGAATAAAATAAAGGGCATGGATGCATGAAAGCTGGACAATGTAAATAAACGACACTTGAGCATCGCAAATGTTACTTTCAGGCATAGATTTGGAATCAGGGGAAACATGTCAAAAACTAAACAACACTAAATATGTACCCCAAGGCGTGGCCTCAGTTATCAGTTATTTTTGTTTTCGTTTTCAGTAATCAGCGATTGTACAACTTCTTACTCATATTATGCAAGGCGTGATTTTATCTCATGAGTACTGTCATATCATATAATCTAAAAACGAACCCTACTCGGACAACAATTTCTCCATCATTGTTATGCACCGTGTGATGTGTAAAATTGACTTTCTGTGATCTTATAGAGAGGGCACCCTTGATACAGGGCAAACGTTCACAGTTGAGAAAGGAATTTAAAAAATATAGTTTAGCAAAATGCTTACTTGTACTTAATTGTACCCCTCTATCTACTGTAATAGTTCGCAGGTTTCTGTTTCACCGAGAATAATTAGTTTATCTGTACTAACATTTTACAGGAGGAATTGCGCTTACAATTAAATAGTTTCAAATATTTAATAGTCAAGTCATTTTCATTGATATCTTTGTCCTTGGTTTGCAACGGTTTGAAGTGTTATTGGTCCGTCAACAGTGTTCCCCAAAACGAAAGTGACCGAATTATTATGTTTAAACATCATGTGGTTCGCTCCATTTCATAAAAATAACAGGGATGAAGAACTTGTTTATTGACTAGTAACTGTGAACATTTCAGGTAATTTAGATACTCTATTCCCAAGTTATGTCCATTTTGACAAGGAGATTACAAAATTACACTGTCCACTGATCATTTATCGCGCTACGAACCGGAAAGTAGACCCACCACGTATTATGAAACATTGACGTTGTTGCACTTCCACGAACGAACGAAAATTGCAAAGGAAAACGGACAGAAATCGCCATCAATATTTCAGGGGAAAAAAAGACAAAATCTGACAGGAAGAACAGTGTTTCAGTCTTTACTCAAAATTATTAAAATTTCACTTGTAGTTGAATGACTACTTGAATCTGTAATTCTCACACAGTTTGCAATAGCTCCCAATAGCATTCCATGGACAGCTATAAAAATGGTTATTTTAGTAAAACATGCACAACGCTGATAACATTTCATTAGAGATGAGTGGAAGAACATACTCTTTAAAGACATACTTTATTGGTGTGTCATAATTGACAACTTAAAAAAATGATTATAAGAATCATAATAATTCCAGGTCACTTTCTTTTTGACTCATCCTGTACAACTCGTTCTTGTAAATTCAGTGTCCCACGTAGAACAATGGGAAAGTCAATGCAAAAAAAACCAATCTAAATCTAATGTATTTTCAACTCCAAATTATTTTGTGACGACCTGAAGCCGCGTACCCGAGTTTTTGGAAGTCAAAGTTTACACAAGAAATCATGAAGTGTAAAATAAAATATCTGTTTTGCGACCAATATATCTGCTGTCATGCATGTTTAAATACAACCGACTGTGAGACTGTGTTACTAGGGGTGTCTCGGGGAACTGGAGAATCATTGTCAGACTGCATATCTAACAAGCAACTCTTTTTGCTAGCTTAGCAAGGCCAACAGAAATAGTCATGCAAGCTGTGTTTTATCTGCCAAAGAGCCAGTCACCGTTTCCCACCGGTTCCCAGTCATCCTAACCAGTGAAACCATTCGTCTGTAGCATATCCAGTCTAGATTGCGTGCAAATCTTGCTGCCGACATGCCTTTCGTTTTGAATAATGGCAACTAATCCGATGTGTATTAAAAAGGGTGACGTCAGTAGATCGCTTTCAGTTTGCCTAACCGCTATACAAGCACTGTATGGTTCGCGATATGTAGGTGTATATGTATATGGGTGTATTTCCTCCATTGAAAACTTCAGTGCCATGTGAATACACGTCCCTAACTGAACGTGGTGTTGTTCATGCTTTGCTGTTACATTTGACAAAATGTAGCTAATACTTTCGATAAATATTGTTGATTTTGCTGTTGACAGATATATCGCTGTGAGTGGATTTGTCGGATAGCAATGGCTACTTCTCAGGCTGAAGTAAACTTGACTGACCTGCCACAGGAACTTAAGGAGCACATATTTTGCCATCTGACAGCTACAGATCTTTGTCACTTGGCATCATGTAGTCGAATCTTGAAAGAATCGACCAATCAAGATGCCCCGTGGCGCTTTCTTTGCCGAAAGAAAGGATGGGAGCGCTATGGCACAACCTGTGATCTTTGCAAAGAACCTCCGTTTAAACCTACCTCACTAAGTCAAGAGACTGGCGAAGGCGGCGTTCCCACATTCCCGGTCGATGCTGTTGTGACCGGTTCAGACTGGCCTGGACTGGTGGATACATGTAAATGGAAGGAAGTTTACATGAAAGCGAGGCACCTGGAAGAAAACTGGAAGAACAAGCGCTTCTACACCGCGTCATTGGAATTATATCCATTCAGAGATGGACAAAGAAGTGATTTTAACCCCCGAGTGTGCAACGTAACATATGAAAAACACTGTGTAGCTGCCGGTAAATCAAATAGTACTTTAGAGATCTGGCATATGTCCAGCGGAAAAGGTCAACTCATCCAAGTAGACATCAGTGAATCTCCAGACGCACTGAAGATGAAGGATGGCATCATAGCTGCAGGATGCAAGGACGGTAAGATTCGTACTTACTCCGCCCAGACTGGAGAGCAGCTGCAAGTCATGTCGGGGCACAGTCTGGCCGTGTATCATCTCTTCTTCGATGGAGAGACGATCGTTAGTGTTGCTCGAGCTGGGAAGTTTAACCGTTTCAAACGTTTTAATAATGAAGAGTATGAACGGAGTGGCATACGGGTCTGGAGTGCTGCAAACGGCACCTCTCGCTGTATCCTACAGAGTGGCAACGAAGCGACAAGCTTGGTTCACCTGGACTACAAGAACAAGATCGTAGCTGGTGCGTACAGCAACAACAACATTCGCATATGGGATGTAAGCAGTGGTTCTTGCATGCAGGAAATCGATCGTGGTATGAACAAGCTGACTTTCTGCCATCTTGGGGATGGTATTGTCATCGGTGCTTCCGAGAAGCTTATCGTGAAAATATGGGAACTCAAATCTTCGGTGTGCATCAAGACATTAGATGTTCTTAAATGGCTCCCGCCTAATTCAAACGTTTCTCGTGAAGAAGTTTACTTCAGGTTTGGCGGTGACGAGTTGCTTGCTGTAGCGACATTGTACAATGGGTTTTTCATTATGACCGTGAGTGGGGAACGACTCTTTACATGTCCTTCTAGCAAGGGCGCACCTGTCATTTGGAAGGGTAATAAGCTGCTGGCATGGAGCATGAAGACAAAGAGGTACCAACTGCAGATCATTGACCCCACGGAACGCGAGGATAGTGAGGCACACGACAGTGCCAGGACATTGCAAGACCTTGATGAAACGCTGTTGGCTTGTGCTAGGATGAGCAATACCGAATTGCTCCTTTTTGTACAGCAGGAATCTCCGCATGTTTTCGTTCGCTACTACTGGTGAAAGAATCAAATCGTTCAATGTCAGAGTGATGGTTGTGAGATGATGACGTGTGACATCGATGAGAATGTGCATGTTAGGGCTTGTGACATGATGGTTTAGGACACGTATTTGGCTCGTAATCAACCGCTTCCATAATGGGCTGATCCAGTGAGCCCCTCCTACTGCGCACGTGGGCAAATTATCACGTGCTCCTCTCTAATGCCACACAAGGGCGGATCCAGAACACAATTTTTTTTTTGGGGGGGGGAGGGCCAAAAAAATGTGGGTCCCCCAAAAAAGTGGGTCAAAAAAATTTGGCGTGGGGTTCGGGGCCCGCCTAAGGGCCCCTAAAATTTGTTGGACTCAGTCTAGATGCTCTGTGGTGTGATCTGAGGCAATTTCTGACCACTTTGAGGAAAAGATGGTGGTGTACTCATTGCCTGCCTTTATTGCGATGTCTCATAAAAAAAAATTGGTTTCGTTTGGGGGGGGGGGGGCAAGGCCCCCTTTGGCCCCCCCCCCCCCATCCGCCCTTGATGCCACACTGCATTTTCCTGCCGCGCGTCATACGCACGTGCACGCATGTCGGACTTTTGTGCACGCAAGTCGGACATAAATCACGGCTGTGATTGGTCAGAATGGGGCGGTGCTTACTGGATCGGTCCATTAGGCCACATACAATTGGTCATTTGCGAGATAGAAAACTATTTATCGTTTCAGCACAGTGTAAGATACTTGAGACTTGACTATAGAAAACATTCAACATGGTGTTTTTCAAGAGAGACTTTTCCTCAACTTTGAGGGATGATACAAAACTTGCCTTAGAAGAGTTCACTGAAGTATCCATGCAGGTTGTGCAGTATTTGTTACTGATGTAATTAAGAATGGTTGTGGTGATGCATATGACTCTGAGGACAATGTTTTTGTTATACATTTCCCTCATGTGCAGCATAACTAGAGATAATACATGTAGAGTCATTTAAAAGAGTTCCAACAGTAGCCATAAAACTCCAGCCTGTGGAACCAAAACCTGAAATAAATTGTAAAAATAAAGGTGGTGGATGCGTGAAAGCTGTGCAGGGTAAAACCACAAGACTTGTTCGTGGGGAAAACATTATAAAATATTTCCACATATAATCCAAAGAGATGGATTTTGTATTCGGATTATTTTTTTTTTAGTAATTAACTGTAACACAGATGTTCGAAGATAAGGCCTATTTATACTGCATAATTTGCTATACATGTATATAGAACACGATTAGATTAGATTTGATTTGATTGATTGATAAATATTAAATGTTTAATGTAGACTTGGATAAAATTACCAATGATGAAAATACCGTACCGTATGTTTATCATGTAGGATACGTGCAGGTAATATGAGACTGCAGGTAATATCATTATGGGACTCACTCGGAACTGATATAAAAAGATGTTTAGGGGATGAGGTCAGTTCTTGACATATTTAGGATGCTTATAGCCTTGGTCGAGGCGTTCGTCATTATTCTTCCGTACGCGGTAAAACGATCAGCCGCGGCATATCCTCGCTATGCATGCAGTGCATTAAAAATACAGCGCGAACAGCGACCGCATTATGCGGCCACTTTTTTATGCAAATCAGTTGGACCCGAGCGAACGCCTTGGTTCAATCGTCCTAGTGAGGTTTTGGGGGTGGTGCCTTTTATGCTATTAGCCTAAGCTGACCTTAAAGGTCGTTTTCTTATTGGTCGACGATCGTTGCGTAGACATTTGCATAATAGTTAATAGTTTGCGAGCGGTGTGGCGAGACATGTACTGCACATAAAACACACACTTGTGTGTCGACGTCTCACATTACACACAACGCCAATGCACAACAAATGTGATTAATAAGACGTCCGCAAAAGGCAAAGAGCTGCAAACAATTTGATGACGTGAGGATTTACCAAGGTGTGATTGGACAAACTTATCTGTATTCGCATACGAGGTCGTGCACTAGAAATCCAGCGCAAAATAAAGAAAAACATAAGCTTTCGCCGACGATTTAACCAAGGCGTTCGATCGGGTCCAACTGATTTGCATAAAATAGTGGCCGCATGAGGTCGCTGTTCGCGCTCTATTTTTAATGCACTGCATGCATAGCGAAAATATGCCGCCGATTGTTTACCGCGTACGGACGAATAATGACGAACGCCTTGACCAAGTGTAAACCGGGGAGAGCAAAATAAATTAGTTTCAAAATGTGTCACTCTCCTCACAACCGAGTGGTTCCACTAAATAATTTGGGTGGAGCAAAGTTGTCTGGTTGTCTCAATATATCTCAAAATATTTTATTTACAGCACAATTTAATTAATTTCAAAAATATGAGACAATGTATATACAAATTTATATCAGGTGTTTACAATTGAATGATAGTATAAAGAACTTTGTTATTTTTGAACGAGTCAAAATGAACGAGTTTCAATGAACGGGTCTAAATGAACGGGTCCAAATGAACAACAGTCAATGAGGGAATAATACAGCGATGTGCCGTCTTATCCAAAGATCTGAAATTATATACAAACAATAAATCACTAATGAATTATGTGAAAAATAATGTTTAAATCAATGTACATTATTATATCCAGAATCATTTGGGAAGACACTGATTTCCTTATTTACAAATCCAAGAATATTTTTTATCAATCCATCAATAAGTGAAACTTTTTACCACGTTGCCCAAATAGAAGAATTATTCGAAATGGCAACCATGCAAGAATAAGAATATTTGTAATGCAATTTTATTTCCTAAATTAAAAATGAACTGTTCACCAAATACTGTTGTAAAGTAATGAAGTATGAATATCGACCATGCTCTAATAACAAATTTCAGAATGATAGCACTTTAAAGAAAACCAATATGTTGTGATCATGAAATAAAGCAACACTAATTAAAGGTAAAGTTTGTGTGTTCATGTTGCAAAAGATACAAATAACTTTGTTTCCAAAGGAAAATGTAGACTCTGGAAAATACAATAAATGTGAACATTGTTTTCCAGAGTTATAAACAAATATTAAAGAGTAGGAAATGTGATGAATATTCTTAAGCATTAAATACAGTCAACAGAAAATCCTTCATTGCCATGCTACTCATGGTAATTTAGTGAATCATACGGGAATTGTTGACTCACTAAATAATGTAATGTCACGACAAACAGATTTAATTCAACAGTTATTATTTTCTAAAAGTCGTGATCGCAAATGTCTGTTTCCGGCCGTGTTTGTTTTGACGGTCTTAATATCTGGCATTATAAAGAAACATACAAAAGACCAGGTTGTTGCATAAAATGACTGTTGCATAAAATGACTGGCATAAAAAGATTGTAGCATAAAAAGTTAACTAACACACAACATAGGCGTAGCCAGCGGGGGTAAGGGGGGTATTCCCCCCCCCCCCAATATTTTGTAAAGACTGCCTTTTTCCATTCAAATGCCTTTTTTTCAACTGGCTGTAATGTCTCACGTAGAACAATGAAAAATCAGTGGTAGTAAAAATACTAAATCTAACATGTTTTTAACTGTATAATATTTTGTGAGGACCTGAAGCCACGTACCTCAGTTTTGGAAGTCTAGGTTTATATAAGAAATGTTGAAATATTAATAAATTGTCTGAGTTGCGACCAATATACCTGCTGTTTCCAAGTACATGTTCAAATACAACTTAGGCCTACCATGAGACTGTATGATTAGGGGTGACTCAGTATTTGTTGTGAGGGAACTGAATGATCATTGGCAGACTGTATATTATCTAATCTAACAAAAGAAATAAGTTTTGAACTATTTGGGCATAAACCATTTTTAGAACTGTTTGGGCATACCCTGGGTAAAGAAATGAAATAAATAAACAAACAAGTAACTGTATTCGCTAGTTCAGCAAGGCCGAGCAGTGTTACCATCATCATGACCAAAGCAAATCGTCAAACAAGCTGTGTTTGTATCTGCCAAAGAGACACACTACGCTGTTACCCAAAGGCCAACTTTTCGTAACCTCAGCCAAGTAAAACCATTCGTCCGTAACATATTCAGTCTAGATTTTAATATGCTGTTGCCAGACAGCTGAAAAATGGTACAAATGCTTGGTAGGCCTTTAGCAGGCTGGCTGATTTTTGTCCCGATATTGTGTGCAAATCTGGCCACCGACATGCATTTTTTTTTAACAATGGAAACTATAGTCAGTTCTGAATTATAAAGGGTGACTTCAGGATCGCTTTCATGTTTGCCTAACAGAAATACCGCTATGCAAACACTAGGTTCAAGATAAGTACATGTAGGTATGTGTGGCCGTATTTTCTCCATTGCAAAGCTCAGTGCCATGTTAATACAAGCTCCTAACCGAACTTAGTGTTGACGGAAAGCATTTCTTCATCTTTTGCTGGTCAAATATCAGGCAAGTGTTCTCTCACTGATCAACTGACTGTCATCTGTAATTTACGACTAGTGGTTACCTTTCTCGTTGAAATATCGTCACTAAATGTGATTTGCTCAGATCTGCGATCATCTTTACTGGGCTTGCCTAGTCTTGTGATTACGGTCAGTTGGATTGATCGTTTGTTTGATTGAATGAGAATTATTATGTTTTGCATCAAGATTATATCAACATGTTCGTGATATGTTGTTAGTTTCGGCACATAAAAAAGTTACACTCAATGATTCGATCAATATTGTTGATTTTGTTGTTTACAGATATATTGCTGTAGTTGGACTTGTCGGATAGCAATGGATAGTTCTCAGGCTGAGGTAAACTTGACTGATCTGCCACAGGAGCTTAAGGAGCACATATTTCGCTATCTGACAGCTACAGATCTCTGCCACGTGGCAGTGTGTAATAGAATCTTGAGAGAATCGACCAATCAAGATGCCCCCTGGCGCTTTCTTTGTCAAAAGAAAGGATGGGAGCGCTACGGCAAAATTTGCGATCTTTGCAAAGTGCCTCCGTTTAAACCTACCCACAAAGATCAAAAGTTGGGGGAAGGGGGCGCTCCTACATTCCCTGTCGATGCAGTTGTAACCGGTTCAGACCGACATGAACTAGTGGCTAAATGTAAATGGAAGGAGGTCTACATGAAAGCGAGGCACCTGGAAGAAAACTGGAAGAACAAGCGCTTCTACACATCATCGTTGGAATTATGTTCAATCAGAGATGGACGAAGCAGTTCTACAGTTGGAAGACTTGTTTATCCCCGAGTGTCTAGTCTAGCATATGAAGGACACTGTGTAGCTGCCGGTAAATCGTATGGTACTTTAGAGATCTGGGATATGTCCATCGGAAAAGGTCAACTCATCCAAGTAGACATCAGTGAATCTCCAGAAGCACTGAAGATGGAGCACGGCATCATAGCTGTGGGATGCAAGGACGGTAAGATTCGTACTTTCTCCGCCCAGACTGGAGAGCAGCTGCAAGTCATGTCGGGGCACAGTCTGGCCGTGTATCATCTCTTCTTCGATGGAGAGACAGTCGTTAGTGTTGCTCGAGCTGGGGAGTTTAACCGTTTTAAGTATCCTCCGTTTGGGGATAATGAAGTATATAAGGACAGTGACATACGGGTCTGGAGTGCTGCGGACGGTGCCTCTCGCTGTATTCTACAGACAGGCCACGAATCGACAACCCTGATTCACATTGACTACAAGGACAAGATGGTAGCCGGTGCGTACAGCGATAACAAGATTCGTATATGGGATATACTCAATGGTTCTGGCATGCACAAAATCGATTGTTGCATGAACAAACTGACTTCCTGCCATCTAGGGAATGGTATCGTCATCGGTGCTTCCAAAGATTTTATTGTGAAAATATGGGAACTCAAATCTTCGGAGTGCATCAAGACATTCGATGTTCTTGAATGGCTCCCGTCGAATTCAAACCTTTCCCATGAAGATGTTTACTACATGTTCAGTGACTTGTTGCTCGTCGTAGCGACATTGCATAGTGGGTTTTACATTATGAATCTGAATGGGGAACGACTCTTTACATGTCCTCATCGTGATGTTATACCTGTCTGTTTTAGGGGTAATAAATTGCTGACATGGCACCGCAATACAAAGATGTACGAACTGCGGATCATTGACCCCACAGAGCGCGAGGATAGTAGCACTTCCAAGACTAAAGCATTACCAATCCTTGGGAAAGCGCAGTTCGCATGTGCTTGGATGAGCGATACCAAACTGGTCTTTCAGGTACAGCAGGGATCTACGCACGTTTTTGTTCGTTGCTACTGGTGAAAGAATCAATTCTTTCAATGTCAGAGTGATGCATGGTTGTCATGACAGTTATTTGATATTTGACTCTTATAATCAACTGCTTGCGTACTTAGGTCACATCCATTTGCGAAATTAGAACGGTTTGCCGTTTCAGTACAGTTTGTTGTGTATGAGATCTCGGTTGCGACCGCTAGATGATGATGATGACAGTGTAAGAAAACGCATGAAAACTTGATAATAGAAAACAGTCAATGTTTTTCAATGGACACATATCCGCAAGGGCCCCCCCCCCCCCGGAAAAGCAAAACAAAGAAATAGAAAAAAACAGAATAAGAAAAAAAAGAGAAAAAAAGAGGGAAAAGAGGCGCGAAGTCATAGTGGTGTAAATTTAATGAGTTTGCGGGGGGGGGGGGCAAATGTCGAGAATATGTTGAGAAATACAGGAATTGTTTGGGAAAAATATGTTTTGCCCCCCTCTAGAAAAAATCCTGGCGACGCCCATGATGTGTTGTAAATAAGACATTCTATTTGATCTTATGGAGAGGGCGCACGTACCTGATGCCGGGCCTAATGTGCATACTGCAGAAGGGCTAGCAGTTTAGAGTAGACAAACTGCTTAGTTTTACTCAGACTAACTTCATCATTATTTATGTAATTTTAGGCAAGAAAAAAATGTATTTCTGTAAAAAAACACAACCCGGTGTCACAATCATTTACAAGAATATGCAAAGACAGTAACAATTTCAAATAATAAATGGTCTAGTCATTTTAATTGATAATCGTTAAGTCATTTTAATTGATATAACAGTCCTCGGTTTTATACGGTTTGAAGTGGTTTTTGGATCCATCGACACTTTCCTCAAATTTACGTTTCTAAATACATTTCCATAACATAAAAAATCAGCAATCAATGTAATTTGTTCAGAAAAGTCAGTGCAAGAAACAAAACAAAGTTACTGATCTATTTTTGTTTGTCTATAACTGTGCCCTACAGCCGGTACCTGATTTTTGGATGTCAGGGTTTATAAAATCGTGAAGTATAAAATAAATTCCCCGTATTGCCACATATTATACAGTCGAACGCTGATAAGAAGAGTACTGTTAATACCACATCGTGCTTGTAACAAACAAAAATTTTAGGTCCCAAGTCTTTGTTTTTCTTAGTTTTCCATTACTGTCAATACAAGTCAGGTTCCAGTTATAACAAGGTAAAATCCCAATGACCTTGTAGGTGTTCGAATGTACCTACGCTTTCTTAGTTCATGTTCAAATATAACTCGGACAGTATGACAGAGGGGTCTTAGTATTTGTGTGCGTGGCAACTGAATGATCATTGGTAGACGGCAAGTGTAACAATTAAATCCAGCTCAGTAAGTCTAAGCAATATCAGCATTATGAGTAAAGAAGTCATTTTACACACAGACTCGATCACAGTTAGGCCTACCAGTACCGTTGTCACATGAAAATCCGACTCCTATGAAAATTGGACCCCTATTTCCCTATTATTGGTTGATCCCTCGCACGTGACAGGTCACTCTCCCCAAACGATCCTAAAAATAGCATAGTATCTACTCACGCGTGCGCAATAATACCAATGAGTCCACATTTCATGGAGTCGGATATTCACGCTACACCGCCTTTTCCTAACGTGTCACCCAATCGTCCTTGACTTACTGTCTATATAGAAGTATTTTATTTAATGGCTGATAGGCTCGATACAGCAGGATGCCGGCGGACTGTTTTTCCTGTACTCTCTAAAGGTTATTTTTTAAGTGACGTCGAGGGCAACCTTGCCACCGACATGCCCTTTGTCTTGAACAATGCGAAGTACAAATATATGGGTTTTTTTTGGTACTACTGAAGTACAAAGGATCGCATCAGTCAAGTTATTTCAGTTTGCCAGTTGAAATATACCCTCTGACATTATAGTAGGTTCCGGTTTATACATCGCCATGTTTACTCAACTTCTCACGCCGAACTTGGAATTGACAGAAAGTTGTCCTTCGATTTAGTTAATATTCTCGAAGACCAGCCAAGTTTCTCTTTGTACTCATCTTACTCATCGATCGACTCTTATTTACAAGTGCTAACCTTTCTCATTGACTAAATCACTTAGTGTGACTTGCTCAAATCCGGGACCATCATTGCTATGCCTGCCCAGCTTTGTTTTTACGTCGGAGCGGTAAGATGTATCTTTGAGTCAATATGTTAAATTATTGAGAATTTGTTTGGTAAAGCATATATATGTCAGCATCTTCAAGTTTTATTGTGAATCGTTTGCACACACTCGATCAATATAATTGATTGTGTATGTTTACAGATGAATTGCTGCAGGTGGATTTGTCGGATGGAGACCGATGCTTCTGAGGCTGATCACAGAACATTTACATATCAGTTAACTGATGGAGTAAACTTGGCTGATCTGCCACAGGAACTTAAAGCGCGTATATTTCGTCATCTGACTGCTACAGATCTCTGTCGTGTGGCATTATGTAATCGAATCTTGAGAGAAACGGCTAATGACGATGATCTGTGGCACCGTCTTTGTCAAAGCCAAGGATGGGAGCGCTACGGTACAATGTCCGATCTTTGCAAAGAACCTCCATTTAAACCAACGTCAAAGGAGCACAAGACGGGCGAAGGGGGCGCGCCTACGTTCCCGGTCAATGCTGTTGTGACCGGTTCAGACTGGCCTGGACTGGTGGATACATGTAAATGGAAGGAAGTCTACATGAAAGCGAGGCACCTGGAAGAAAACTGGAGGAACGAGCGCTTCTACACCACGTTATTTGATTTAAGCTTAATCAACGACAAAGAAAACGTTTCTTCGTCTAATAGTGATAACTATGCTTACCTTCAATTGATACTTAATATCGCTGTGGAAGGTGACTGTCTTGTTGCCGGTTCCTGGCACAGAACCTTAGAAGTGTGGGATATGTGCAGCAAGAAACGTCAGCACCTCATCCAACTCGACATCAGTGAAGATTCAGAAGCCCTGAAGATGAAGGATGGCATCGTAGCTGCGGGTTGTAAGGACGGTAAGATTCGTACCTTCTCCGCCCAGACTGGAGAACAGCTGCAAGTCATGTCAGGGCATCGTCTGGCCGTGTCTCAACTCTTCTTCGATGGAAAGACAATCGTTAGTGTTGCTCAAAAGCAGCCTTCATTATGGGGTTATGATGATAGCGTGGACGCAGACAGTGACATACGAGTCTGGAGTGCAGCAAACGGTGCCTCTCGCTATGTCTTACAGAGTGGCCACGAAGCGACAAGACTGCTTCACCTCGACTACAAGGAAAAGATCGTAGCTGGTGCGTACAACGACAACATAATTCGCATATGGGATGCACGCAGTGGTTCTTGCATGCAGGATATTGCTTGTGGTATGAACAAATTGACTTCCTGCCATCTAGGGGATAGTATTGTCATCGGCGCATCCAAAGATTTCATCGTGAAGATCTGGGAACTGCAGTCTTGGGAATGCATCAAGACATTTGATGTACCTCTTCATCGAGGGATACAATTATCTTCTCCCTATGAACAAGCAAAGTACATGTATAGTGATGGGTTGCTCATTGCTGTTACATTACATAATGGGCTTTACATTTTGAATCTGAATGGGGAACGACTCTTGATTGATGGTCGTGGTACAGTGCAACCTCTCTCCCTCAAGGGCAATAAGCTGCTTACATGGAGTAGTGAAGACGGATGGTACGGCGGACTGTGGCTTTTCTACCCAATGAAAAGCGCGGATGGTAAGGCACAAGGCAGTTCGAAGACAGTACAATACGTAGGGCAAACGCACGTCGCATGTGCTTGGATGAGCGATACCAAAATGGTCTATCAGGGCATGTATGGCTTCCCTACGTATGTTTCCGTCCGTCACTATTGGTGAAAGAATCAAGTCATTCAATTTGAGAGGATAGCTGACTGATGATGACATTCGGGATGATGAAGATGTACATTTTGTGATTGTGATGATGGCTATGACATTTATTGTATAGCCTGCATGTATTTACCCACCGCTTGCATAATTAGGTCACGTCCAAAAGTCAGTTGGGAAAATGGAAACGGTAGACGGTTTGAGTACAGTATACAGAAACACATATTGAATATAGAGAACATTCAACCTGGTGGTTTTTAAAAGGAGCTTTTTCCCAAATTTTGATGGGTGACTGAATACAAAAATACATTCAAAAGTTACGCTGAATATTCGGGAAGTACATTCAATGCATTGCCTATGTTCCGTTCTTTATTTCTGTTGAAATCAAGAATGGTATTGGTTATGATGTTGAAAACGCTGTGTTCATTGTATAATTATATTGATGTATATCATAGTTAGAGTCATGGTGAGGGTCTTTACAGCAGTTCCAACTCCACTCGTCATGAAACGTTAGGTTGATGGAACCAAAATCTTATATTGTAATTTTGACCACATAAAGGTGATGCATGGATGCATGAAACCCGGAATGTAAATAAATACGACTCATGTATATCTCAAAATACTTCCAAGTGTATTTTTTTGATATTTCAAACATATCTTCAATTGTAATATACCAAAGAAGAGGACACTGTACTCGGATGTGAAGTTTGCTCAGAAATTAACGATTACATGTTGGTGTAGTACTTACATCATGTATATATGTTTGCTTAAACAATGTTATATCATACACTGTCAACAAAAACCTGGTCAGACAATTATTCCAACATTATTACGCATCATGTGTTGTAAACTAACCTTTCCTTAATCTCATCGGGAGGGCGCCCTTGACGCCTAACAATTTTCAAAGTGGAGAAAGGATACAAATTCAGTTTAAACAATCTGCTTGATTTTTCGCAGCCCAAACTGTATTTATTTTAATTTATTGTAACTTGTTTAAAGAACAATAATCTGTACAAATTTGGGGTTCAACTTCTTACATAAGGAGGAATTGTGCTGACAATACAAAGCTTCAATTAATACAATGGACAAGTCTCAATGTCCTTGGTTTGTAACGTGTTGAAGTGGTTTTAGGCCCATCAACTATTTACCTAAATAATCATTTCTATCTCTATTTCCGCAATAGACAAAAATCAATATCAGAAAAAAAATCAACTTTATACCGCAGACCTGATTTCTGCCAGGATGTCTAGGTTAAAAAAGAAAAGAGCCAAAACTTGTATTTAAAAATAGATTTGCTGTTTTGCGACCTATTCAACCCTATTTTCAAAGTTCATGTTCAAATCAAACTGCTTGTGAGACTATATATCTGCTTACTAGGGGCTAAATCTTTGGGGAATGCAAGTTTAGGCGAAGCAATTTTATCATGCCCAAAGATCATCATCTTACATGCTGTGTGTTTATCTACGAAAGAGCAAAGGCCAAGTTTTCCTAACCTCAGCCAAATAAAACCATTCGTCCGTGACATTATTATATTTCCCTGTGTTGGCATACTGATGAAAAAAAGTGTACGTATAGGCTTAATACAGCAGGCTGGTGGATTTCTTTCCCCGCATTTTTCCGTATTGTCGAGTGCAAACCTTGGCAACAACATGCCTTTTTGTTTTGAACAATGGAAAAAAATATTTTGCACCACCAATGAATATTTATAAAGGGTGACGTCAGTAGATCGCTTTCAGTTTGCCTTGGCAACAACATGCCTTTTTGTTTTGAACAAAGGAAACGAATAGTTTGAACCACCAATGAATATTTATAAAGGGTGACGTCAGTAGATCGCTTTCAGTTTGCCAGACTGAAACATCCTTGTGCAAGCACTGTAGTGTCCGCGATATGTATGATTGCGTGTATTATTCACTGCAAAACTCATCAGCGACATGTTAACACACTGAACTTGGTTTTGACAAAAAGCATTTCTTCTTTCTAAATTGCTGCTCCAAGAGGAGGCAGTGTTCTCTTACTGCACTGATCGACTGACTGTTACTTGTAATGAAGACTAGAGTAGTTACCTTTCTCACTGACTGCCACTCATCGTGACTTGCAAAGATCTGGGACCATCATTACTATATGCCTTCATATAGTCTTTTTTGAAAGTTGGAGCGGTAAGTTGAATTTATTGGTTAGTTGCTTTATCCACATATATTGTGTTTTGCGTTAGATTCATAGCAACACGTTAATGCTTTGTTGTTACTATTGAGAAAATAAAGTAGCTAACATTCGATCAATACTAACCATTATTACTATTATTATCATTATTTATTCAGCAATTACAAACACGATCAACAAAACAGAACAACAATACAGAATAACAATACAAAACACTATTTGTAGATGAGCTTGGAGTAGCAAACACAAAGTAATTACTGTGATCCGTAGACCTGCTACCCCTCATCTAAAACATAATTGATTTACTATGTACAAATGGATATTGTTGTGGGAAAATTTGTCGGTTCGCAATGGATACTTCTCAGGCTGAAGTAAAATTGTCTGTTAAGGTGAGTCTTTTCCAGTATATGACTAACATTGTATTGTGTTTTAACCCATAGTCATTTTATGCTTGAAAAAAAAAAAGAACCCACCTTGACAGACAATTTTTCAACTTTTTATTTGTTGTCTTGTGATCTTGACTCTCATCGAGGGGACGCCCTTGATACAGGGCCAATTTTTTCTCAGTTGTGAAGAGATTATAATCCAGTGTAAACATACTGCTAAATTTTACTTAGCCAGCATTTCTCTGTAATTATATTTAATGTAATTTCGGGGAAATGTTACCGCGAACCAATCGTATTTCTGTAAAATAAATATATTATAGGAGGATTTGCCCCGACAATACAGTTTCAAATAATCTAATGGTCAAGTCATTTAATTTATACCATCGTCCTCGGTTTTTAATTAGCGGTTTGACGTGGTTTTATGTCCATCGACAGCTTCCACTCATATTTATATTTTTATTAAAAAACAAAAAGGAAAAAAATCAGGAATGCAAATCATCGATGTTATTTGTTCTGGGCAGACGAGGCCTCACGAAGAATAACCAAAAAGTCGGTGCAAAAAAAATAATAATAACAACCCCATTATATTTTGTTCAACTCTAGCTATATACCTGTGACACCTGAAGCCGCGAGACTGATTTCTTGATGTCTGCATTAAAACACAATTATTGAACTACAAATTGTCTGTATTGCAGTCTACATACTATACTGTTTCCAAGTTCATGTTCAAATACAATTGACTGTGAAAATGTATGACTAGGGGTGTCTCATTATTTGTTATGAAGGAACTTATGCAACAGTAATGTCACCATGCGAAAGAAAATCATCCTACAATCTGTCTATTAGACCCCAAAAAAAATATAGGTCTCTGGTCAGACCTAGTTCTAGAATTGACGCGGCCACGCGGCTTTTTTTTTTTTGCTTTTTTTTCTTTTTCTTCAAGCTTGGATTGTACAGACAAGGAGGGGTACTATACGCTACTTTGCTTTTTTGATGTCCTCATGTACAATGGTGCCTCCATAATTTGCCTTGGTGCTTTCGACCATTTGCCTTGGTGCAATTTCCCATTCCTTGGTACTCTTTGGTAAAAAAAAATGAGGAGGTGCGGAAATAGAGGGCGCTGTTGGAGCTACCGCGGAACATTTTGGGAAAAAAGATCGACGCGCATGATTAAAATTTTTGTTTTGGCCTAATGCACAAAAAAGCAAAGACTGCCTTTTCGTAATCGCAGCCCAATATAACCATTCATTCATGCTGTAGGCCCTTTTTAATTCCAGATGTCGTTATATTGACAGACTGTTGGAATACAACAGGCTGCTGACAAAAAAGCACAAGGGCTTGATGCAGCCAAGGGAGGATCCAGAACACAATTTTTTTTGGGGGGGGGGGCCAAAAGAAATTTGGTCCCCCAAAAAGTGGGTCCAAAAAATTACGGCGTGGGGCTCGGGGTCCGCCTAAAGGGCCCTAAATATTTTTGGATTCATGATGCTCTGTGGTGCGATCTGAGGCAATTTCTGACCACTTTAACCAATGTTTTTTGACGAAAAGATGGTGGTGTACTCATGTCCTGCCCTTATTGCGACGTCACATGAAAACAATTAAAAAATTGGTTTCGATTTGGGGGGGGGGGGGGAATGGCCCCCTTTGCCCCCCTCCCCCCCCCCCGATCCGCCCTTGGATGCAGCAGGCTGTTGGCATTTGTCACCTGTATTTTCACCTGTGTTTCTGAGTGCCATCCGTTATGTAGTACTTTGGAGCAAAAAGGGTCATTAGATCTCATGCAACCAGAAGGGACCGCGATATACATGTAGAGGTGCGTTTTTGATCCGCTGCAAAGCGACACATGCAGCGCCATGTTTAATATCATTGTCCTTCAACGAACTAGATGTCATCAAAAAGGCTGTTTTGCTTTCTTGCTGTGCTGGGTCCAAGAGGGCCAAGCAAACGTTCTCTTATGTCGCACGGATCGACTGACTGTCATTGGCAATTAGGACAAGAGGTTAACTAGACTGTCTCACCAACTGACTGTTACTTTTTGTGACTTGAACAGGCTTGCCCAGTTTTGCTTTGAAGATTGGAGTGGTCGTTTAAATTTATCGTTCAGTAGTCAACAGAATTCATTTGTCGTTATTTTGGACGAGCTAAAGCGTACATTAACTTTGATGAATCTTTTTGATTTTGCTATTTACAGATAGATTGATGTGGTTGGCTTTTTCGGTCGGCAATGGCTGCTCTGAACTCCGACGTAAACTTGACTTATCTACCGGAGGAATTAAAGGAGCACATATTTCGCCATCTGACAGCTACAGATCTCTGTCGCGTGGCATTATGTAATCGAATCTTGAGAGAATCAACCAATCGAGATGCCATATGGCGCCCTCTTTGTCATAAGGAGGGATGGGAGCGCTTCGGTACAATCTGCGATCTTTGCCAAGAGCCTCCGTATAAACCTATATTTAATTATAAAAAGAAGGGCACATGGGGCGCTCCCACATTCACTGCCTCTAAAGTCGTAACCGGTTCAGACTGGCCTGGACTGGTAGATACATGTAAGTGGAAGGAAGTCTATATGAAAGCGAGGCACCTGGAAGAAAACTGGAGAAACAGGCGCTTCTACGACATGCGAATCAAATTAGACCATTTTTCAGCTAAAATGATCAATCTAGCTGTTGAAGGAGACTGTCTAGCTATCGGTTTATCAGACTACACTCATAAAATCTTCATCATAGATATGTTTAGCGGTAAACTTCGACACAGCATTAGAAATGGCTTTCACCTGCGTGACACTCCAGACACTCTGAAGATGAAGGATGGCATCATAGCTGCGGGATACATGGACTGTAAGATTCGCACCTACTCCGCCCAGACTGGAGAGCAGCTGCAAGTCATGTCGGGGCATCGTGTGTCCATGTCTCATTTGTTCTTCGATGGAGACACGATTGTTAGTGTCAGATTGGGTACTTACAAATGCATAGACAGTGACATTATACGGGTTTGGAGTGCTGCAAACGGTACCCGTCGCTGTATCCTACAGAGTGGCAACGAAGCGAATTGGGTGATTGACCTCGACTACAAGGACAAGATCGTAGCTGCTGTGTACAGCGACAACATACTTCGTATATGGGATGCATGCAGTGGTTCTTCCATGCAGGAAATCGCTGGAGATATGAACAAACTGACTTCCTGCCATCTAGGGAATGGTGTCGTCATCGGCACATCCGGTTTGATAGTGAAGATTTGGGGACTGAAATCTTGGGAATGCCTCAAGACATTTGATGTACCTCTTGATATCGAATTAAAATTACCTCCTGCTCATGAATTTACTTACTACATGTTCGGTGATGAGCTGCTCAGTGTACGTACACCATTTCATAATCACTTCACAGTTTTCAACCTGAATGGGGAACGACTCTTGTCAGATACTCGTCTTGGAGTGAGACCTGTCTGTTACAACGGTAGTAGGCTGCTAACATGGAGCCATGAAGAAGGAAGGTGCGGCCTGTGGCTTACCGATCCCTTGAAAAGCGTGGGTGGTAGGGCATCAGGCAGTTCCAAGATTAAACTCCTTGCGAAAACTGGGGTCTCGCGTGCTTGGATGAGTGATACCAAAATGGTCTTTCATAAGCGGATATATAGTAACGCTCCTTCATATCCGGTCGTCCGTCACTACTGGTGAATGAATTAAAACTTTCAATTTATCAAGAGTCTGTGATGGTTGTCTGATAACCATCGTGATGACGATCGAGAGGTACATGTCACGTCCATCTGCGAAAATTAAACCCGTATTCAGACTTCAATAGAGAAACAGTCAAACTGTTGGTTTTCAAAAGAAATGTTGTCCTCACTTTGATTGGTGACACAACATTGTGTCAAATTACTCTGAATGTCCAGGCAGTTTATGCAACGCACTTGTCTGTGTTTCATGTACAGCATAATTAGACACAACGCACGACTTTAGAACAATTCTAACAGGTGTTATAAACAAGACAGATGGAACCGAGATCTGGAATTGTAAATTTGAAAAAAAAAGGTGATAGATAATTACAGTTGTATAGTCGGTTCGCTTTTAGAACATTTCCAACAGTCGTCATTGAACCAAAATCTAGAATTGTACATTAAAAAAAGTATGATAGGTGCATGCGTTTATACTTGAGAAGTATTTAGAACATATTTCAATTCAATATATACTCCAAGAAGTGGACTTTGTACACATATTGTTTGCTTTTTGGTTACATTAACGCAGGTGCCGGTTGAGCTCTACATTATGTACACAATTTGCCCCATAAACACTTGGAATAGCTGAATTTAAAGGTAAACCACGACAAAGTTCTAGTATGCAGTGTACATGACATTGTGTACATTCCATTACAGTCGTAGCATTTGTACATTCTACTTAAAGAAATGAGAAAAACGTAATTTCTGGAAACCTGAATAACGTACAACCGACATTATTCGAAAGTCATTTAATAAAGCTAAAGATGTGAAAAACAAATTATAACATGTAAATTAACATCTAAATGCAACGTCTAAACATGTCGTGGGCTATATATAAACCTTTGAAACAAAGTGGATACATGATGTGTTTAGAAATGTGTTTATATTATGTACGCCATTTTTACAGTGTAATTTCCTTGATTTTTAAATGGTTTAAATTACCTTGCAGGACCTTATAAATAAAAAATTTTACTAAAAAAATTACTAATAAATCCCTGATGGACATTCAGGACTTTTTTCAAAAAACGTAATTACGGGGACTAAACTAGTACAGCTACAGAATAAGAGGCCGACATTTTTGGCAGTGTTTGTGTGGTTTTCGTAATTAAACTTTTATTTTATAAGGAGAAAAAGTAGACTGTTTTTGGAAATTGCATTGAAAGCCCATCATTATTTCCCTACTTATTTATAATTGTTTTTGAAATCCCTGAAAAAATAAGAAGAGCAGTTACTCTGTAGATTGCCCAGGGACCTCCCTCCGTGGATATATTAACTTTAGCTCCCTTCCAGATACATCACTTAGCTCAGTGTATAAACCTCTTTATTTGCGAGACAACCGTAAGTATAACACTTCAATAAATGTAGATGCATGGTTTGTATATCGGTTTAAAGGGAATATACATCATTTGCTTTTGCTGTAATTTTCAGAAATGGATGGAATTGGGGGGTTGGAAATATATAGCAAATATAGTTACACTGACTTTTTTGAGGTTTTGGGTTCGAAAATGCTATAAAAACCAAGAAAAACGATCATTTTCCTGTAGTCTGGTTCCCTGACTCCATATAAGAAGAAACAGAGCAGTTTACATACATTGGGGAATTGTAAGGTCAGGGAACCAGTCTAGCTGGCTCGTACCCGTTTATAGGTTTGTAATCGATTGCAAACAAGTGCGATGGTCAATTGGGGCCAGTATTTGAAAAAAGCCAGTTTTTTCCAACGCTGATCGGCCGATCAGCGTTGGAAATTGATACAAAAATACCACTTTTCTTGAAAATGACAGTATACCAGGTGCCATGATTTTACAGGATGCTTTACACTGTCATTCACTAACAGTCCAGCAAGGTATTTCAAAATGATTTGGTAGTTGTATTTTTTTATGTTTGCAAATGTTGTATTTTCCCTTTAAACCAAAGAAACAAAGGAAAAGTCAGCAATATGCAAGAAAAGCGCGACTATATACTACATTCAAGCTTTACTGTTCATTATAATAATAATGATGATGACGAGAAGAAGGAGGAGGAGAATTAACAGAAATAAGAATTAGAATTAGAATTGAAATTAGAATTAGAAGTTATTTTGTGTATTGTTATACTCTATAACACTGAATAATAATGTAATGTTAATCATTGTTTTCTATTGGTAACTCACATTGTTAATTAAGCTTTTGTTAGTCATAGGTTCAAATTCGTGTTTGATATATTTGCAAATGAAAATGAACAGGTATTTATATGCATATGCATCATCTCTCTGTTTTGAATTTGCACTGCTGGTGGATGGCAAATTTCCACATGCTTATTGTGGACAATAAATTATCATATATCATAAAACTAATACGCATAAAAACTAAAAAGGAGATTTGAAAATACGCAAATAATAATGTGAAACCCCTTTCTCTTTGACGTACACTATTTTACTTGTTTACATGCATTTCCATTGCAAACGAGGGCGCTACGGCTGTTGACTTTCAAACGATTCACCGTTCACTCAGATTCAAATATAAGCCTGAAAGGTGTAGGCCCTATTCTCCGTGCTATAGTAATATTAACGCACTCGATTGAGGCATCGTAAACTCCACCAGACGTTTAGCTACTGAATTATTTCTTTAAAATAATTCGATATTTAAATTTTTGAGGCCCAACATTGGTTCTGCACCCGCTAGGCGGGTTCGTTTGTGCGCAAACTCCCCTCTTTTTCAGAGGGTTCCAAAGGCCCCCCCCCCCTCCCCCCCCAAAAAACAACAACAACAAAACAGAAATATGAAAAAAAAAAATCATATTTGGATAAAACAATCAATTTTGTTGAAGAGCATGGGACATATACCTTTAGAATACGCATTTTACGTAAAACATTATTAACAATATTTTCTTAATTTCCTTTCAAGAAGAAAATTGAAGATCTGTATACACACCAGCATACTTATGCAATGAACAGTAAAAAAGAACTTTTCCTTTTTTCCTCATTATATCGTTTTATAAGCAACTTAATAACAATCCTTTGAAAATTTGGATTTTGAAAATTGCATCAAACCAAATCCCCTTAAAAACTTAACAACAGAAACATTTGACAAGTCTTTACAATTGCCGCCCATGCACTACGTCCCGTGTTTGCAATTCTACAATGCCAACTTGTATCTCACGCGAGAAATGCAAAATTTTACATCCTCTTTTGAAGGGCAGTTTAGCTTCTTGACAGTGTCTTCGAACTCTTTAGCCAGGGAACCAACCCCTCCGTTGAATTTCAAGACTTGCCAGGCCAAAGTATTGATTGGACCTTCGGAGTCGAATATTCGGTCACCCCCGAAGACAAGTGGTAATGTTATTTCTCCCGTTTTACCCAGGCTTACCCAAGCTGAATTCACTCGTTCAACAGCAGTCTTCAGATTCTCACTCAAGCGTCGCTCTGTCGCTTTGAACTCTTTGACACCCTTTCTCATTTTCCAGAAACCAGTGAACAAGGAAAAACCCCAAGTCAAATGGGGGATGTCGCCAAAGAAGAATGCTAATGCGGTAAGACTCACGAATAGTATCTTCCAGATTAGGACCTGCATGCATGGGGGGAAACAGAGATATTTATTTGAGTAAAACGACTTCAATATAATATAAACTGCGAGTTTTCTGAACATTATTCACTAATTTCCCCACATTTTTAGTTTGAAAATAGGCACACATTATGCATGTTCGAATTAAAGGTATTTGCGTTCGTTCAGAATTCGTCAAACGAAACTGTTTATGTTTGATCTTTAATCATTTTTTGTATATTTTAATCACCGTAAGAGGAGAGCAGTGACGTAGCCACGGGGGGCCGTGGGGGGGGGGGGGGGGGGGGGGGGGGGGGGGGTGGGTGACAGCCCCCCCCTGAAACCTTGTGGCCCCCCCCAGTCGCCCCCCCCCCACTGAGATTTTGAGTTTCTTAAAAAATTATCATTGATCTACATGACGCCCCAATGAAATGTTTCCAGCCCCCCCCCCCCCCCACCCCCCCCCCCCCCCCCCCCCCCACTGAAAAATTCCTGGCTACGCCACTGGAGGAGAGGAGATTTAATGTTACCTTTAATTTTAATGGAGGGAACACAATACCTCGCTATTCAATTTTCAGGGTTTTTTTAATAGCAATGTTTCATTTTAACTTGAAAACAATGCCTTCTGGAGGGAACACAATATCTCTCTATTAGCGAAGATTAATTCACTTACATTTATAGGGACGTAGCCACACATTTTCAACCAAGAGACAAATCGGTCCAGAGTCTGCAGTTGGATTTGTCGGTTTTGGACGTACTTCCCCGCTGCATCTTCCAAAGTCTTCAGTTCTTCATTAAACTGAATAATCGAGTCTATGTCTAAAGCTGTTTAAAAATAACCAAACAAAGTAAAATGTGTATTTGGTATATGCCTTAAAAACACACTAAATCAATTTTGATACATCAATGCAGTATGTATGTATCAAACGAGCATGTTGTTCATATAATCGGGGTGGGGGGAATTAGTGATGTTGATCTTTGGTTCAGATGTTGGGCATGTTTAACAAAAGGAACCTGTTTTCACAGCCGTCGTTGGAATGCTAAATATTTTGAAACAAAGCTAAGTGAGAGCCAGAAATTACACACAGGCAATCACAATCAAATGAGACTGAAGGACTGACATATTTTTTTTTTCCGTCAGATTTTGTCTTTTTTTTCTGAAATGATCATGGAGTCTTGTCTTTTTCCTTCGCAAGTTGCTGCACGTTCATCTTATTTAAAGGGTATTCAGCAATGTGTCTCGGTAAATGATTGGTGATGAACGGCTGAATTTTGTTGTATTTCTTTTAAAATAACTACTATTATTATTATTATTAATAACAAAAACAAATTGTGAAGAAAGATTGCAAATTTCGTAAATGTTCATAGTTACTAGTCAATACCATGTACAAATTTAGTCCCTTGTTATTATTTTGATTGAATAGAGCAAACCACATAATTTTATATTTCTTTTCTAACTGAGGTAGGCCAAAAAAAGTCTCCGTCTTCTGGTATGGAGCTTGCCCCAAAAGGTGCGCGCGGCGACGCTTCTTTTTTTTACCGCACTTTTTTTTTAAATGTCGGCTGATGTTGCAGATGACGCTTCGATCCCCTTAACCCTAAAAGGCCGGTTATTTTGACCATCTCTCAGCCGGGGGGGGGGGGGGGGGGGGGGGGGGGGGGGGGGGGCCGGATTCCAAGATCTCGGCCATCGAGTGACGAAACATTTTGAAACTCAGTACATGCATAGAGCAACTCTTCCTAAACATTTTCTCGCTACGTGGCAACCCCTGATCCGATTTTTATGTTTTTGGTACCAAAAGATGTGCAAAGCTCGAGGCTAAAAAGTCATAACAGCTCGGGTCGGGAAACATTTTTTTAGAGGCTATCGCGAAAAATGTTGAGGGGGGGGCGGATTCCGCCCCGGCCCTTTTAGGGTTAAAACTCTCAAAAATATCCTTCAGAGTGGAGCTTGAGGTGACTTCAGTAAGGCCATAAGGCTTGAGAAGTCTGCACCCATGTACGATCTCGACCGACACGAACATTCTTCGGGAAATTTTGATCATGGTCTCAGGGAAAACGGCGACGTCAAACCATGCAGCGACATCGACATCGCGTTGCGCATGTGCTGCCAGGCTAATCTGCTCCCTTATATATTGCGCTAATTAAAAGCGTTTACAGGTTCCCTGTAAGATACACGACCATCACTCCCTCACTCTGGATTCCAGACGCACAATAACAAAATTATAACACCGTGTGCAAATGGTGCCCGACTAAATTTAGTGCAAAATATATGGGAGCCCAGGGAGGCCACATAAAGCCAATACTCGATCGTAACCCCTCTAAACACGTTAAAATTGTGCAGCAGCATGCAGGATTCCAGTCAAACCAGTGTGTTTGGCGGTTTTGAGACACCATCTTACATTAAACTTTTTAATTTTGCCGACGCGCATGGCTACGGCGACGCGCGCGCATACCAGCAACCGGAGACTTATGTTTTTGTGGTCTTACTTTCCTTTTGACTCTCTCTGTGTTTATCGCTACATTTTATCTGAGGTTATCTTTAAAGTGGCAAAGCTAAAGGTGTATGTACCTTTCCCAGGAAAACTGTTTCTGTTCCCAAAACTAGATCCGATAGTGACGGGACTATTGGTTGCCACAATGTTGATAGTAATGTTGACGTTGACACTTTTCGGTGTTCTGAAACCTCGGCACTGAATGATGGTTTATTCTGGCTTCCAACAGAAATAGGTTCGTCCTCGCCTTCGTCGTGTGATTTCGGCGGAATTTCAGTCTGATCTGCAGGCAGATAACACGCACAACAATCGTTAAAAATATGCAGTATAGACGCATCAATTAATTAAGTCACGCCCATTTATTTGCACGTAGGTTGACACCCACACATGCACTGCCCCTCCAATGTAATTGGACAATTATCACGGCTGTGATTGGTCAATGCCATATAGGAACGAGATCACGAACGAGATCGACAGCTGACAGAATGTTCCATGCTGTTGTTATGGAAAGCAGTGACGATCGGTCGAGTGGAAGGTCCTGGAAATTATCAATATAACTCAATAAAGCTGCCAGCTTTTTGTTGCTTATAGATTTATTTATTTTTGCACTTGAAGAGGATAAGGCAAATTTTATTTTATGTGAATATAAATGACACATGTATATTTTAATGCAAGCCTTGAACTTTATTTTCAATTCATTTTGCTATTTTCGAAAAGATTTTGGTGCCTTTTCGTTCAGTGTTACGCAAATGCAAATGTCCGTATTCAATAGCAAAAGTTGGATATCGTTTTAGCGTCGTTTTAGGCAGATACATCAGTGTTAAGCTACAGCTATTTCATCACCAAAAGGTTCCAGAATGTTGAATATGCTGCTGTTGAAAATGTACTGTTTTGGTGATTCGTTGTTGTTTTACATCACAGTAAGTTAATAAGTAAACTTTTCTCACTAAATGTTGCCGAGTAGTACATTTTAGGTTTCGCAATTCGAACAGAAAACCCTTATATAGACTGGAGACGTGTTCCTAAAATGACATGGTAGCAAGAGCGCCCTCAGTTATCAAGAAAAGCATGGACCATTTTAAGTGCTTAAAGAAGTGCACTTTTCAAAAACAACTAACCAAAAAGGGATGTTTTAGTTTTTATAGGCCTACATTTTAAGAGGAGTTGAAAGGTGCAAAATATGTCCCCAATTAAAATTCATGTCATAGTTCGTTAAATTGTTAGAAAGAAAAGTGTTATGAATTTCAAACAGAACTGAATAACCTGATGGTGTTTCTTGTCCAGTTGAAGTCACGTGCACTGCCGTCTCGTCCGTACCTTGAAGCAGGCCGATACAAGCCTCCAGTATTCGCTGCTTGTGCTCCTGATCACGCCGATCCATACTGTGTATTCTGTACTGAGAGCAACTGGTTTCTGAAAAGTTGAATGGGTCCGTGCGTTAAGGGTGCAGACCAGTAAATCGGTCCGAAATTGCCTGCGCCGGCCAAATCACGATTTGCATGCCCTCAAAATCTTCAGTATTTGAGCATGCTGTTGGCCATGAACTTGAGGGTTTGTAAAAAATATGGGTAAAAAACCGTGCACAGGACTGGGAGCTTGCAGTTCTGTTAATTTTGATGTAATTTGGACCCTAAAAGCGCTCTACTTTGCAATGGAGTGTAGGCATCGTTTTTCAAAATGGCGATGGGCTTCAGGACTATTTTCAGGGGTGATAATCTTCAGATGGAAATTTCTCCTAAAAGTCATCAGTTGACCCCCCGAAAATTGAAAAGAAAATGAAAGATGATGAAATAGGCTTTAATTTGATGTGTGTCTCGAACACCTTGGAGAGTTGTGAGTATTTTTCCCGAATTTTTGAAGTGGGAGCATTTACCATTGGGGTCTATGGAAGTTTATTTACTGGTCTGCTACCTTAAGCAGAGGGCGCTATGCTGACCCAACAACAGAAAGCTATATTAAGATATTTGCTTTTAATAAAAAAAAAAAAAAGTTGCTCAGAGCGCCCTCACTGGCAGGACTGGGCTTTGTTCCTCTGGGATACGCACGAGTACGAGTAGCCACTTTGTACTTTCAACTTTCAATGTACCTCGATTTCAAATAGTGATATCTCTATTTTCAAAAAGAGATATCTATATTTCTAATAGAAATATCTATATTTCTACTATATCTCTATTTCAAATGGTGACATAATTCTAATAGAGATATCTATAATTCAAATAGATCTATATTGTTCAAATACAGGTATCTGTATTTCCAATAAAGATATCTCTATTTCTTATAGAGATATCTATACTTTGCTTCCATCAGTCCGTGTGCCCGAGTCAGAGGTCGTCCATGCGTATACGCAATGTTTGGTGCGATGCCAATAATTGCAATCTTGGGGGTTTCCCATTCGTGTCATTGTCAGCAGAAGCTTAAAGAGGTTGTGGAATGCTCGAAGACATTTCCGTCATTTTTGGGGTATATGTAGCCTAAGGTGTGATGAAATAAAAACGACTATTGTGTCTGTCATGAAATGAGTACAAAGGTTACTTTTGAGAGCTATTTTGTCAGGTCCTGTTTCGACCCGAACGTGCAATTTCTGTAAAAGTCGTCGTTACGGGCAGCAAACAAAACACAGAAAATCGTGACTCGTTTATGCTACTCTGCATCGGGAGTCCTGTTTATTACGTCACAATTTACTGTGTTTTGTTTGCTGCCTGCAACGACGACTTTTACACAAATTGCACGTTCGGGTCGAAACAGGCATGAGAGGACTTGAAAAACAGCTCTCAAAAGTACCTTTTGTACTCATTTTGTGACAGAAACAATAGTCGTTTTTATTTCATCACACCTTAGGCTACATATACCCGAAAAATGACGGAAATGTCTTCGAGCATTCCACAACCTCTTTAACCATGGGCTCAACGTGCGCAGCCGTGTTACACATGTATATCTGTCGGCACTCCTGTCTCGCTAAAATATTGTTGCAACACGAAACATACACTGGCCTTTCGGTTATAACACAACGGACCGGAAACAAAATAGAGATATCTCCATGTCGGGATTAAATGTTAAATTTGCACGTCATATAAAACAGAGAAAGAAATAGTGAAAAAAATATTTTTATTAGAAATAGAAATAGTCTTTTCTTAAATAGATTATCTTGACAGAGACAATTCTTTTGATATAGAGATTTCAATTTTTCTTTTTGGGGATTTAATCTGAAATTCGTACTTTCACAAAAGAGCTTCAGAGACGTGGTAAAACTAAAAGAAAATCTGTAGGCCTACAGCAGTTTATTCGAACTTCTATTTTGCATCCATGGCAGCAGGCATTCAGTACCAAAATAAAAATAGCCTAGACCCATATAGTCCGAGTAGGCATTATTTTGGAATCCGAATTGTTACTCGGACTAACTACCCAACGTCGTTCAGACGCTGTATAGTATACTCCTCACATAAAAAAAAGTTTCAACTGTTTAACAATACATCATGCTTACCTGCTCTTGAGGACACCTCTCACTGTCAAATATTGTCAGAAAACGGTGAAAACAATTAAATTAACTACAGTGCTTTTTTTGCAGGAACCATTAGTTGAATTTAGTTCCCAACGTCATGCTGAACGGCTGTCCCGTACATACTGTTTGTCTCTGCCCAGGTACGTAGTTGTTTTGATTCTATAAATAACCGGGGAAGTCCAACCTGTCAAGCGATTGCGACATCACGTTATTGCGTACGCTGACGTGTACATGATGTGCACATATTCAGCACATTTGGACGAGGAGTCCGAGATTAGGTTTCTGTCCTCCGCGATTCATCGATTTACACTATAATCACGTCCGCGAATGTGCACATGTAGTTGCGGGTGAAACAAACAAGGACGCATTATAGTGTCTGAGAATCCTTTTTTTTTTTTTTGATCGATATTTGCTCGTGCTTTGTTTCATGAACGTACGGTAAAAAACTGCGTGAGGAGGAGGGGTAACTGCATGCACTTGTATTTACTGTAAGCTGATTTACCCGATCATAGATCGGGTAGGGCGTGTCGCGGATGAAAATGTGGGGAGTTAAATGAAAAATCGGGGATTTAGTTGAAAAGACATGCAGTTATAGAAAAGCAATTTCTGTGGTGCGATCTGAGGCAATTTCTGACCACTAAAACCAATTTAAGCAAAAGATCCTCTTTTAAACATCATTTTCGAGTTTGGAGTAGGCCTAATTAAATCATACATGTATTCTGAGTAATAGAATCATTATAGTAGGCTACAATTTTTATTCGGGGAAGAAAAAGTGTGTGGGGGGGGGGACCAAACGATTCCCCCCACTTTAAAATGTGGGAAGGGTGTTTTTTTTATCAAGTTGGTTCAACCATTAAGTACAAGTTTTACTCGGCCTCCGAGAAATGTTTGCTCCTGAAAAGATCCGAGACCGCAGTCTCCCGCGATGCCAAAATCGCTCCACGTCCGTGGCAAAATGTGGAGGGTGTCTTCTGCCGGGTCGGACACTTCGGGTCGTCCTAATTTTTCCGTACGGACCGGCGATCCGTTTTGTCGATTTTTTGTGACTGCGTTAAGATCGCGATATTTGAAGCAATGCATTGATCCTTCGTTGATCCCAAACAGGCCCCCGAAATTATAACGCGACACTGAATTATACGTGGCGGACAGTGAACTCACAACACTCACCCTTGGTGGAAGCATGGAGCTGTAAACAGCGAGCATCGTAGACCCAACCTCGTTTCCAGGGTGTGGAGCAGGCTGCAGTACCCGTTGCCATCGACGGTTTTACGCAGACCCCGGAAGTACAAAGTGTAGACCTTCGATTGGTCAGAGCACGCAAGGCATACTAATGTGTAGTCATTCTGAGTATTCGTGCACTCGGCGTAGGGGTGGCAAGCTAAGCATATGAACGAATAGAGACACTTGGTGGCCACGCACCATGGACAAAAAATATTTTACCAAGGTCACCCCATACAACCGTTTGGTGAACACTTTTGCAGAACGGCCGAGTAGAACACGTAAACGGAAAAATTAGGACGACCCGAAGTGTCCGACCCGGCGGAAGACACCCTCCGCATTTTTCCACGGGCGTGGAGCGATTTTGGCGCCGCGGGAGACCGCGGTCTCGGATCCTTTCAGGAGCAAACATCGTCTCGGAGGCCGAGTAAAACTCTCTCTTATATATATAGATATGTATGCATATCATAGGAATGCTCCATCTCAATACAAAGACGATAACAACCAATTTATTTTGTGGACCACGAAACAATGTTTTACTAGTGTCAGTCATGCTGTCGATATTATAAATTATTTGTCGTTTGTAATCATTTGCTTAATACAAGTTAATCAACTTAATTTTGAAAAGAAAACAAATTGTACTAGTCGTATGCTACTTACTGTTACTTACTTCTTTATGAATTATAAAGTGCGACTTCAGTAGATCGCTTTCAATTTGCAGAAATACCGCCAGGCAAGCACTAGGTTCAAGATATGTAGGTCTATATGGGTATATTTGCTCCATCAAACTTGTGCATCACATCAATGCTTTCAGGTAAATATTTGTAAATATTTAAAAATTTACGATAACACGGTTGTTGGTATGAGTACCTATTATGTATGAATAATTTGTTCATCAAAGTATTAAAACACTCTAAAAATAAAACACGGTCAGACAACAATATCTCCAACATTTTTATGCACCATGCACCATATATTGTAAATAAGACTTTCTATATGATCTCATGGAGAGGGCGCATCTGATTCCGGGTCAAATCGGACATAGTGGAGAAGGGATATCAGTTCAGTGTAGAGAAAACTGCTTAATTTTATTTTACTCAGACTAACTTCCTCTGTCTTATGTAATTGTGGCAAGTTTTATAGAGAAAAAAATGGTTTGTTTTTTTTCTGTAAAAAATAAATGTTGTGTCAAAATCGTTTACAAGAATATGCGACGACAATAACAATTTGAAATAATAAATGATCAAGTCATTATAATTGAAATAATAGTCGTTGATATGAAACGGTTTGCAGTGGTTTTGGATCCATCGACAGTTTCCATATTCCTGAAATTTACATTCTATCTTCATTTCCACAAAATAAACAAAATCAGCAATTCAAGTCATCCATATAATTTGTTCTCAAATGTCTGTGCAAGAAAAAATAAATCCATTTTTATTCTTCAAATATATAACTGTAGCCTGGAGCCGGGTACTTGTTTTTTGGATGCCAGGGTATATAAAACACAATTAAGTATAAAATATATTCCCCGTATTGCGATTCATACCTACGTTTTCCTAGCTCATGTTCCAATATAACTCATACCAGTCTAAATAACATTAATATTTGTGTGTCGCAACTGAATGACAACTGGTATAGACGGCAAATATAGCAACTAAATATATTTTCTAGTTCAGAAAGACACTGCTTGTTTACCGAGACAAGAGTCGTTCACAATGGGCCTACCCGTACCCAGCCAATTGTCCTTGACTTAAACAGTTTTTGTATTTTTTTTTAACTGGCAGATAGGCTCGATACAGCAGGCTGGTGGAATGTTTTTCCTGTACTTTCCCCAGGTATGTTTTTTAAGTGACGTCGAGGGCAACCTTGCCACCAACATGCCTTTTGTTTTGAACAATGGGAAATACAAATATATGGGGTTGTTTGGTACTACTGAAGTACAAAGGATCGCATCAGTATAAGTCGTTCTTTCAGTTTGCCAGTTGAAATACCCTATGATATTATAGTAGGTTCCGGTTTATACATCGCCATGTTTACTCAACTTCGAGTTGTTTACTTGTCCTTCGATTTAGTTAATATTCTCGAAGACCAGCCAAGTTTCTCTTTGTACTCATCTTACTGATCGATCGACTCTAATTTACAAGTGTTATCTTTCTCATTGACTGAATCACTTAGTGTGACTTGCTCAAATCCTGGACCATCATTGCTAGGCCTACCCACCTTTGTTTTTACGTCGGAGCGGTAAGATGTATCTTTGAGTCAATATGTTAAATTATTGAGAATTTGGTAAAGCATGTATATATATATCAGCATCTTCAAGTTTTATTGTGAATCGTTTGCACACACTCGATCAATATAATTGATTGTGTATGCTTACAGATGGATTGCTGCAGGTGGATTTGTCGGATGGAGACAGATGCTTCTGAGGCTGATCACGGAACATTTACATATCAGTTAACTGATGGAGTAAACTTGGCTGACCTGCCACAGGAACTTAAAGCGCGTATATTTCGTCATCTGACTGCTACAGATCTCTGTCGTGTGGCATTATGTAATCGAATCTTGAGAGAAACGGCTAATGACGATGATCTGTGGCACCGTCTTTGTCAAAAGCAAGGATGGGAGCGCTACGGTACAATTTCCGATCTTTGCAAAGAACCTCCATTTAAACCAACGTCAAAGGAGCACAAGACGGGCGAAGGGGGCGCGCCTACGTTCCCGGTCGATGCTGTTGTGACCGGTTCAGACTGGCCTGGACTGGTGGATACATGTAAATGGAAGGAAGTCTACATGAAAGCGAGGCACCTGGAAGAAAACTGGAGGAACGAGCGCTTCTACACCACGTTATTTGATTTAAGCTTAACCAACGACAAAGAAAGCGTTTCTTCGTCTAATAGTGATAACTATGCTTACCTTCAATTGATACTTAATATCGCTGTGGAAGGTGACTGTCTTGTTGCCGGTTCCTGGCACAGGACCTTAGAAGTGTGGGATATGTGCAGCAAGACACGCCAGCACCTCATTCAACTCGATATCAGTGAAGCTTCAGAAGCCCTGAAGATGAAGGATGGCATCGTAGCTGCGGGTTGTAAGGACGGTAAGATTCGTACCTTCTCCGCCCAGACTGGAGAACAGCTGCAAGTCATGTCAGGGCATCGTCTTGCCGTGTCTCAACTCTTCTTCGATGGAGAGACAATCGTTAGTGTTGCTCAAAAGCAGCCTTCATTATGGGGTTATGATGATAGCGTGGACGCAGACAGCGACGTATGGGTCTCGAGTGCAGCAAACGGTGCCTATCGCTATGTCTTACAGAGTGGCCACGAAGCGACAAGACTGCTTCACCTCGACTACAAGGACAAGATCGTAGCTGGTGCGTACAGCGACAACATAATTCGCATATGGGATGCACGCAGTGGTTCTTGCTTGGAGGATATTGCTTCTGGCATGAACAAATTGACTTCCTGCCATTTAGGGGAAAGTATTGTCATCGGCGCATCCAAAGATTTCATCGTGAAGATTTGGGACCTGCAGTATTGGAAATGCATCAAGACATTTGATGTACCTCTTCATCAAGGGATACAATTATCTTCTCCCTATGAACAAGCAAAGTACATGTATAGTGATGGGTTGCTCATTGCAGTTACATTACATAATGGGCTTTACATTTTGAATCTGAATGGTGAACGACTCTTGATTGATGGTCGTGGTACAGTGCAACCTCTCTCCCTCAAGGGCAATAAGCTGCTTACATGGAGCAGTGAAGACGGATGGTACGGCGGACTGTGGCTTTTCTACCCAATGAAAAGCGCGGATGGTAAGGCACAAGGCAGTTCCAAGACAGTACAATACGTTGGGCAAACGCACGTCGCATGTGCTTGGATGAGCGATACCAAAATGGTCTATCAGGGCCTGTATGGCTTCCCTACGTATGTTTCCGTCCGTCACTACTGGTGAAATAATCATGACAATTCGTTCAAATTCTGAGAATTGCTGACTGATGATGACATTCGCGATAATGGAGATGTAATGTGCTATTGATGGAGATGTTTGTGTTTGTGATGTGTGGCTATGTAATAGTTTCTTATTTGTCTCAAAATCCATCGCTTGCATAATTAGGTCACGTCTATTGGGTCAGTTGGGAAAGTGAATGACAAATCTTTCTCCAACATAATTATAATAGTGTTGCAAACCTGACTAACTGCAACATCAGGAACAGGGCGCCCTTGATGTCTGGCCAATGTTCGTAGTTAAGAAGGGATTAAATAAAAATCTAGAGTAAACCAAGTGCTCTATTGTACTTATAAGCCAAAAGTACTCTATCTAATGTAATGTCTGGGTTAAATAAAAGATCTTGAATAACAATTCAATAAATTTCCTGTATTTCGACCTATTAAACCTACTGTTTCCAAGCTTGAGTTCAATTATACCTGCTAAGACTGTATGACTATAGAGGGTCTCCGTATTTGTTATGGGCCAAATCAAGGATCATTGCAGACTTAAAAAAATTCTAACAAGCAACTCGATCTGCTAATATCAGCACGGCTGAGCAATGACACCATGGCCAAAGACAACCGATCGTCTTACAAGGTGTGAGTTTATCCTTCAAAGAGCCAGTCACAGTCACCAATGGGCCGGCTTTTCTTAACTTCATCCAAATAAATCATTCGTCCATAACATAACCAATTTGTATTGCACGGCAGTCACAGACTGTTAAAAAAGGCTACACTGGGCTCCATACAGCAACAGGCTATTTTTTTCTCGTACCGTGTCCCGGTATTGTCGAATGCAAATATTGTTACCTACACGCCTTTTGTTTTGAACAATGGGAAATATTCAGTTTTGTTGCACCACTAAATTACAAAGATCGACGTCACTCGTCGATCGCTTTGAGTTTGCACAACTAAAATACCCCTACGCAGTATATGGACCGCGATACGTATGGGTCCACTGAACTAATTCAAGCCCCATTAAACACAGTGTAAAATCAACAAAGTTCAGGGCCGTAAGCAAGCCAATATCACTGTTTTTTCTAATAAAAAAAAATATTATTGTCATGTCTTTCATCTTTTCATTTCTTTTTAAATTTAGGTAGATTAGCCAATTACATTTTAAAATATTCACACCAAAGCAAAGTCACCTCCCGAAAAGTGATAGTTCCCAAGCCTGCATGTAGCCATTGTACAAGTGGCATCCTTCCACTTTCACAGGCAAATTATGACCCATTTTTCATCCGTAATTTTATCAAACCTGCCCTGAGATGGAAGGCCAAAAACCAGGGAGTTAATCCTTGGCTACACTTACACAATTCCATCGTTTCAAAGCCAAACAGTCTCTGTTTTCAAAAGAAGTTGTGGGGGCACTTTTTATGCTAATGACCTCGCGTAGAAATTCTCACTTGAATAAGTTCAGTGCACCCGGATATAACTTCGCGTGTTAAGCTACGCTACAAAGCTAAGCGCCGTGTTTATGCACGTTCGTCACTGAACTTGGCGTTTGCAGAGTCCTTCTTGTTTGCTAGTCCAAGAGGGCTGGGCAAGTGTCATTTCTGCACCAATCTCAATTATTGACTGACTGTCATTTGTAATAAAAACTAGTCGTTGTACCTTTCTGGCCGGCTGACTGTCACTTATTGTGACTAGCACAGATTTGGGGCCTTCTCTATAGTCTTGCCTGCATGGTCCTGTTTTGAAAGTCAGAACGGTAAGTTGAACTATTGGTCATTTGATTTATCGATAATTATTATGTTGTGCACAACTCTATGGGCGTTAGTTAACTCTAATCGTTAGTGTTGCTCAAAAGCAGCCTTCATTATGGGATTATGATGATAGCGTGGACGCAGACAGCGACATATGGGTCTGGAGTGCAGCAAACGGTGCCTCTCGCTATGTCTTACAGAATGCATCAAGACATTTGATGTACCTCTTCATCAAGGGATACAATTATCTTCTCCCTATGAACAAGCAAAGTACATGTATAGTGATGGGTTGCTCATTGCTGTTACATTACATAATGGGCTTTACATTTTGAATCTGAATGGTGAACGAGTCTTGATTGATGGTCGTGGTAAAGTGCAACCTCTCTGTTTCAAGGGCAATAAGCTGCTTATATGGAGCAGTGAAGACGGATGGTACGGCGGACTGTGGCTTTTCAACCCAATGAAAAGCGCGGATGGTAAGGCACAAGGCAGTTCCAAGACAGTACAATACGTAGGGCAAACGCACGTCGCATGTGCTTGGATAAGGGTCATTCCATGTCAGACCAACGCACTTTTTTACCTCATGTCTTCCGATTTTGATGAAAATTGCTGTGCTTGTAGGTCCTAATGAGCAATGAATACACACCAATTTTTAGCCCGATCCGACCTATTATGTGGTCAGGGCAGAAGCCACCAAAAATGGCATTTTTAGAGTAAAATACCATCCTTTTAGTATAAATATGTCAAAACTATGGCAATTTTCATCGAATATATGTGAATTTGGTATTAAAATAATATGGCTTGCTTGCTCAATCACTTCTTTTGTCAAAATTAAATTTTGTGAAAAGTAGGTCACATGACCTTTAATATGCTATCGTGACCTTTGACCCAATTTTTGTAATAATGTATCATTCCGAAAATCAACGAAATAAAAATAACTTGCTAGAGCATGTCTTCCTCTATTAGAATCTACTAAAAATCAGTTGGGGTCTTCCAAATTTACAACTTTATGACTACTTTTGTACAGTTGGTAGGTTACAAAGAGTCAATTTATAAACTTTACATAAGAAATACACCAACACAACTTACTATTCTGTTTCTAAAGTTACTAAAATATATCTTGGTTTGTGAATTTCTCATTCTGAGGGCTGATGAGGTCTAACCAGACTCATAGTGTAAATTGTCAGCAGTGGCGCACCCAGGATTTGGCTTGGGGGGGGGGGGGGGGGGGGGGGGCGGGGGGGGGTCATAAATCGTTTTTGTTCAAATTTCTGTAAAAGATTGGACCAACAAAACCTAGCCTAAAATCAAACAAACAAATTGACAATGTTGGGGGTGGGTTCAAGCCCCCCCCCCCCTCCTGGGCGCCACTGATAATTAGTTATCCCACGAGCGCGCTTGGAATATGAAATAATGCAATGCTGCTGTGACCCATATGCCACTCGATGCACTACATAAATTCCGTGTTCCACGAGTGCAAGTGGGATTTATAACCAATTTATCTTCAAGCAAACTTGATATCAAATGCGTACACGCGGTGAAGATGTACGTGCATACATGTAGTGTATTGGTATAGGAAATAACACAACATATCGTCACCGACACCACGAAGTAACACTCTACCGTGTTAAAGCATATTTTTTTCGATTTTCAGTTTTTTGGATTTTTAAACATTATTCATCAAGGCCTACCATTGCACGAAGTTTCAAAGCTTCAAGAGCTTTACTTTAATAATTACGCTAAGTATCCATGGCAACTTTTGCGCAAAAGTGACAATTTTCGTTTTCACGAAGTAACACTCAAGTTCCATTTTCCATTGCAATGCATGGCGCGCACTCTGCTCATAAGTGAGCAAAAACGTTTTCACGAAGTAACACTCTTCTTGTAACAAGTTGTATGAGCGCGCGCGCGCTGACCTGAAGTTGCACTTTCCTCGTGTTAAATACATTGAAGAGTGTTACTTCGTGAAACCGAAAATTTATAGTTTCGCAGCTTTTTCGGTTTCACGAACTAACACTCATCTTTTTTCTCTTATTTCTTGTTTATTTAATACACAAACGAGTGAAAAACAGCAGATTTAATAAATTCAATTCATCAAGTGTCCACAACGAGAAACCCAACTGAAAATACTCTGTCGTTTTGACGCAAAGTGTTGTTTTAGAAGGCGTTCAACTTTAGTCACCGTTTTCTCCGATTGCTAGTTTGTACTGGTATGTAGATGGGTGTTACTTCGTGGTGTCGGTGACGATATGTACACGTACATTTTTAATATCTTGGGTGCAATATAGCTGTGCAATATTATATAAAATCACACAGTTGTTGCTATAGATGGACTAATCAGGGTCTAGGATTCAAGTTTGCTTGAAGATAATACTTAATATTACAATCAAAGTTACCTTTACTCATTCATCACTGTGCTTCTTGAACTTTAATGACTCTCACAGACTTGGCATTTTGTTCCTTTAAGATGAATTTCACCTGGACGTGAGTCCACTGTACTGGGTGAAGGACTGGTTACTGTTAGTGGTTAGCACACTTCCAAGTCCAGATATTCTGATCAGACAGTTTCTTTGCAATCAGAAGGTAGAATTTTGTTTTTCCTGGCTTTGTACTTTATACATAAAAATCTAGATTAATTTCAGTAACTTAAGAAACAGAATAGTAAAGTTGTGTTGATGTATTTCTTATGTAAAGTCTATAAATTGACTCATTTGTAACCTACCAACTGTACAAAAGTAGTCATTAAGTTGTAAATTTTGAAGACCCCAACTGATTTTTAGTAGATTCTGATAGAGGAAGACATGCTCTAGCAAGTTATTTTTATTTCGTTGATTTTTGGAATGATACATTATTACAAAAATTGGGTCAAAGGTCACGATAGCATATTAAAGGTCACGTGACCTACTTTTCACAAAATTTAATTTTGACAAAAGAAGTGATTTGAGCATGCAATCCTCATTATTTTAATACCAAATTCACATATATTCGATGAAAATTGCCATAGTTTTGACATATTTATACCAAAAGGGTGGTATTTTACTCTAAAAATGCCATTTTTTGTGTGGCTTCTGCCCTGGCCACATAATAGGTCGGATCGGGCTAAAAAATTGGTGTGTATTCATTGCTCATTAGGACCTACAAGCACAGCAATTTTTATTAAAATCGGAAGATATGAGGTAAAAAGTGCGTTGGTCTGGCATGGAATGACCCATAAGCGATACCAAAATGGTCTATCAGGGCATGTATGGTTTCCCTACGTATATTTCCGTCCGTCACTACTGGTGAAATAATCATGACAATTCGTTCAAATTCTGAGAATTGCTGACTGATGATGACATTCGCTGCGATAATGGAGATGTGCTATTGATGGAGATGTTTGTGTTTGTGATGTGTGGCTATGTAATAGTTTCTTATTTGTCTCAAAATCCATCGCTTGCATAATTAGGTCACGTCTATTGGGCCAGTTGGGAAAGTGAATGACAAATCTTTCTCCAACATAATTATAATAGTGTTGCAAACCTGACTATCTGCAACATCAGGAAGAGGGCGCCCTTGATGCCTGGCCAATGTTCGTAGTTAAGAAGGGATTAAATAAAAATCTAGAGTAAACCAAGTGCTCTATTGTACTTAGCCAAAAGTACTCTATCTAATGTAATGTCTGGGTTAAATAAAAGATCTTGAATAATAATTCAATAAATTTCCTGTACTTTTCGACCTATTAAACCTACTGTTTCCAAGCTTAGTTCAATTATAACTGTAAGACCGTATGACTATAGAGGGTCTCCGTATTTGTTATGGGGCAAATCAAGGATCATTGCAGACTTAAAAAAATTTAACAAGCAACTCTATCTGCTAATATCAGCACGGCTGAGCAATGTCACTATAGCCAAAGACAACCGATCGTCTTACAAGGTGTGAGTTTATCCTTCAAAGAGCCAGTCACAGTTACCAATGGGCCAGCTTTTCGTAACCTCATCCAAATAAACCATTCGTCCATAACATATATCCAGTCAAGATTGCACGGCATTTGCAGACTGATGACAAGGCTACATGTACACTAGGCTCCACACAGCAGGCCCGTGGATTTTTTTTCTCTCGTATTCTCGAGTGTAAATCCTATCGCCTACTTGTACATGCCCTTTGTTTTGAACAATGGGAAATATTCAGTTTTGTTGCACCACTGAATTATAAAGATCGACGTCACTCGTGCATAGCTTTCAGTTTGCTAAACTAACTAAACTACCCCTGTGCAAGCAGCAGGGACCGCGATACGTAAATTGCACGTATTAGCTACACTGCAATGCTACACTGCAATGCACGATCGTCACTGAACTTGGTGTTTGTAAAAATACCTTCTTCTTGTTTGCTAGTCAAAGAGGGCCAGGCAAGTGTCATTTCCGTACCGAACTGTCCTTTGTTATAAAGCCTATAGTAGTTGTTCCTTTCACGCCGGCTGACTGTCACAAATTGTGACTTGCAGAGATCTGGGGCCATCGTTACTAGGCTTACCTAGTTTTGTTTTCAACGTCGGAACGGTAAGTTTATAGTTTCGGTAATTTAATTTCTCGAAACTTCTTTGGCATTAGGGGCCATTCAGAATTTTCAATGTTTTAAAATTTCGACTTTTTTTCCAAATTATTTTGACCCACCCACCCACTCCTAATTTCGATTTATAAAAAAAACTGAACATGACTGTACATGTACATGCACTTGCATGTACATGTACTTGAACACCATGTACATGTGTGTCTAGTTCAGTGACGGCGTGAAGTTGTTGGTCATCCTCTTTTATGTGATAAAATATGTGATACCTCACAAACAAGTATCTTTTAACGAAATTCAATTAGAATATTTATCCATTTTTTTTTTAATGTTTAATTGTTGTTTTACTTGTTGGTGTCCCTGCCACACTGTACGATGGTGTAGCCGTGCATTATGCACGTGGATTGTTTACTTTCGTTTTGACGGGGACTTTACTGAATAGAGTCTGGTGACTGTACATAGAAATTTCTTTGAATAAAAGTCGAATCGTTCATTCATGTGCACTTGTTATGCAAAGCAGGGCAGTGGTTCAAGGATATCCAGTCGACTTGCAGAAAGTGTGCAAGAACGCGACTTGAATGCTTTTACGTGTCCACAATACAACGACGCTTTTTAGTTATTTCACTGTGTGACACAGTGAGAAATTTTGGAATCATAATGGCGTCAGCGATACTTGCTGGGGAGCTCTTGCGTACGACTTTCTGTACTGTGGTACTGTTGTTTCCAGGACAATTGTGTGTACGGTAACCCGACGTACCAAGATTTTTAAAGACGAAATTGCCGACCTCAAACTTGTTAGTGCCATATTTGGCAACTATATGTGCGTTATTAGTTTAATTAAACAAATGAACAGGTTAATTAAACATAGTACCATTGAAGGTACCTTAAAGTAAACATAACAGCATAGAAGACCGACAGACGAACATAAAATGTTACAAAATAAACATATTTGTCTGGATAATTTTTTTAGGGCGTTACCGGCAAGTTAACACAAACTCAGTGTGTCAAATAGATCATGAGAGTTACTTTTCTTTGACTTTTCATACAAGTTTACATAAACTTTAACTGTATGACCTGCAGTGGCGTAGCCACGGGGGGGGGGGGGCGTGGGAGACGACAGTCCCCCCCCCCCCATGAAACCTTGTCGCCCACCCCCCAGTCGCCTCCCCCACTGAGATTTTGAGTTTCGAAAAAAATTATCATTGATCTACATGACGCCCCCCCCATGAAATGTTCACACCCCCCCCCCCCCCCCCCCCCCACACACACACACACACTGAAAAATTCCTGGCTATGCCACTGACAGTACATACAGGGGACGGAGTTGGAATAGAAACACGCATCGCGATATCAAAACGTTTGCGCGTAGTTCAGGCAAGTCAAAAGATCTATCTTTCTTTGTTTTTTTATCTTTTTTTCCCATGAAAAGTGAATTTTGATTTTCAATTATTTAGCTTGACCCACCCACCCACAATTTGGAAAAAAGATCGAAATTTTAAAACTCTGAAAATTCTGAATGGCCCCTTATATATATATTGTTTTTAACATCTTAAACTCAGGTTACCTGCGATCAATCTCATTGATTCTGTTTTTTACAGATGAATTGCTGTGGATGGATTTGTGGGCTGAAGAGGGATACTTCTAAAGCTGAAGTAAACTTGACTGATCTGTCACAGGAACTTAATGCGCGAATATTTCGTCATCTGACTGCTACAGATCTCTGTCATGTGGCATTATGTAATCGAATCTTGAGAGATACGGCTAATGACGATGCTCTGTGGCGCCCTCTTTGTCAAAAGAAAGGATGGGAGCGCTACGGTACAATCTGCGATCTTTGCAAAGAGCCTCCGTTTAAACCTTCCTCACAAGATCAAAAGACGGGCGAAGGGGGCGCTCCCACATTCCCTGATGATGTACTTGTAACCAGTTCAGACTGGCCTGGACTGGTGGATACATGTAAATGGAAGGAAGTTTACATGAAAGCAAGGCACCTTGAAGAAAACTGGAGAAACCAGCGCTTCTTCGCTGCTAATTTGCTCTCAACTGGTTTGTCCAGTGTAGCTTATGAAGGAGATTGTCTAGCTGCCGGTGCATCGTATAGCAGTACTTTGGAGATCTGGGATATGGCCAGGGAAAAGCGTCAACACCTCATCCAACTAGACATCAGTGGATATCCAGGCGCCTTGCAAATGGAGGATGGCATCATAGCTGCAGGATGCAAGGACGGTAAGATTCGTACTTACTCCGCCCAAACCGGAGAGCAGCTGCAAGTCATGTCGGGGCATCGTCTGGCCGTGTCTCGTCTCTTCTTCGATGGAGACACAATCGTTAGTGTCGGTCAGTATGATATAGAGTCTGACGATACGAGTCGTAGTGACATACGAGTCTGGAGTGCTGTAGACGGTGTCTCTCGCTGTATCCTAAAGAGTGGCCTCGAAGCGACAAACCTAGTTCACATCGACTACAAGGACAAGATCGTAGCTGGTGCGTACAGCGACAACAAAATTCGTATATGGGATGCACGTAATGATGGTTCTTGCATGCAACAAATCGTTTGTGAAATGGAGAATCTGATTTCCTGCCATCTGTGGAATGGTATCGTCATCGGCGCGTCCAAAGGTCGTATCGTGAAGCAATGGGAACTGAAATCTGGGGAATGCATCAAGACATTTGATGTACCTCTTTTTCGAGGTTTGATACAACCTTCACAAGAGCAGTCCTACTACGTGTTCAGTGATGAGTTGCTCGCTGTCGTTACCTTATTTAGTGGGCTTCCCATTGTGAATCTAAATGGGGAACGACTCTTGACAGTTGATCTTTCTGACGTGATACCTGTCTGTTTCAAGGGTAGAAAGCTGCTTACATGGAGCATGGGTGCATACAAACTGTGGATTATCGACCCGGTGGAGCGCTTGGATGGTACAGCACAAATCAATTCCAGGACTGCATCACAATTTCTGGGGCCAACGCATTTCCCATGTGCTTGGATGAGCGATATCAAAATCATCTTTGCGCTGCAAATGCGTGACTCCATAGTTGACATGTCCTCCATTTGGGTCCGTCACTACTGGTGAACGAATGGAGCCTTCGATTTGTGATGATGATGATGAAGATGTACATGTTGGTAATTGTGATTGCGGCTATAACATTTATTTTATATTTGGCTATTGAATAACCGCTTGCATAATTAGGTAACGCCTATAGTCATTTGCGAAATCAGATACGCAAAACTGCTCATTAAAGTTTTAAAACAAGTATTCAAACTTGAATATAGAAAAACAGGCAATCTTTTGATTTTCAAACGAGACTTTTCTCCAAAATTTGGTGGCTGATTCAAAATGTGCCTTTGAAAGGTACTCTGAATATCCGGGCAGTATATTTAATGCACGTGACTTTATCTCCGTTCTCTATTTCTGGTGAAATTAAGAATAATGGCTGTTATGACACTCAAGATGATGTACGTACTCATTGTAGAATTCCATTCATGTACGTCATGATTAGAGATATAGGATTCTTTTAAAATTGTTGCAACAGTCATCATAAAAGTCACACTTGTCTGTGTAATAGTTGAATTAAGAATGATATTATTCATGATGCAGAAAATGACTTATTGTATAGTTTTATTCATGTACAGCATAATTAAACACAATGTACGCCTTTAGAACAATTCCAACCGGTGTTATAAACAAGTCAGTTGGAACCGAGATCTGCATTTGAAAATTTGAAAAAGTGATGGATAATTTCAGTTGCTGTGTTCGCTGTTACAACATTTTCAACAGTCGTCATTGAGCTCCAGCCGGTTGAAACCAAAATCTAGAATTGTAAATTTAAAAACAAAATTATGATAGGTGCATAAGTTTATACTTGGGAGATATTTAGAAAATGTGTCCAATTAATATACAGTATACTTCAAGAAGTGGACTTTGTACTCAAATTGTTTACCGTTTGGTTATATTTTACAGGTGTCGATTGAGCTCTAACTTATGTGCCCAATTCGCCCCATAAACACTTTTATGTCAAACAATCTAAAAAACAACTTTGGTCAGGCAATAATATCTCCCACATTATGATGCATTATATGTTGTAAAGTTGACTCTCTTTGATCTCATCGAGAGGGCGCCCTTAATACGGGCCAATTTTCATACACATGCATGTACTGCATAAATTGTTAATTCTCATAGCCAGAACTCCTATATCTCAATAATATTTTTTGCAAGTTTCACTGAAAATAATATGGATTCCTGTACAAAACATATTTGGTGTGACGACTGTTTACAAGAATGCGCCGACGATAAAGAGTTTCAAAAAAAAATAATATGCTCAAGAATATTTTAATTGATACCACTTGTCCTGGGTCGTAACGGTTTGAAGTGAGTTTGGATTCATCAACGGTTTCCCCCAAATTTACATTTCTATCTTCATTCCTATCCTACGACATAAAAGAATTCAGCAACGAAAGTCATCGAATTAATCTGTTCTTGGCAGACGGTGCGTCACGTAGAAACAACGGAAAATCAATGCAAAAACCCCAAGTATGACGACCTGAGGCCTGGTCTGTGAATGTTGGATGTCTGGGCTTATTAATGAAATCATGAAGTATAAAATAAATTTCCGGTATTGCGACGTATAATTATGCTTTATTTTTATATTTTTTTTAAACTTATGCTTATTTCAAATAAAACTGTGAGACTGTGTGGTAAGATGAGGGGTCGTGTTTATTATTATTATTTTTTTTGCAATTAACTGAAGGATCATTGACAGACAAATCTAACAACTAACCCTATTTGCTATAGTTCGACAAGGCTTTGGCGATGTCACTATCACCATGAGCACATCTGACACGCTTTGCGTTTACTAATGATGTGCAAACCCGACCCGAAACTTCGGGTCGGGTCGGGTCGGTTTGTCCATCTTTTCAGTCGGGTCGGGTCGGTCGGGTCGGTTTCGGTTTCACACTTAAATTTTCGGATCGGGTCGGGTCGGTTTAGCCAACATCTCAAAAAATCGAAGTATAAAAACCGAAATAAACCGAAACAGTTGAGAAATTTAGGTCATGCAATATTATTGACAGTCACTGTGACCGCAGCCCATTGTGTGGTTTGCCACACCCACTATCACGTTCCCACGGTATTAAAATCTCCAGTCGGATTGGGACTGACAGTGAAATAGATATTGTAACAGGTTTCATGATACCGTGTGGTGACCATGCGTTTGTTCAATAAGCTGAGTTACTCTCGATCAACCCACCAAGTATAACAGAGAGACAGAGACGATGATTTTGCAAAAGAATTCATGCCACGTGGGCAAGGGCAGGCACACAAAAGTGATCACTTTGTCCAAGCCGGGTATTTTTTTTTTTCGGAGTCTTTTTTTGTTCGGGTCGGTTCGGGTCGGTTTTACCTTAGTTTTTGTCGGGTTGGGTCGGCTCGAATTGAGGAGTAGTAAGATCGGTTTCGTTTCAGATTCGCTTTAAATCTCTAATATTTCGGGTCCTTTGGCATAGTCAACCCGACCCGATGCACATCATTAATGTTTACCTATACAACTAAGAGCCAGTCACAGTTCGGCTACTGACCCATGGCCGTCTTTTCGCAACCAATCGTCCTTCACATAAGGTCAGTCTAGATAGGCTCGATACAGCAGGCTGGCGAATATATTTCTCGTATTATATTTTTCGACGGTTTTTTTTTTGGCGATGCCGGGTGTAATCTTGCCACCGACATGCCTTTAGTTTTGAACAATGGGAAATAAACATACCATACAAATGATGACGTCATCAGTAGATCGTTATTTTATTTGGCCAATTGAAATACTCCTATAATAATTATTATTCATGAGCTCGGCTGATGGCCTATTTACTTGGTTGCACCCTTTAATCTAGTATATATTTTGTTATACTGGCAAACTGTTGAAAACTTCAGGTTTCACAGGCTCAATACAACAGGCTGGTGGATTTCCCCCCGTATTTTTCCCGTATTGTCGAGTGCAAAATCTTGCCACCAACGCGCCTTTTGTTCGGAACAATGGGAAATATTCGGTTTGGTTGTAAAAACTGAATTATAAAGGATGACGTCAGTAGATCGCTTTCAGATTGCCAATGTGAAATATCCCATATGCAAGCACTAGAGTTCGCGATATGTACAATGTGTGTAGCCACACTGCGTAGCTCAGCGCCACGTCTTTCTTTAACATTGGTGTTGGCAATATGACTTCATTCTTTTCTTGTTAGTCCAAGAGGTTTAAACAAGATAGTGCTGTATTTGTACCTAAATATTTCATTGGTCGACTAAATGTCACGGTAATTAAGATAGTAGTAACCTTTCTTGCCGACTGACCGTCACGAACTGTGACTTCCACAGATCTGGGATCATCTCTACTAGGCTTGCCAAGTCTCGTTTAGAAAGTCGGAACGGTAAGTTGAATTCATCGGTCAGTTGATTAATTTTTTTCTCTGTAGTCAGTGTTACATCAATGTGGGGAACTGAAACATATGGGCTGGGAGAAAGTCTATAAATAACTGGCCTCACCACAGCTCTATGTGCGCAGTTGCGTAAACAAAATGAAGTCCATAAATTGGGATCATTATGTACGGTTTGTTTTATTAGGGGAACTAGGTTAACTTAACTATTTAATTACTTTCTAATTAGTAGTAAGTTGTGGTCGCGGATCTTGGATGGGATCTGTCAGTGTAGTTCCATTTACGTGTGTCTAGCAACCAGGGCACTATAGTAGAGAGTGATAGGGCACGCATTGGCATTCCTTTTTCTGCTTCCACGGCAAACCTGCCAGTCAAGCTCAGTCCGTAGAAATACACCAAAAAGTATCTTCTTTGAGCTTAAAGACCCTTGCCTGGTAGACATCCCTTATCGAGAGGGTAATTTGACACTTGCTGATTGGTGAGTGTCACTTTCCTTGACATTTCCTTGCCTTATTCTCATGAACGGCAGTGTTTTGTGTGCTCATTGAGCTCGTTTTCTCACAAAGTGTAATGTGTACATTGATGCATTATTGAGGCGACGTGCATAACTATGTACATGTACAATGTACATGTACAGGTACATGTACTGTACATGTACTGTATAATGTACATGTACGTACGCTGTGCGTGCGCTGTCACAGAACTTTCTCGTGCCTAGTGGGTGACCTTTAACCCGCGCTGTGTATTTTGCGAGTTTGTATAGTCTCCACCGCAGTCGCGATGTGTGTTGTGAGCACACATTGTGTGAAGTAGTATTTTGTGCAACATTAAAAGTGACTATTAAGTTTGGGCTTGTTTATATGATAGGTACACTGCATTGTTCTGCTGTACCACTGTAGGATTTATATTGTTTTGACAGATTGTGTCAATCATTTGGAAAGAAGCCGACAGGCTGCAGTATGTACATCACATCAGGCGAAGCCTGCTGAGAAAGTAGAAACTATAGAAAATCATATCATCACTCCTTGTATTTTATAACTGTATTAATTACCACTGATTGTAATTATTTTATAATACATGGAGCACTTTTAAATAAGTGGAACATGTCTTTCTCTGTCTTTGCTGGGGTTCTTTTTTATATTTGTCTTTCATTTTGGGAGGAAAATAAATCTCACGGTGGAACTTGAAAAACAGTTCGTGCGTCTCCTGGATTCAGGGATTGTCTCTCACCCCCCTGTTTGAGTACACGCCGGGCAACCCCAGTATACGCCCCTGTGTGTTACTTTATCAACATGTTCATAATTTGTTTCAATACAGTTTAACATTCGATCAATCTCGTTGATTTTGTTGTTTACAGAAAGATTGCTGTGGTTATAACAATCGATGCTGCTATGGCTGAAGTGAACTTGGCTGATCTGCCACAGGAACTTAAGGAGTGCATATTTCGCCAGCTGACAGCTACAGATCTGTGTCGCGTGGCAGTGTGTAATAGAATCTTGAGAGAATCGGCCAATCAAGATGCTTTGTGGCGCCCTCTTTGTCGAAAGAAAGGATTGGAGCGATACGGTACAATCTGCGATATTTGCAAAGAGCCCTCGTTTAAACCTATTTCTAAAGATCAAGAGACGGGCGAAGGGGGTACTCCCACATTCCCTTTCGAGGCGGTTGTAACTGGTTCAGACTGGCCTGGACTTGTTGATACATGTAAATGGAAGGAAGTCTACATGAAAGCAAGACACCTAGAGGAAAATTGGAGGAAAAAGCGCTTCTACATCAGGCCATTGGTATTAATGTCACCTTACGTGTTAGCTGGTGAAGGAAACTGTCTAGCTAATTCATCGGGGAGAGATTTGAAAATCTGGGATATGTCAAGAGAGGAATTAAAACGCAAACATCACATCATATTAACAAGCAGTATGTTTAGATTTGCTCTTAAGATAGAGAATGGCATCATAGCTGTGGGATGCGAAGATGGTAAGATTCGTACTTACTGCCCTCACACTGGTGAGAAGCTGAAAGTCATGTCGGGGCCTCGTCTGGCCTTGGCTCTTCTCTCCTTCGATGGAGACACAATCGCAAGCATTGATCGAGTACCGGAATACGGAGAAGATGTAGACCGTGACGTTCGGGTCTGGAGTGATGCAAACGGTGCCTGTCGCTGTATCCTACAGAGTGGCAACGAAGCGACAAGGCTGATTCACCTGGACTACAAGGACAAGATCGTAGCTGCTGCGTACAGCGACAACACAATTCATATATGGGATACACACAATGGTTCTTGCATGCAAGAAATCGTTACTGATATGAACAAGCTGACTTCTTGCCATCTAGGGGATGGCATCATCATCGGCGCATCCAAAGATCTCATCGTCAAGATTTGGGAACCGGAGTCTGGGAAATGCATCAAGACATTTCATATACCTCCTCATCAAGGGTTCAAATTTGGTGAAAAGGTTACTTATACATTCAGTGATGGATTGATCATTGTTGTTACATCATCCGATGCACTTTACGTTGTGAATATGAAGGGGGAACGAGTCTTAGATGTTCGTCAAGATGTGAAACCTATCTGTTTCACAGGAAATAAGCTGCTTACATATGATGTTCGCCAAGGTAATATGATGCTGCTTCCATATGTTCGCCATGGTCGTAAGGTGCTTCCATATGTTCGCCATGGTCGTAAGGTGCTTACATATGTTCGCCATGGTCATCAAAGAGGGTACGAATTGTCAATTATTGACCCAGTGGAATGCGTGGGTGGAAAAGTACAAGGCAGTTCCAAGACTGTATCACAATACATTGGACCAACGAACTTGATGCGTGCTTGGATGAGTGATACCAAATTGGCTTTTCAGCGTATAGGTTCTGAGAGTGAGGACTTCGAAACGGACGACGAATATGTTTCTGTTTTTTACTACTGGTAAAATAATCAAGCGTTGTACACGTTGGTGATTGCGATAGTGGCTATGACATTTCATTCCATATTTGTCTCGTAATCCACCGCTTGTATAATTAGGTCATATCCTTGATAATTAAAGAGTGATAATAACTAAAACTAAAACGAATCGATATTTCAGAACTGGTTGTCTAAAGACGCTAGTGGTGATTCAAAATTAGCCTTGAAAAGGTAACCTGAATATCAGGGCAGTAGATGCAAAACAAGTGACTTTAATTCTGTTTTTATTGTTTGTGAAATTAAGAATGATTATGGCGATGAAGCTGAAGGTGATGTGTTTATTGTATAGTTCATAGTTGTATAGTGAAGGCATTTGAAGCAGTTCCAACAGTCGTCATACAACTTAAGCCTGTTGGATCTAAAATCTAGAACTGTAAATAAAATAGTGATGGATGCACGAAAGCTGCACAATATCACTATACGAGACTTGAGCATCGCATTTGGAATTGGAAGTTCGAAAACATACCCCAAGAAGTGGACATAAAAGAATCAGCAACACAGAGTGAGTCAACATGAAAGTGACCTTATTAAACATCGTGTGGGTCGCTCCATTTCTTAAAAATAACAGGGATGAAGAACATATTTATTGACTTGTAACTGTGAACATTTCAGGCAATTTAGATACTCTATTCCCAAGTTATGTCCATTTTGAATGAGAAATTACAAAATTCAAGTGTCCACCATTGATCACTATCGCTCTACGAAGTGGTGAGTACCCATTAAATACAATGAAAAACGGACATTGGTACACTTCCATGAACGACCGAGGCCTGCAAAGGAAAGCAGACAGAAGTCGTCATCAATATTTCAGGGGGAAAAAGAGTTGACTTGTTCCTCATTACTCAAAACACCGTTAGAAATAATGTTACAGCCTTTACTGAAAATGATTAAAATCTCATTTGTCAGGGGGCGGTCAAAGAATTTTTTAGGGGGGTGTGGGTCATCAGCAAAAAAATCTGTAATGTAGACGGGTTCTTTTTTTCTCCGGGCACTTGACCATCGAAAATCAATAGGTTGGTGGGTTTAGAAATTGAAGTACCCAATAGCCCTTACGCTATTAAGTGTTTACAATAGCTTCCAATAGCACTCCATGGTCACCTATAAAAGTAGCTGTTTTTAGTAAAAACATGCCTGGGTGTTCAAACCTCCGATTACATGGATCAATTTCCATATTTTATTTTAGATTTGTTAATTTGTTTACTTGACAAAATGATTATAATAATCATAATTATTCCCGGTCACTTTCTGTTTGACTCATGTACCCTGTATAGAACTCGTCCATGTTGTTGTGATATCTCATGGAAAAGTCAGTGCTAGAGGAAAATACTAAATCTATCATATTTTCAACTCTATAATTAATATTTGTAACGGCCTGAAGCCGCGTACCTGAGTTTTTGGAAGTCTAGGTTTACAAAAGGAATCATGAAGTATAAAATAAAAAAAATCTGTTTTGCAACTAATACCAGTGATGTAGTGCCTTGATGCTGGGCCTTGGCCTTAAGGCTGCCTTAAGGCTGGATTTTAGGGCCTTGGCCTTGGCCTCGAGGCTTGAGGGCCAAAGCCTTGGCCTTGCCCATGGCCTTGAGGGTTCAGGGCCTTTTGAGTCAAGGCTCTTCAATGCCCATAGATTTTTGCATTTTCCAGATAAATCTGTTCGAAATGTTGCTGTTACCATTTTAATCGTATTACCATGGAGGAGGGAAGCACCCTATAGATTTGTGTGTTGGGCACTGACTTCCACTTTTGTAGCATCACATTTTGTTACCATTGTAGTAGATTTGCTGCAAAAATATTCCGTACACTTGTGGGGCTAATGAGATGATCACTTTAATTGCATATAACTATGGAATAGATCTGATTGGTTGTATATGTCTCCCTGATAAGTGCTAAAGATTTGCATGTATCTGTTTTAGATAATGCTGATATTTCTGACCATGTTGGGCCAGCAAATAAAATATTCCCAAATCAGTTTCTTGGATCCCCCTTTTGTTACACTTGGGAGAATTGTGTGTCAATATAGAAGTAAATCATTATTTTGTTTAGTTAAACCATATTGAAGACCTGAACTTATACTTTAATAGATACAGTGCAGTCATAAAACGGTGTAGGCCTATGCGAGCATGTTGATTGCAATTAAAGAAATGTTGTTCTTCGTAGCGAGCAATGCGTGATGATAAGGGCGGATCCAGGGGGGCCAAAAGGGGCCATGCCCCCCCCCAAAAAAAAAGAAACCATTTTTTTTAATGTGACGTCGTAATCAAGGCAGGCAATGAGTACACCACCATCTTTTCCTCAAAAAACATCGGTTAAAATGGTCAGAAATTGCCTCAAATCGCACCACAGAGCATCTCGAATCCAAAAAAATTTCGGGGCCCAAAAAGCCCAAGCCGTTATTTTTTGACCCACTTTATTATTTTGGGGGGGGGGGGGGGGGGTTGACCAAAATTTCTTTGCCCCGCCCCCAAATTGTGTTCTGGATCCGCCCTTGCGTGATGATGTGTCACTCATGTGACTATAATTAGTTCTATATCAGTGGTCATTTCATAAAACAGGGTCTTGGCCTTGGCCTTGGCCTTGAGGGTTAAGCCTTGGCCTTGGCCTCGAGGCTTGAGGGTCAAAGCCTTGACCTACGCCTTGGCCTTGAGGTTCAAAGCCTTGGCCTTGAGGATCAAAGCCTTTGCTCCAACACTGACTAATACATGCAATAAACCTGCTGTTAATATCATGTTTAAATGCAACTGACTGTGAGACTGTGTGGCTAGGGGTGTCTAAGGGAACTGAAGAAGCATTGGCAGACTGCATATCTAACAAGCAACTCTATTTGCTAGTTTAGCAAGGCCAACGGAAATCGTCATGCAAGCTGTGTTTTTTTATCTGCCATAGAGCCAGTCACCGTTTCCCACCGGTTACCAGTCATCGTAACCTCAGCCAAATAAAACCTTTGTCCGTAGCATATTCAGTCTAGATTTTGCTATATATAGGGTTTTTTTTAGATCTTGTGTGCAAATCTTGCTACCGACATGCCTTTGTTTTGAACAATCGAAACAAGTCAGTTGTGATTTATAATGGGTGACGTCAGTAGATCGCTTTCAGTTTGCCTAACAGAAATACGGCTATGCAATTGCACTATGGATTGCGATGTGTAGGTGAATACGGGTGTATTTGCTCCACTAAAGGCTCAGTGGATGGGAGTCGGGCTGGCGTAGCGGTACTTTCCTCACCTTCCACCGCAGTTACCCGGGTTCAAAGCAATGGGCGTCGACAAGATTTTTCCCAGAGGGGGCAAAGCACATTTTCACCCAAAAATTTCTTAACTTTTCCATACAATTCTCAATTTATCATTTTTCCATGCGTGAGCAGGGCAGCATTCGGCCCACCCTCCCACCTCACCCCCTATCAAATTAGCAGCAATATGGCTTCGCACCTCTTTTTCTTTTTCTTTTTTCGTTTTCCGGGGGCCACTCTTCCCCCCCCCCCCCCTCACCTTGCGATGCCCATGTCTGCATGGTTTGTAACAACTTTAGGTGGTTTGAGGTCTATCAACAGTTTTCCGAAAATCTACGTCCGTAACTTCTTTTCACCGACAAAAAGAAATCAGCAATACACGTCATTGACGCAATGTGTTCTCGGCAGAAGGTTCGGAAATGTCATTGTATATAAGAAAGATTAATACATTGTTATCAATTCTATAACCGTGGCAACCTCGGGCTACGACCACGTATCTCTGGATAAGTTGAAACAAAATCGTGATTTTCAAATACATTGTCTGTTTGCTACCTATATACCTACTGTGTCTAGGTTCATGTTCAAATGAAACTGTTTGCTAGACCATAGAGGGGTCTCAGTATTTATGGGGGACTGCAAAAATGTAACAAGCAACTCAAGTTCAGCAAGTCTGAGCAATGTCACCATGACCAGAGAAAAATGTCTGACAAGCTGTGTGTTTATCTGCAAAAAACAGGCACAGTTTCCCAAAGGTCAGCTGTTTGTCACCTCAGCCAAATAAAACCATTCGTCCGTAGACATATCCAGTCTAGATTTCATTGCTGGAAAGGGGAACACACGATTTGCATAGCACGCTGTTGGAAGTTTCCCCGCATTTTTTCCCGCATTGTCGCGTGGAAGGCTTGCAACCTACACGTGCCTTTTGTTTTGAACAATGGGAAATATTTAGTTCTGTTGTACTATTGAATTATACAGGGTGACGTCAGTACATCGCTTTCAGCCTTGCCAAACTGAAATAGCTCTATATGCCACCCCTAGGGTCCGCGATGAAGGGATTGATACGTGTGTATTTACTCCATTGCAAAATTCAGCGCCATGGTAATACACGTCCCTAACTGAACTTGGTGAAGAAAAATACCTTCTTTTTCTGCTCGTCCAAGAGGACAAGAGAATTGTTCCGTTTGTTCCAAATGAACACTACTGGCTACCTTTCTCGCTGATTGTCACTGATTGTACTTGCACATATCTGGGACCACTGCGCTTAGGCCAAAAAAAAATATTCGGTCTCTGGTTAGACCAAAGTTCCGGAATTGACGCGGCCACGCGGCTTTTTTTTTTTGGGGCTTTTTTTTTTTTTCTTCAAGCTTGGATTTTACAGACAAGGTGGGTACTATTTTGCTTTTTTGTTGTCCTCATGTACATTGGTGTCCTCCATAATTTGCCTTGGTGCTTTCGATCATTTGCCTTGATGCAATTTCCCATTCCTTGGTGCTCTTTGGTAAAACAAATTGAGGAGGTGCGGAAATAGAGGGCGCTGTTGGAGCTACCGCGGAACATTTTGGAAAAAGAAAGATCGACGCGCATGATTAAAATCGACGCGCGCGCTGACCAGAGACCGACTTAGTTTTTTGTTGGCCTTATTGTTGTTTTGAATAAACTCGCGAGACGGTAAGTGGATTTTTTTCTTCATTTCATTTCTCGAAAATGGTTTACCGTTGAATTGTAATAACTTTTTAACACTGATTGCCTTCGACCAATTTTGCTGTTTACAGATGGATTGCTGTGGATGGATTTGTCGGCAGAAAACAGATACTTCTCAGGCTGAGGTAAACTTCACCGATCTGCCACAGGAACTTAAGGAGCGAATATTTCGCCATCTGACAGCTACAGATCTGTGTCGCTTGGCATTATGTAATCGAATCTTGAGAGCATTGACCAATCAAGATGCCATGTGGCGCCCTCTTTGTCGAAAGAAAGGATGGGAGCGCTACGGTACAATCTGCGATCTGAGCAAAGAGCCTCCGTTTAAACCTACCTCATCACAACATCAAAAACCGGGTGAAGGTGGCGCTCCTACATTCCCAGCCGATGCAGTTGTAACCCGATCTGACTGGCCTGGACTGGTGGATACATGTAAGTGGAAGGAAGTCTATACAAAAGCGAGGCACCTAGAAGAAAATTTGAGAAACCAGCGCTACTACGCCATGTCACTGGAATTATGCCCACCCGACGTTTTACCGTGTGCCTTGTGCGATGTACTACTGGTCAATATAGCTGGAGAAGGAGATTGTCTTGTTGCCGGTCTCAACATTGGTCTTTTGCAGATCTGGGATCTCTCCAGCGGGAAACGCCAACATCTCATCCTCGTAAATGTCAGTTCATCTCCAGATGCTCTGAAGATGAAGAATGACATCATAGCTGCTGGATGCAGGGACGGTAAGATTCGTACTTACTCCGCCCAAACCGGAGAGCAGCTGCAAGTCATGTCGGGGCATCGTCTGGCCGTGTCTCATCTCTTCTTCGATGGAGACACAATTGTTAGTGTAGCCCGACCTCAGGTTAAGCGTTTAGAATATGCAGACAGTGACATACGGGTCTGGAGTGCTGCAAACGGTGCCTCTCGCTGTATCCTACAGAGTGGTCACGAAGCGACAAGACTGCTTCACCTGGACTACAAGGACAAGATCGTAGCTGGTGCATACAGCGATAACACAATTCGTATATGGGATGTACGCAATGGCTCTCTCATCATGCAACATGTCGTTTGCGACACGATCAACCTGACTTCCTGCCATTTATGGGATGGTATCGTCGTTGGCGCATCCAAAGATCATACCGTGAAGATATCGGAGCTGAACTCAGGGGAATGCACCAAGACATTTAATGTAGATGTGCTTCCTAATCCAGATACAGAGGTACGCTACATGCTAAGTGATGGTTTGCTAGTTGTAGTTAAATTAGATGTACATCATGGGTTTAACATTGTGAATCTGAATGGGGAGCGACTCTTAACAGATGCTGGTCGCCATGTGAATCCTCTCTGGTTCAGGGGCAATACGCTACTTACGCATGGTATTGTTACCCACGATGATGCACAGGGGTACGAGCTGTGGATTATCGACCCCGAGGATCGCATGGATGGTAATGCATCAGGCAGTTCCATGACTAAAGCACCACAATACCTTGGAGGAACGAGCGTGGTGTGTGCTTGGATGAGCGATACCAAAGTGGCTTTTCAGCGTAAACAATCTCAATTTTACACCCCTACCGATGATGTTTGCGTCCATCACTACTGGTGAAAGAATCACCAGTAATTGTTGTATTTAAGAAGCTGTTTTTTGATAATGACTTTCGTGATGTTTGAGATGAACCCCTTGATAGTGTTGGTGACTATTATACTTATTTTATGTTTGCCTCTAAAACAACGGAATTAATAAGGTAACGTCCTTTGGGTCCTTTGGGAAAAAGAAAACAGTTGACCGTTTGACAGTTTTAAGAACACGCAGTGAGACTGGAAAACAGTCAACACGGTGCTTTTCAAAGGAGACTTTTCCTAAACTTATTGATGATACAGAAATGCCATCGAAATGTATACTCTGAATAAAACAGATTCAAAACTTGTCATAAAACTGAGACCTGTTGTAACTTAGATCCGAAACTGTACATTAGGAAAAGAGTTTTCCAGGCGCGGTTCTAGAACCAATATTTTTTGGGGGGGGGGGCTAGCACGGTGGATACAGAATTTTTTCAGGGAGGCGTGCTGAAATGTAGACCGGTTATTTTTTTCAAACACTTAGGCCTCCGAAAATCAATAGGTGTGGGGGGGGGGGGGCTCATGCCATATTTTCAATGGGGAGCGCCAATAATGCACCCTTGTCACGGCTATTTCTTCTTTAGGGGGAGACCGTTCGCATGTACATCACAATCCTTCTTTTTGCTAAAGCATTTTTTTTTTTACGGAATTTATTTTGGGGGGCTAGACAAAAAAATTGGGGGGGGGGGGGCCACAGCCCCCCTAGGCGCCCCCCCCCCCCCGTAGAACCGCGCCTGGACAGAAACATGAAAGCTTGACATTGTACATTCCCAAAATGTTTGCATCCCACGGAATACTTGCAGTATGCTATATATTTAGAGACATTTCTTTAAACAATACAACACTATTCACAAGAAGTAAATTTAATTTTTTGGTTTTTTTTTTTTTTTAGTAATTAACGATTGCACAAAATGTTGGTAGAGTACTTACATTGCGTACATAATTTTGCTCATGAACACTGTTGTGTCATACATTCTAAGAGACGTATTAAACTCTTTCTCCATCATTGTCATAGTGTTGTAAACCTCTGCAAACTCAACGAGAGGGCGCCCTTGATGCCGGGACAATGTTCGTAGTTGAGAACGGTTAAAAACCTAGGGTAAAGAAACTGCTTAATTTAATTAAGCCGAATCCCCTCTATCGAATGCAATTTTGGGCCAGTTTCACCGAGACCAATTAGTATCTCTATACAGGATATTAATTAGTGTGACAAAATACAACAGGAGGAATTGTGGCGACTGTAAAGAGTTTCAAGTAATATAATCGCCAGCTCATGTTTTTTTTATATCTTTATCCTTGGTTTTTAATTATTTTTAGGTGGTTTTAGGTCCATGGACTGTTTTCCCCCTCAATTTACAATTCTATCTCATTTCCATGACATCAAAACAATTCAGAACGGGGAGTCATCAATGTTTGTTTTCTAGGCAGACGGATGCCTCATGTAGAACAACGGAATATAGGCAGTGCAAGAATAAGTAATAAATAGAACTTTTTCAACTTGATAGCGAGACGACCTGAAGCAGCGTGTCTGATTTTTCGATGTTTGGTTTTATCAGTTTGCCCGTATAAAATACTTTTTTTCTGTATTGCGACCTATTATACCTACTGTTTCCCAGTTTATGTTCATATAAAACTGACTGTGAAACTGTTTGACTATGGGTCTCAGTATTTGTTATTGGGAACTCGGTGAAAGACTATTGGCACTTTTTGTGTAATTTGGGGTCGGTTACCATAACAAACATAAATACATACAAATGCCTTCCGAGGTTTTTCTCTTGGGTAAATCCCAAGTGCCCTCACCCCATCCCCGGTTCCGCCGCCACTGATGCAGGTAAAGTAAGTTACCCAAAATAACACATTTCCTATGCAGTTAAACGCAATCGGTTTTTTTTTAAATATAGTCCACATTTTCTTTTCGTTCACATTCGACTGTTACCGGTCTAACCATTGCGGCGTGTGCTCGATTGTAGAGAGAATTTACACAGAGTGCCCTGTAGCTAACTTTTATTATTTCCGTCACGGCTAGATTATACATTGAAAGTCGAAGAGACAAAAAAATACAAACACGGCATGGGAGTGTCGTTCTTAGCATTGCTTGTGAATCGTGAGTGTACGCGTATGGGTGTTGGGAAAAAAACCGAACAGATTGCGACAGAGTGGGAAATCCAACATGGTTAATTATTTGTAAGAACTGAAGCTAACACAGAGGTCTCTTATCCAGTTCCCGGCAACTAATTAAGTTGTTCACTTCTGTCTCCTGCACCCCGCGGTGCATGCGGTGCTCTGATAAAGTATGTCTATATGCTCTATCGCTATCGTATATAAGTTCCGATTGCTCGCAAGTAAACTCCAAAAACGACTGACAAGCTACGATATATAAATCCCAAACAATATCCAATGTGTATATATACGCAATGTAAATCTATTTAAGTTGGCCCTTTTTGTAACAATGTGCTTTGTTTACGTCGATCTACCACCCAATCAAAATGGCCTCAATACGCGCCTGCAATTTCAGCCTTTATAGTTGATCAATTTTCACACGTATACACATTCTGTAGCAACAACATCACCGGCATCAACAACAAACAGAAAAACAAAAAATGAATGATTCAAACCGTCAAAAACCTTTGATAAGAGGCGATACACATTTTCTCGGACCACGAGAGAATTATTAAATAGTGTCGCTCACACAGGTGGTACTTAACAAGTATGTCTATTTTATTCACTTGGAATAGGAATCCAACTTTGCTCAATTGAAAAAAAATTAAATCATATAGTCGCACTGATACACCTACATGCTGTAAACGTTTTAGTGATTGTGAAAAAGGGTTGATCACCGAATACGGATTTGCAAACATCCTACAGTAAATGTGCATCCATGAAGAAAAGTGGCAAATGTTACAAAAGAATTAATTACAAATTATTCATTAATTCATTACTATTATCTATTTATTACTATTTAAAAAAAGAAAGATTTTATTTAATTAAGTATAATTGATTAATTCATTAGTATTTTTTATATTTTTGTAAAGAGAATTGTTCACATTGTTTTTTTATATACAATACAATAAATTAACAATAATCAATTTCAAACTAGACACAATGTGTAAATACATGTACAATCATGCCCACAACTTCATTCACATAATAACCCCAAACTGATCTCAATTTCAATCTCAGTGGGTTATTAGTCCTTGCGGAAACTCTAAAATAAAGGAACTGCTGAGTATCCGTCTAAACGCATAACTATATCAAATACATTTCAAGTCAAAGAGACCATTTGATATAAAAGAATACAAACACTCCATTGGAGTGTCGTTCCAAGCGTTGATCATGAATCGTTACTGTGTGGGTGTTCGGAAAAAACCCGAACAGATTGCGAAAGAGTGGGGAAATCCAACATGGTTAATTATTTGTAAGAACTGAAACTAACAAAGAGCTCTTATCCAGTTCCCAGTACAAAAGTTGTTTGCTTCCGTCTCCTGCACCCCGCGGTGCATGCGATGCTCCGATAACGTATGTCTATATGCTCTATCGCTATCGTATCCGTTTTGATTGCTCGCAAGTAAACTCCAAAAACGAATGACAAGCTACGGTAAATTAATCCTAAACAATATACAATTAGTATATACGCAATGTAAACCTGTTTTAAAGTTGGCCCTTTTTGTACCAATGTGCTTTGTTTACGTCTACTCCCCTTACCCCCGATCAAAAACCAGATAATAAATTCGCATTCATCGAACTATTAAGATTTTTTTTCGGATCAGTGATAGGGCTCTTGAAAAAATGCTGATTTAAGGGACCAGAGTCGGAGGAAACAATTGGCTTTATTTCAAATACTGCTCCCAAATTGTCATATTTAGTAAGTCCGCATATTGTTTGCAATTGATTACACACCTATGAACAGGCACAAGCCAGCTGGACAGATTCCCCGACCTAACAATTCCTCGACGTCTATAAATTGCTCCGGTTTTTTTTTTTGGGGGGGGGGTATACATGATTGTTTTTCTTGGTATTTCCAGCATCTACGAACCCAAAACTTCAAACAAGTCAATGTAATAATATTTGTTATATCATAGTGACCCCATATTAACCATTTCCGAAAAATACAGCAAAAGCAAAACAATTAAAAGACTATACTCAATATTGTACACAATACAATAAGTCAACATAATCCAAGTTAATAATAGTCGCTGTGCCTTTTTACAAATATGGCCATGCACAACTTTACACAAAAGCAGAAACTTAACTCAGTTTCAATCTTAGAGAATTAAGAACTGACTTGGTATCATACATAATGCAGTATTGAATACTGTAAGTCAAAAAAAAACATTTGTATTATGACAAATACAGGCAAATACAGACAAATAAACATTAATCGTAAATTTCTTTGTTAAACGCAAGAACCGAACTTTTGGAACGAGCATGCGTAGGGATAGCTCATTTCACCAGGCGCAGTTCCGGGGGGGGGGGGGGGGGGTCAAAACAATTGTGCTTTTCATAGGAATTCTGTAAAAGTAATGCGAACCCCCCCCCCCCCCCCCTCTGACACCCAAACAAATTATAGACCTGGTAATATTGTCCGCCTGTGCACAAAATAAGGACACAACCAGCTTGGTTAGGGAGTATTTGTACACTTTTCTGTAATATAATGTTACTAATCGTCGGATTTGAACAGCGCCCCCATTGAAAGTATGGTACGAGCCGACCCCCCCCCCCCCCCCCCCCCCCCCCACCCACATACCGATTTTCGGAGGCCAAGTGTCCGGAGAAAAAAACCTGTCTACATTATAGATTTTTTTTGCTGATGAACAACTTGATCCCCCCCCTGCAAAAATTCGTAGATCCGCCCCTGCTCAACCCATTCTTTGGAGGCATTCTTATCGAACTGCTAGCTCTACAGCAGTACCATAGTTTGCCCTGATTTCTCCCACTTTCTCGTGCAGTTGGGTTTGTAGTTCGTCGGCAATGTTGTGGATAACTTCCGCTATTTCTGGTACGTTTTTTTTGTGGATATCTATGGCGGATTTGATCAGAGTGTGCGGGTCAACTGGGATGGTCGCAACTTTCGCGGCGAGTGTCGCGCCTGCGATGGCCATGCCGCGCCCTGAACTGCCTGAAGCGCTCACTGCCTCGAATGTCGTATTGCCAGACGCCTTCCCCCTTTTAATATTTGCCGTGCCTACCCCTCCAACACTCTCGTGCGCGTCCAATTCATGCCTCACAGTCGAGTTCATTCGCTCCAGGGCAGCATTAAGATTATCACAGGCGATTCTTTCCTGCTCGATTGTTCTAATTGCTTGTTCGCTGGTTAACTTTGAAGTTATGAATTCCGTGAGAACACCTCCCACCGCTGTCAGCCCGCTGGCCGCTCCTAAACCGGCACCAACGCTGACGAGGATCAGCGAAGTGCCGAAGGTGAAGAACGAAGAAGCGAAGCCACCGATGACCAATGCTGTGCCTACTAACTCTGTTGATCTTCCAGCAACCTACACATGCGCATGTGCGGGGGAAAATACACAAAGTATTTCATACGCTGTGAACCATTGTGACCATTAGGAATTAGCCTAAAGTCTATTTTGTATGAAACTTAAGGATTTACAGACCTGCTCTTCATACTCGTATTTTGTCTGTGTGCGCCTGCAACCCTCGATTTACCAGAAATAGCAATGAAAAGCAACAATACTCTCATATAAAATTATTGCTTGTGCTTATCAACATGCGAACATGTCACAACTGATATGCAAATACATTAGCAGTGTCATTGTCAATAAATATTTGTGACATTTGCATTGGTACGAAGATGACAAACAAGTATTGCAGTTTACACACACACCGATGTGAGTAGTGAGCCAGTCAAGCTCGAAATAATTTTCTTTCTTCCGTTGTTTTCAAAAATTAAATGATCATCGATTCACCTATTAATGAATAGATTATAAGAAAAACAGTTCGTTAATAATTTTAAACTGGGGAAATAGAAAAAATTATCTTGAATTTTTTTCCAGGGACCTAGGAACACCTGTGGTAGGTCAGAGTTTGAGGCGTGAGCTTGAAATCTTGATTCTGATTTGGCAATTTTGGCAGGGTCATAATAATCGTTTGAACGAGTAATGAAACAATATTCTCGACATAATTATAATGAGGACTCAAATTAATTGGAATTTGTAGCTGGTTTACAGCCCCATACGTTTGCGCACATAATTAATTGCCTGGTTTGTTTGTCATCCATCTCGAAGATGCATTGCATATATCAGAAAAGTTATTGATGCATAAGATGTGGCCGGCATGACTTTTTTCACAGTTTAATCTGGAATCCGAGACTTTTTAAATCTGAGAGAAAGACATTGCAGTATGGAAAGAAATGCATCTTTCGGACCTACATCCACTTTTTACATTGAAAATACAATTTGTGGGTGTGTTTTAATCATGTTTGCTGGTCATAGAGAATACGCCTACAGTCCACTTTATAACTGACTGACTGACTCCCTCCCCGACGACTGACTAACTGACTGGCAGACTGACTGAATGGTCTCATTTTTCGGTGACTGACCTTTAGCTTTGCAAGTCGAACGTGAAGGTCTCCTTCTATAAGATCACGTTCTACAGAATAGAGAAGTTGGATAGTAGTCTCTCGGCTTTGCACAAAGTCGTTGATCGACTCCTCCAAGACATCGAGGTCATTAGCTGGCTGTGGCGGCAGGACCATATCTTAACGGACATACAAAAAATGTGCATGAATACTGCATTCATGTTCCTACATTCGGTTTTCTCGTTTACACAATTTTAATGGGAAAAGGTAACTTCATTGCGTTTCCCGAAACGCTTTTGGCATCACTTTTGCTTTCAATTTCAAATTTGTTTCAAACGATTTCGAGTGTACTATAATTTACAAACGTGTAGCATTGTAATCCTAATTGCGAAGTTCAAATTAAATATACAACTTTGGCGAACAATGTTTCGGAAGGATATAAAATCGAATACAAGTACTGAAATAATAGGTAAAAACCCGATACATGACTAAAATGAAGGGAAGCTTTACTAATAGGCACATAGTAGAAGCATTGCATGAAGATTGACAAGGATGGCAGCGCATAATGCCCTGACTGCATCAATTCTACAAGCGTAAATTCCTTCCAAGGGGGTGCACTGGGCTACTGGATCACACCCCCCCCCCCGCCCCCGCCCATTCTTGTGCTGAGAAAAACTAACTTTCCAACGGACCAAATGCATTAAATTCTTCTTACAAACGGAGAAAAGGGTACATAATAAGCTTTAAATTCACGTTTTGACATATTAAGATATTTGATATACATGTCATGCGGTGCCCATCCCCCCTTCGAATTTCCACAGCCCAATCCCCACTATAGCAGAGAAGGATATACGCCACTGATCTATTATGTAAATACATATATACGAAGTGCTCTAAATATGAAACTGAGGATTCTTTTAACTTCCTCACACATTAATGTTTGGCCCAAAAGACAGTTTAGGCTGTCGGACATTTCGCAGAAAATTCCCGTTCTTTTTGTCTCATTGATATTTTGTATACAGGATGCCATCAAAGTGTGAAATTGCACTTGTAAATTTTGAAAATTTGATTTTCCTCTGGCACGACCCCTCCAACAACCCTGCCCTCGTCGACCCCAGACTCTCCCAATACGAGTTGATCAAACCAGAAGACATGCCACATACACATGCATACTTATTGTCCCTCGAAAATCAGAGGTCGTGATTGGTGAAATGGTATGCTTTTATCAAAAATTTCACAATAGCTTCGAATTATAGAACCTTTATTAACAGCCCTACGTCATACGCTAAGCGATTGGATATAGGCTACGCAAAAACCCAAACAATAAACATGATACACTATATGCAGCGCGTACTAGTAAATAAGGGCGCCTATAAGCAAAACAGGACTGTATTTCTAGCGACTTTTCCTCAAGCTCTGCCAAAAAAAGAGATTTTATTTCGAGGTTGATCATTTGTCAACAATCGGTAGTTATATCCATAACTTACCTTGTCTTTCACTGCCACAACTGCCGTAACAGTACCTGTTTTCCGAACTGCTGCCCACATGGAGAGGACTGTTAGTGAGGTTGATGTTGACAAACGTGAAGTTGACGTTGCGATGTTGCAGGTTCGATTTTGTATTCTTTCCCTTTTTTGAAGAAACGACTCTTTTCTTTCCTACAAAAAGGAAGGAGTCAAATTGTATTTCAGTCAGGAGCGATGACTAGAATCGCAAATTAATTAATTAAAACACATAGAGGAACAACTTTTGTTATTAAACATGTAATTTTACACTTCAGATTTAATGAAAATAAAAATGCAGAACATTTTCAATTCTTGAAAAGACCAAAAAAGTACTTTTTTTCACTTAGATAAGGCCCAGGCATACCCAGGATATGAATAATTACATAGCTGTTTCGGTGTACACACCAAAACAGCTATTGTTTTTGCTATTTTTGTATTTTTTTTTCGTTCTTTTTCCACTCCGTCTTCCACAAGATAACACGTGTTTTCGTTCTGAGCACCATTTTCCTTTGATCAATTTGATTGTTTTCCTAAAATACTGTCAGAACTCACTGCTGAAACCAGAAACAGTTTGATTGTGGAAGGTGTGGGTTCGTTTCGTTCACGCGGGAGGAGTTATCTGTATTGTAGTTTGTCTTGCATTTCTTTTTCTCAACTTCATCCTTGGTTATTGCCAAAGTTTTATGAATTTGCGGAATTCCGACCGGGGGTTGCTCTATTTTACATGTTTGTAAAATAGAGCAACCCCCTATTTTTGTAAAATAGAGTAAAATATGGCTGTTTTTATTTCTGTTCATTTAAAACTTTTCAATGTATTTTATCTAATGTATATGACTTTTTCTTAGTTTGTATGTTTGTATGTATGTTTGTCGGGTTGCTGGAGTGTTAGTTTGTCGTCCGTCCGTCTGTCTGTTCTGACCATACCCCCCCTTGTGGGGTGATGTTCCTTTCGGGACACATCACCCCACTATTTTCACAATAGAAAAACATCACCCCAGAAGAGAATCTTTAGAAAAAGGGATAATGGGAACACAATGCTATCACCCCACAATTCCGTCTGGCTGGAATGTCTGTCTGTCGGTCTGTCTATTTCTTTGCTGGGGTGATGGGGTGTTTGTTGGGTTGTTTGTTTCCTTGTTTGTTTATTTGATTTATTGGTTGTTTGTTTGGTTTGTAAGTTTATTTTCGTGAGCTGTTTGCTTTTTTAGTTTTGGTTGCCTATTTTCAGTGGTATACTGACTTTGTTTAAGCATTGGTGTGAGCATGTCCGCAGTTTGTGCTTGTGTTCTGTTGTTTATCCATGTCTATTTTTCTGCCTTGCCTTGTGAGTTGTCTTTTATTGCTTTTCTGCTTGTTTGTTTGTCTGCGTAAATTTTTTTGTACACATTCTAAATAGGTTTTCACGGAATGTTGGATATGTTTTCGCATTTTAAAAGATCGCGTTATCTATATATTTTCAACTTTTGTTTAGTATGTACTGTGCAATTATCTTTTTGAACAGGGTCCGGATGAACACATCATCTAGATGACAGTTTTATACTTTTGCTTTTCCTTGACATACCCTGTTCATATTATCATATTTTTAATGTAAAAAATAGAATATATAAATAAACAAATAAATATACGTATATACCCATTTTCAAGGTTTCCAGTCTAAAATATATTATACAATGTGCAGTAATATTTTTACTTCGAGCCTGTTTTTGAAGCTGTTTCGGTAAACACACCGAAACAGCTATTGTATGGGTTCTTTCTTTTTTTCTTTTCTTTTTTAGCTGTTTCGGTGAAACAGTTATTGTTTTTGTGATTTTTGTTTTCTTCTTTTCTTCTTTCCCCCTTCTTTTCCCACTCCGTTTTCCATAAGAAAACACGTGTTTTCGTTTTGAGCACCACTTTTTTCACATCCGATCGACTTCAAACCTGGCACATACTTAGACCACCATCTGGCGATTAAGGCCGAATCATAACGTCATGATGAAGTCATCACGTGTCACGTGACGTCATCCTAACAGGGCATATTTTAACTTTATCTACAGAACCGGAAGTCCGATTGGGTTCAAACTCGGTAGGAAGGTATTCCGGGAGTCTTATAGACAGAATTGCAGTGACGTCATGATGACGTAAACGTGTGATGTTATGTTATTTTATGTGTGCATCAGACTTCGGAACCATACACACGTACATGTACAATAGATTGATGAAAGTCCTCCATGGCTGATGTTTTTCTTATTGTCGAAACAGCTATGTGTCTGTCCACAAATACAATTCGAGTTTTTTTTCCACTCCGTTTTCCATAGGATAACAAGTGTTTTCGTTCTGAGCAGCACTTTAATTTGGGACTTTCTTTTCACATCCGATCAACTTCAAACCTGGCACTCACTCAAACTACCATCTTAAGATTCAGGCCGACAAAAATGACATCATCATGACGTCATCACGTGTCACGTAACGTCATCGTGATCTTTTTCAAGGGCCTATATCTAGAGAACTATAGCCCAATTTGAATGAAACTTGGTATGTGGACATAGCGGGATGTGTTATATATGAATATTGAGGCGACGACATCATCAAGTCATCATTTTGAATTTTTGATTGATATTTCATTTTTTCAGCTCATCTCCATATCTCAGGAACAAAACATGCTACATTCAAAAATCTTTTTGTATTAGCTTTTTAAACATATAACGGATGAAGGTCTGATCGCTATAAAACTTGGTGGTTGGGTAGGTATTGATAGTAGTATTCAAATCAGAAATAACGTCATAATGATGTCATCAATTGATTTAATATTTTCTTCTGTTTTGCAAAACTTGACATGAAATACAATTACATGTAGATTGACTTCAAACTAGGCACAAACATAGATCCAGTATTATTGGAAGCATACAAATAACATGTACACAATGTACATGCCAATTTCGATTAAACGTCTTCGTATGACAATTATTACTAAAACACAAATCTATAGTTTCCTTGTCTTTTACCCTTTACCCCTGTTTTCTCCGTTGGCTTTTCTTGGGGGGGGGGGGCTGAGGGGGGGGGGGGAGAACTGAGGGGGGGGGGGGCAAGGCCGATGATTGGGTGTGCAGACGCACACCCAATCATGTGCTTCTGAAAATTTGGGACCCGTGTTGAATGAACATTCAACACGATAACGGGGTTTCAAATACGCCCCACCATATGGAGTCAAGTATCGGGCTATAAGTTAATTTCATTCGCCTTTTTCTAGTTGCCTTGCAAACCTGTCAAATCCAGAGGTCTATTTTACCTGGCAATCTGCGTGGTTTGTGCCCTCTCGCAGTCAGGCACAATGTTTGCTTTTCCATGTTTTCCCCTTCATCTTGATGCAGTTTGATGCTTCTCAAATGCAGACCCAGGTCTCGCAGGTGCCGCTGTATGCCTACAAGATGTTCTCCAATGTTCTCATCCGACTGCATTGTGAATTTCGGAAGCACTCAAGTACTTTTTATACTAGTGCAGCTAGTGTATCATCAGCCATAACATACTGTGCTGTAGTACAGAACACTTGCATTATCGTGTCACACACGTACGTGAGCCCAGACACCACATGATTGAACCATAACTTGACGTGTATGTATTTTTGTTCTGAAAGATGGCGGGAGAATGCTACCGAAATGAACTATCACCAATATTGCATGAAAGCAGTTATAGAAATTGAACGGATCGGCGCAACCAGCCTTCATGTATACCATGCATACTAGCACTAGTGCAAGACTCATAATCATTAGTCATACGGTGATAGCAAATTGCACTGCGTCACGCGGTACAAGCGAGACTTAGGCTACGATCCAGTCGTTTTTAGAGCTCGTCTACTGTACGAAAGCACGCATAAGACATGAAAGACATCGTCCAATGTATTTTTTTTTATAGATATATTTCTAAATGCAATTCAAGATATAATCTAAAAGTGTCTCGAGATATCGTGAAATTCATTTAGAGATATTGTCCATTATTTGTCCATGTCTATATACAGCACAATACTCAGCCTTGCAATCAAGGCTACCCAATGTGTTTTTTGGAAAGCCCGTACATTGCGCAACCAGGGAAACCCCGGGATTGCAACATCTAAAAAAAAAAAGAATCCGTTACTAGACTTGAGAACAAGTCCCCCGATATCAGATATCAGGGATATCATGCTGTAAAGATTATATTATTAACATGCACCTAAAAACTGAAATTAATAGGACAACTACAAACCGCTTGCTGACTGGGTTGACCTGAAATACATTTGCAGGCTTGTTTGCAGCATACTTGTAAAGCTGTCTGCATGCATCACTTCGTGGTCGGTCGGTCGATAGGTCTGTCCCCGGATCCGTAAAATTGACAAATAAACGAGCCCCCTACGTTTCCTACCAAATTTATATTTTCACCAAAAAGGGGCAAACAAAATAAATGAAACACTTCAACACTGTAACAATTCGTGAAGTTGTTTTTGAAAATGTTGTCAATGGGGGCAACATAATGTGCAGTAATGTCATAGTCACGTGGTATACATCGTGGTATACAGCGCGCAATAATTCCGTGCAAAAAAAGCACGCAATATTTTATGGGAGAGCTAGGGGGTTTATAGACCGCTTGCAGACGCGATCGATAATTGACGCGCTAAGGTGAGCGACGCCATGTTCTGGGACAAAATGTGCGTGGATAGATATACGTCCCACAACATGGCGTCGCGCGTCGATCATCGAAAGCGTCTGCAAGCGGTCTATTTGATCGATTTTCGGGGACAGATTTTCGCGTGGGAGGCCTCGAGGGCGCGTGGGATGCGTACGTGGGATGCCGCGCGTGGGATGCCGCGGCCTGAGTTCAATCTCCGGTCAACATTATGGAGTACCGAAGTGTGACGTCATTTAGAACCCATAGATAGAAGTTTTATATCTATTATGTTAGAACCAGAAAGTGAAGCACAAACGCATGGAGTACGCGCGCGTGTTGGTTCACGACATGGTTCACGGACTGAATCACGCGCTAATGTCTTTCACACACATTTTGTGCGCGTGACGTATTCACTTCGATACTAGACTCCATAGACTTTCATGGGAGACGACCAGAGCTTATTGTGCACTCGCACTTGTTGAAGCTCTGGCAGCAGCTTCTGCGTGTCACTTCGTGGGCATTATTCACGAGTCGGCCATATTGAATTGAAAGTTAGGTAAAATCTTAATTTTTTGAACTTGCAAAGAGAAATGAAAGCAACTTAATTTATGATAAATTCCAGTCTGCTTCAATGCATAATTTAAAATTTGTAATTAAACGTTCCCTAAAGTTAATAGACCCATATTTAAAAAGAAATGACAGTAAAATAAGGTTGCATTGGGCCTGCATAAATAGTCTGGCGCCATCCCATTCAACAGTTTACCATTAATGAACTACATTCAGGGAACTCAAAAAAAATGGCCAACTCGTGAATAAGGACCATGGCAACCTCGTCCCCAGTGCTTACTATATTTCCAACCTAGTTTCCAATAGTAAGCTCTATACAGGAAACTTTCTTCCTGTATCCTGATTTGGTACCTCAATTGGCTATAGTAAAGGATTTTTATCGTGTACTTTGTGCTATTATTCACAACGTGCGGTACGTGTTTTCGCGATCATTCGTCCACGCCTTCTCGAAAATACTTGTTCCCTTCCAATTTACTCATATTAATATGAAATGTGATACTGCATGTTGTCTCGAAAAGATCGTAACAGTTTGATTTAGGAAATCGTGTTTTCGTAACTCGCGCCGTGGGAGTTCGCACTGCGACGAATTGACTCTATTTTTACCCCAGACACCGCATACAATATTTTTTTTTTTTTTTTTAAGATTCACCACATTTTGGACAGCCCTGCAAAAACACTTAAAATAGAAAGTTTACACAATGTATACATACAAAATAAAATAAATTAACCATTAATCAATTAAACAAGACACAATGCGTATTATATATAAAATATGCTCATATCTTTACACAATAGCCTCAAATCTGACCTCACTCTCAAAGTTTCAAGAACTGCATATCATTCATTAATGCATATATTGGAAACGTTATAAGTCGAAAAGACATCTGAGTGAATACAGAAAAATACCTCCATTGGACTGTCGGTCCGTACATGACCACTTTGGGCACACAATATAAGCTCAAATGTATAGCAATGGTATAAACATTGAAAACTGTACAGCCAAATACACCAAATACTTAGAACCCAGGCACGTACTGGAAGCATTGCATGACAAAGGTGGTCCAGGATGCTTCCTTTACTTTTAAATTCCTCATATTCGCCACAAATAGCTTAATTGCATGCAAGCATTTCATGGGCGAAAATTCAGCAAGGGTTGGGTCATTGCATCATTCGTCCCTCGATCCCCTTGTGCTCAGAAAGAGCTTATTCTGATCTGAGGTTAGCGTCTTTACTTTCCAACGATTCAAAAATGCTTCTGATAAATGGAAACTACAAAAATCTTAATATACCCGTTTTGATAATGTTAAGTGACATACGACCGCATCAATTTGTATCCTGAAAAGCGCCTCTAGCATCTTACGACTTTTTTAATGCCGGGCAACTTTACGATCTTTGGTCATCCCTAATCTGCCCACTAGCAGACGCGTATTTACACCACTGGTTCATTCTCTAAATATTTACAAAGTGCTCTAAGTATGAAGCTATGCTATCAACTTTTTCGCGCATTTCTTGGGCCGAGGGCCAGTCCAGATCCATCATGTCTATGGCAATTTCGCGGATAACTCGCGCCATTTCCGGAACAGTTTTGTAAAGGAGCGTTATGACGGACGTGATTATAGTGCAAAGGTCTTGCGGGGTCGAACTCGCTGTGGACATCACGCCTTTCATGACTATGCGGTGCCCCACATCCCTCGCTGCCTTGAAAGCCGTCTTGCCAGCCACCTGTCCCACCTGAAAGGCCACTGTGCCCATCGCCCGCATCAAAGCGTACACGGAATCTGTCACGGGGGAGTTTTGCATTTCCCCTACCCCAGCCCCGACCCCTGTAACAACCCTCCTCACGCCGCGAAGACGCTTCCAAGTCGAGTGGACTCGCTCCAGGACCGCCTTGAGATAATCAAATGCGATGCTGTCGTCCTCGAGTATTTCAATCGCGCTGGCACTGGTTAACTTTGAAGTTATGATGTCCGTTATGATTTCTCCCACCGTTGACAGCCCGTGGCCTACTCCAAAGCCGGGAACCACACCAATGAGCTCCTCCACTGAAGTGCCGGGGGCGAAGAACGAAGCAACGAACCTCCCGAATCCTGTCGAGGCCACCGTCCCCACTAAACCTTCAATCACCTGCATGCAGGAAAACAATAATTACACGTATTATTTTCTGCCCTTTGCACCATTATGTATATTGAAATGATATTGTGAGTAAAACTTAAGGATGCATCTTCCGAAACAGTACATGCCGAGGGAACGTATCCGAAAAGCATTAATTTTGCGGATCACATTTTCAAGTGCCTTTGTTGAAATGTTTTCGTTTCCAAAGTCATTATTTTTCTGCTTTGGGCACCTTATTAACTCCAAAACCATGTTCTTGAACAAAACACTGCACAATGAAAAACATTCAAAATAAGTTAGAGTATAATATTGCTTATGCTAGTTTACAAACGAATATGTCAATCCCGATATGCAAAAAAAATAAAACAATGTGTTGTTCAATATTGATGCAGAATCATTATGTTCAGGCACATGTTTGATGTTGTTAAGTTTTTAGATTTAGAAATTAAAAATGCATCTTTCGGATCTTTCATCCAATTTTCACTCTTTTTAAGTGATTGTTATCCCCGGGTGTGGGTTTAAGCATGTTTGTGGGTCCCAGAGTACCAGCATACTGACCGACCGACCGACCGACCGACTCCCCAACTGACTGACCGACTGACTCCCCGACTGACTCCCCGACTCGCCCCCCCCCCCGACTCCCCCACTAACTGACTGACTTCGTTTGCAGTGACTGACCTTTGCACACATTTTAGCACAATGGAGGTGTTTTTGAAGTTCAGTGGCTAAACCACAGAAGATTTGTATGGTGGCCTTTCGGCTTCGGACGTAGAAGTTGGCGGCGTCTTCCAAAGCAGCGAGGGCTCTAGCAAGTTGTAGCGTCAGGGCCGTATCTTATAACGAATAGAAAAAAACCCGGGTTCTTTACTGTTTCCTGTTCCTATATTAGGAGTCGAAATATGGTCAAACCAGAAGACATGACACATACAGATACAAATTGTCCCTAAAAAGTATGGTCATGATACACATGCATTGGAGAAAATTGCCTGCTTTTATCAAAACGTGAATATACCTTCATTTTAATTGTAACGAGTCAATGACTTTTGTGACTAAAGTCGAGTCGAGTCATTTTAAAGAAGTGACTCAGTCGAATCATTAAGTCAAGAAGGTCGAGTCGACTCGAGCCACGTATAGTCGAGTCGATTGAAATCGAGTCACAAATTAAACACTGTAGAACAAATAAAGACAAGAGATCGGGAAAGTCATTGGTATCACTAACAGCTAAGACGAAAACCTGCGGTCTTTAAAGCTATCAGGCTGGTCTGGCGCAAAACCAAATTGCATTCTACAAAACTGTTTCTGATTATTTAAAGTGGCCATGTATCTATTTCAGTGAAAAGGCGGGCTAGCTGGCGTTCGAATCAAAGAGCTTAATAATAAATCACCAAAAGCCAATAATGGAACCACGACTTGCAAAATGTGTTAAAGTCTGGTACCGGGATAATATTTTGTGCGTTCCAGAACCACAAGTCGGGAGTCTGTGACACGTTATAATATTGTAACGAAAATGCAAGTCATGATTAATTTCCAGTTAGCACACTTTATTCTTCACTCTGATAAGATACAGGTTCCTGTCATAAACTTAATTGACAGGACATACGGAAGATAAGAAGATAAGTTTAAAGTTAACAACTTGTATTTCAATGAGAAGAATTAATGCCAATACAGTTGACTGTGTACTGATAATAGGGCCTATGATAAACTAATGGTAGAATAACTGTTAAATGAAATGACTTGTACAAGTTTAATTCATCGAAGCTTTATAAGTCAAGACGCTATGATTATTATGAATAAGAATAATATTTGGCGCAGTGGTTTATGGCCAATCAGAGCATTGCAAGAGGCATTTTGTTATGATGCGCTAGCTCCTTGCGTTATGTACGCGCCCAAACGCTATAAAAGACGAGCCAAGTCGGGGCTCGGGGTTCAGATCGTGACTGGTTCTGGCCCGGTGAGGAACTTCACATAGAAGAAGGAGCGCGTCGTACTCAACGTTCGATTGCAATGCACATTGGCGCTCCGCCTCATCGTTATCCACATAGACATTAGATTATACGCATCGGGCACGGTGTGTGCCAACAGTATTGGAAGATAATAAAACCGTTATTATTATTTGAAGAAGAACACGATCTCTCCAGTAGTTCTTGTCTAGTCTCTAGTCATCTAGTACTTGAACCAGTGATTTCGCGCCCGTTACATTTGGTGGCAGCGGTGACCGGACTTCGACGGAGGTATTGTACACGCTACCAGAAAGACAAAAGAAGATGAATACTTCTGATCAAGAAATCCAGTTCGGACCCACCGCCGGGGCGGGCCGTTCAAGTACGCCAGAAGATGACACCATCCATAGTTCACCGGCATTGGGCGGTGATGGTGACGGTTCATTTCAACGTGAACGACGAGAAATCAACCTGATGAAGGAAGAAAACGAGAGGTTGAGGCGGCAACTTGCGGCAATGGGCACTGCCGATAATGAACGACAAGAACCGTCACCGTACAACATGGAACAACAGAGATCGACACAGAACAACATGTCAGCCCTGTCTGGCAATAAGCCGAGAGTTCGGCCAGCGACGTATGATGGTATGAGCCCCTGGGAAGACTACCTCGTGCAGTTTGAGCTATTGGCCGAGCTCAACGGGTGGAGTGCACGGGAGAAGGCGATGTACCTGGCCGCTAATCTACGGGGCGCAGCACAGGCCGTGCTGGGTGACTTAGATGTCACTAGACGACGAGATTATAACGCCCTCGTCACGGCACTCGGTCGACGATTTAGCCCTGACAACCAGACGGAGATGTTTCGTGTTCAATTAAAGAACCGAACGAGAGGGCGAGATGAGAAACTTCCCGAGTTGGCCCAGAGCATAAGACGGTTGACACGACGGGCATACCCAACGGCACCCTACGAGCTACAAGAAACACTAGCGAGAGAGCATTTCATGGATGCTCTAGATGATGCTGACATCCGTTGGCGAGTGTTTCAGTCCAGGCCGATCAACATTGATGATGCTGTGAGAGTTGCCATTGAGCTTGAGGCATTTCATACGGCAGAGAGACAACGGGGCCAAATAAGACGGTCAGCACCGGCTGCCAGAGTGATATCCTCTGACACAGCAGATACAACAGCCGCACAACCCCTGGAACGACAGCTGGCTGCATTTACCTGTACAATCGGTAATGCTATTGCCGAAGGGTTCAACAATCTACAGAAACAACTAAATGGGGAAGGGAAGATGGATAATGGCCAAAAGTTTACCCCCAGATCATCAACACAACGAAGATGGGCACGTCAGGGAGACAAAGGCACCGTGGAGTGTTGGAACTGCCACGAGACCGGCCATTTCCGACGAGAATGCCCAAAAGCCGGTTCATGGAGAAATGATACAAGCTCACTTCAGGGAAACGGCGGACAGTCGAGCTTGTGGGCCGAAGATCGACTACAGCACCCAGGCCCGGGCCAACAGACCCAACAACAACAACAACAACAATAAAGCCACGCATCAGATCGACAGTGGGGGCAAGTGGCATGTATGTGGCCGGACATCTAGAAGGGGTTGGTGTGAGTTTTCTGGTAGATACAGGGGCCAACATAACAATAGTGAGGCCAGAGATTTACTACGCCATACCAGAATCAACGCGACCACGACTAAAGAATAAAGAAATCACCATGGTAACAGCAAATGGCAAGCCTCTACTCTCCATTGGGCGTGGGAGTTTTCAACTTAAAATCGGCAAGCAGAGCCCTCAGGTACAACATGATGTATGGGTGGCTGAGATTGACCTAGACGGTATCCTGGGCTATGATTTCATGATGAAATACAACTGTAATCTAGATGTGGGTAAGGCAGAAATGAAACTGCACGACATACCCATAGCGTGCACAGCCACTGCACGGGCACCAGCATCATCATGCCGCATCACTGCAGACATTACTGTGAGCATTCCACCAGGCGGAGAGGTATTGCTACCAGGGAAACTGGAAGGAGAAACAGGGCTTACGGGACTGGCTGTAGTTGAACCAACGGCTAATTTGATAGAGAGACATGAGATGATAACCGCCAGGTCATTGGTCTACACCGACAGTGGAAAGATTCCAGTTCGCATTTTGAACCTGACAGAGAAACATGCCACACTCTACAAAGGTACCAACGTTGCTACTTGCGAGCTAATAGAAGAAGTGGTGACAAATGTAGACCACTGTGATGTAAGAGCAGCAACTTGTCACACCGATGAATCACCACCTACAGAGTCAGCTCACAACGACACCAATTCCATGCCCTCCCACCTTGATGACCTGTATAAGAGATGTAGCGTTCATCTTGAAACTGAGCAGCGGCAACAGCTTGCTACATTACTACAGCAACACCATGATGTTTTTGCGAATTCATCAGAAGATTTGGGAAAAACGGCCGTGTATCAACATAAAATAAACACTGGTGATGTACCCCCAATTCGCCAGCGAGCCCGCCGACTACCAATTCATCAAAGGGTGGAATCAGCGGAAGAAGTGAACAAGATGTTGAAAAGGGGTATTATCGAGCCGTCTGCTAGCCCATGTGCATCACCAATAGTACTGGTAAAGAAGAAGGACGGCAGTATCAGATTCTGCGTCGATTACCGCAAACTCAATGCAGTGACAATAAAAGACTCCTACCCTTTGCCGAGAATAGACGACTCCCTAGACACACTGGCCGGTTCAACTTGGTTTTCAACCTTGGACTTGCAGAGCGGCTACTGGCAAGTCGAGATGGCTGATGAAGATAAGGAAAAGACGGCATTTGCAACAGGCACAGGGTTCTACCAGTTCAAAGTTATGCCATTTGGACTTTGTAATGCCCCCGCTACGTTTGAACGGCTGATGGAAAAAGTGTTGAACGGGTTGCAATGGCAAACGTGCCTGATATACATCGATGACATCGTGTCATATGGCTGCAGTTTTCAACAAGCACTTGGGCGACTTGAAGAAGTATTAGTTCGACTCAAGACAGCTGGGCTTAAACTGAGTCCAAAGAAATGCCATCTATTTCAACGGAGCGTGTCCTTTTTGGGCCACACCATCAGTGAAAAGGGCATAGCTACAGATGATGCCAAGACGGCTACAGTAAGGAACTGGCCAACACCGAAGAATGTCACCGAATTGAGAAGTTTCCTGGGCCTATGCTCGTACTACCGAAGATTCGTAAGAGGCTTTGCAGGCATTGCAAAACCATTGCATCAGCTGACTGAAAAACAACAGCCGTTCATCTGGACAGATGAGAGTGACGGAGCATTTCAGCAGCTTAAAACGGCCCTCACTTCCACTTCAATTTTGGCGTATCCAACGGAAGAAGATGAATTCATATTGGATACTGATGCGAGCAACTATGGAATTGGTGCAGTGCTATCGCAGGTGCAAAACGGCACAGAAAGAGTCATTGCAAACTTCAGCCGTACACTTGGCAAAGCTGAGCGCAAGTACTGCGTGACGAGAAAAGAGCTCCTGGCTATAATCAGTGCAACGAAGCATTTTCATCACTACCTCTACGGCAGAAAATTCCTGATACGTACCGACCATGGGGCATTGAGATGGCTAATGAACTTCAAGAGCCCAGAAGGTCAGACGGCAAGATGGCTAGAAGTGATGGGTACTTATACCTTCGACATACAACACAGACCCGGCAGACAACACGGTAATGCAGACGGCTTATCTCGCCGGCCATGTGACGAATGTCAACAGTGCGAAAGAATTGAGCACAATGACCATGAAATGCATGATCATGTCATCACACTGAAACCGACAGCCACTAATAATTCGGAGCCAAATGATGTCTTGCTTAATTGCAAAGAGAAAGAA